TAACGTAGGAACGATTTCTGCCAATATGTTAGTGTGACTGCTGCAGTGTAGTGGAAACAAGTTGCTCTCTCATGCTCAAGAAGCTGCTGTAATACTGTTTCTCGCAGGTGGTTTAGTTCTTACAGCCTGAAAACAAAATGCATCACCGTCTTTACAGCGTTCGCATATGCGTGGATGTTTGATCCTAACGTTTAATTTAACTCGCTTTGGCGTTAAATATTGATAAGTGTAGGACTTACCATCTGAGCTACTTGTAGGTGATCTTAAACTTTGTCTTTCTGAGAAGCTGCCCATTATTTTAGTTCTATTCTGTTCTAATATTGTTCCATGGTTCTAATTCGCATATCAACAGACAAAAGCCTCCGAAGAGACCAAAGCCAATTGTGAACTTAGCAAACAATCAAAGAAAAGTAAGTCCAAAAGTCTACTTAATGTCTTTATTTATAAATCTTTAATGGTATTGCCAGAAAAGCTGTGTATATTTTGGCGTACATGTATACAAGGAAATTTTTGGAGCGCAATCTACTAGGTAATACACGAAGAACCTGAACAGAAACGCGGTTTCTATTCTTTAGCGGTTGTGGGGTTTTCCTTTTGGACTTATTAATAAATAAGTTTGTTAGTTTTTTTCTGAATTTTTTTTTTATTAAAAATCATAGGTTAAAGATACACTTCCCCCGATGCCCAAGAAGCAAAACCTGGCGATGCTAGAAGCTCCTCCCGAGCCAAAATCAACCGCACATGTCGGTCCACCATACAAGACATTGCCACCAATTGGATCAGCCCCTCCCACGGGACGGCAGCGTGATACTGCCACCCCGAGAAAACTCTCTACCGCGCCTGGCCTCGCTGATACAACACCCCGAGGCGACCGTCCCTCTTTCAGCCGGACTAACACTACACCTCTCGAGTTTCCCGAGTCAGCGGCTTACCAGTCCGGTCACACTACAAGACAGACAATGAAGACAGAGGGAGACGCTACTGCCAGTGAAAGTTTGGAAACTGCTGATGGGCGACATCAACCTCGAGCAGAAAAGCATCTCAATTCTGAGGACGGATTTTTTATGACTCAAGTAAGAAATTTCGCTTTTGAATTACAAATTATTTGCTGTTTCTCGAACCCTAGCGGCAATCTAACCTTTTCACTCCCGGGATTAAGAAAAAAAGTAGTTTCTTCTTATTGTATTGTTATAAGTTAAACCTTGTTTCGTTTTGAATACATGCTTGAAGTTATGTTATGCGCTATGTTGTGCGAATGAAGAAAAAGCTGAAAATTAGAATTTTTTCATGTCTCGCGGTCACTTGTGAGAGGGTTGGTTTCATGGGTGTTTTTGTTTGGTTTTTACAACAGATCGATGAACAAGAAGATGCACAGAACGTTGAAGCCCCCCTGCGAAAGGCAAAGGAAGACAGAGAGAAAGAGCGACCCTTTAGCGTGGAAACAAAGTACAAAGGTTACGAGGATCTGTTAGATGTTGATGAAGGTGACCCCGATGTTATAGTACCAAAGGATCTTCAGGGAAGTGTACGAGCTTTAAACTACGCCTTGGCTCATCCTTTGATCTTCAGTGAACCTCATGGAACTTACAAAGAAAAGAGGGTTAAGAAGCCTCAAGTAAGTGTTCGTTTATCTAATAATACATTGATAGATACGCCTATGTCAGTCTTCGATTCCCGATACTCCAAACTCAATACCTGGGAGTATCGACTATCGTTAATCGAGAATCGGGAAACGATGTTCCTCCTCCATAATCGTTATTTGATGCTCACGAGTATCGGGAATCATGCAAGGATTAAGGTTCCAATATGATTGAGTATCTACTCGATACCAAGAATTGAGAACCGAGTATTGATGGTTAAACACTCATTTATTGAGGAGTTGTGCGTGACAGTGACGCATGCTTGACATCATTTATATATGAGATGTTGTGGAGGTGTCTGTTGTAAATAGTCGGTTACCTTTTTAGTAGAATTTCGTTCCAGCCTTGGTACAAAGCTGTTCAAATGACGCATGCGCTGTTTTCAGTCAATGTCATGAATTATTCACTGAAAAGTATCTCCACAGCTTCCTGTTTAATTATGTGCACAGGGTGTGTACATCTCTTACACTGTATGTCATTTTTGCATTTTACAGACTGTGTCAACATCAACGGGGACGAAGTCTCGGCAAAGCAAAGTAGAGGAACTCGGGGGAATTTTAGACAAGATGCGAGTCCAGTCCAAGACGAAAGAATCCAACCTAGGTTGGTTTTTCAGAGTAATCTGTCCTTGATTTTGATTTAAGTAATCTTTAAAGGTCTACGGAAAAAAAAATACGACAAACAAGTCATGTTTAATGGAGAAATGCAAAGCTTATGGTCAAGAAAATTTAGTCTCAGTCATCACTGGTCTTTTTTGTTTTGCGATTTAGAAACTGCTCTCCAAGATTTGAAGAAGGATCCAAAGCTTAAACAAGAATATCGTGAGGCTAAAAAGCTTTTGAATGAGGTATGCTTAGATTTCAAATAATTTTTTTCCAAGTATTTTTCTATGGGAGCTCTATGCAGGAGAAATGTCCTCCCCCCGCACTCTCCCTTACACTGAGTCATGTAAATTGCGCATTGTGTTAAACCAAGCCTTCGCTGCTAACCAAGGAAATTTACATTTATTTATAGAAAAGAAATAATGAAGCCTTATCTTCCTGAAAGCAGCCGTTTTTGTCAGTCACAGCTCATTTGTCTTGTATGAATTAAGCTTTTTAAAAACAAATGTGTTGTTTCCAACTCCACTAGGTCCAAACGAAGTACAACGAAGTTCGAGTAGCTTCGCTGAAACCGACGTCCACTGCCCTAGAGCTCTTCGGAACACGACCCGAAGAACGAACGAAAGAAAAAAAAACTCGAAACTTCGCTACTCCTCAAGCAGGAGTAGAAACTCTGGGAAGCAACAAGAATATCGCAAAGGAACTCAGACGATTCAAAGAGAAAATAGACAGTCGATTATGACATATCATGTAAATGCATTTGTTGTGCTACGATTGTAAATATGTTGTGATGGAATCGAAGTGCAAAATTTATTCAGAGTTTGTAAATAAAAATATATTTGTAGACGCATTTCGTTCACTGTTGTCTGTATTCGCATAGAGCTCCAGTAGTTTAGCATGTTTAAGCAATCACTTCTTCTTGACTGTCTTTTTTATGGAGTGGCTACACTTTAGCATGCTTCAATAAAAGGATATTGTGTTAAGAAAATTAAGTGAATGAAATCACGCCTCTGAACCGCTGAAATAATGGTAATCTCATGTATGTAAATGATGCATACGAACGGCAAATGTTGTCAAATGACGGCGAGTGATGTTCAATAGCAGCGATTGATGTCTTGTTGGGGGTGAGTGAAGACCGGTCACAGTAAACTGATGCTTGATGATGATGACATCTTACGGTGAACGATTTTTATAAAATAACCGAAACCACGAGCACCCAACTCGTGATTTACAAACTTTTAGAGTGCTCTCTCAATATCCTGAGTGGCTTATTACGCTGATAAGCCGATAGAAAGTGGAGAAAAAAACAGAGAAAGAAAGAAAATGTGACAGAGAACAGTAACAGCAAAATCTTTATTAAACGTGCTGGATTCCTGTTCACTGTCCGAAGCAAAACAAAAAACAAAACACAAAAAAAAACTATGCACGATTCGTTCCCCGTTCTCGTCGTAGAGTCCATACCATTTCTTAATTTTAAAGACGAGTGGCTCTGGGTATGAGTAGTTCCCTTTCCATGTGTCTTGTTGTTAATGTACGACTTATTCTTGGTCTGTCTGTGCATTGTGCAATACAAACTTGTACTCGTGATTCATTAGTCATCCTCAAAAGGGGAAAGACAGCATATGCTTCGCCATTTTAGTAGGCAGCTGCTCGTTGGTTCCAAAGGTCGGTGTTTGAATTTGAGCTTGGTGAAGTACAGCTGTTTCTCGCTCAGTTCTGTTGGGATTTTGTGCAGTGCAAAGATGGCGCAAGCAAAAGCACACACAACAATTCTGGACTTCGAGGTAAAAGATATCGATGGCAACCCTGTAAAATTGTCCAAGTACGACGGCTTTGTGACGCTCATCGTCAACGTAGCGTCTAAATGAGGCTTCACAAAGAAGAACTATGCTCAGCTACAGGAACTGCACCAAAGGTAAATTTCACGTAACCTCTCCATTGGATCTTAGGTTTTAGAGTAGAGTTGTGTTTTAAATTTGCCTTGCCCTAAAACAAGCGCTCTAATGGAGCTGATTTGCAATTTTTCAAGGCTATTGTTTAAATCCAACGTACATCTCCAGTAAAACTTGCTTGGTTCTTCGCCATGGGCGCACAACAAATAAAAATTTTCAATGCGTCAAGTTATTGTGCTGTGCGCTCCTTTATTGTTGTCGATTACATGTGAGCTGAACTGCTTTTTTTTCAGTTCATTTTATCACAATGTAGTTTACTAATTGTTTGGGGGAGTAGTTGGTGGACTTGCGCTGCTAAATGGATAATATTTGCCGAAGCAAGTGTATGATACAGGGCCAATATTGGCGTGGTATTCTCCCAGGTAGCCCAAGCTTGATATAATGCAAGTACATCTGACCTGGTTTGTTCAAAGCTAGGTTAAGATAACGCAGGGTTAGTGTGGAATTTGATGTCAGGTCTGAAAGCTTTAAAGAAAATTCAGTTTAAATTTTTTGGCTTGCAATTTGATTGTTGGATGTTCCCAAAAAGAGCAGGAAAAGGCTTTGGATGAAAGAAATAAAGAAACCTGGAATTAAAATTTAACCGTGGATTAGCGCTAATCGGCCTTCCATTAACTGGACTGTGGTACCTGATAAATATCAGGCGTTGCATAGTTTTATAAACAAATGTTGCAGCAGGAGTATGATGTGAAGTAACTAGAATGAAATACATAATGGTTCCAAACTTGAATATGAAAAAAACTCAGGCCACTGAAATTTAGCAAAGGAATCTAGGGTAGGGGGTGAAGAATTCTCCAATTCTAATTCCCAATCATCAGCCTGAATTTTTATGGGGAATTTGGCTGAATTGCAAAACAAAAAAATATCTTGAATTAAGATAATAGATAATTGAGCTTGATGGGCAGTATGTTTTCTGGTCATTGGTGTGGTTTTTGGGTCAGTTTCTAGGGAAATGCTCAGCTTAAACTCATAGATTTGCACCATTGTGACAGTAGATGATACAGGGCTCAAAATTGCGACCGATACGGTCATCAGTGTGACTAAAACTTTTAACTTGGTGACTAAAAATTCGAGTTTAGGCACCACTTTGTTGACTGTGTTCCTCTATTAAGTAAAAGATTAAAGGTGAGAAACAATTTCCTAAGTCTTGTTTCTACTTTTCTGCAAAAGGAAATGCAAATTAAGTCTGGTTATCTTTAAGTTAAAACTTGAAATTGCATTAAAATCATTACTTCCGAGACAACATTACAGCAGCTTTTAAATGTTGATCGCAGGTGCAGCATTTTGTTGAAAGGCCGTTGAATTTAAACGTGTTCTGTCGCAGATTATGTCGCAAGGATCTGGCATTCAAAGCACAAGCTATCTTTCACCATGTGCTCAATCAAGTGAGACAAGTCTACACTGAAAGTCATGAATTATTTAAGACAGGAGAAGAATACACTGAGTGATTTTTATAATTTGCTTCAGTCTAGAAATTACCAGGAAGCAAGATTGTTGTTAATATGCAAACAAGAAGTGTTTCAAAACCTTTAAAAAAATGTTTGTTCAGAGTGTGAATTGCATGCAGCAACTACTGGAAGATATTTTTGCAACATGTTTAGTTCCAGAAGCCAAACAACTATGTCAATTAAACGAGGCTCTAATCTGAGTTTCTGTTCTTGAACTACCTGGCAACTGCATTTTTGCATTCGGTGACCATTTTTTCTTTGATAGTCGCCAAAAGGTGTTTTGGAATTATTTTAATTTTGATCCTTGTGATATCGTATAAAGATCAGGAAAATCTGTAAAGATTACTGTTCAGCTCAGAACTGATTATGTTACACTGTTGGATTGGGTTATAGTTGGGTAGCAAGTGATCAAGATTAACTTTTGGACCAGACACTTGCGGTTTATCTTATTATATTGTTATAATTAGTAAACCAGCATGAAAGTTTACTTTTGATTCACTGTTTATTGTCTTCAATCACTAGGAAACCTTGCTCTGACATTCACCCCTTATGCTCACTGCAGCTTAGCCCTTTAACTCCCAGGATCTGATTGTTAATTCTCCCTGCTAGTTGCTACATGTTTCCTTGTAAATAAGTTATGAGAATTTGGTGTTAAATCAACTTGAAGATAACTTCTACCTGATAAGTTTATGCCATGATGGATGCATTAACCCTTCAACTCTCAAGATCTAATTGTTAATTCTCCCCTCTAGCTGTTATATATTTCCTTGTAAATAAGTTATGAGAATTTTGTGTGATATTAAGACAACAACTTCTACCTAATACATTTGAGTACTCTCAGTCTGTGCTGGATGGTGGATAAAATTTAATATTGTAGGGGGAAGTTACTTGTTAATCACTTCTGGGAGTTAAAGGATTTATGTAGTTACAATGTATCCATTACAGTCTACATTTTTCATCTTTTGTTTTGAAATTATGATACCTTATACATGACCACATCTTCAGGGGTTTCAAAACAAGCCAGTGACCACCAGGAGTTCTACTGGCTATTTAATAACATGTCACCCATTTCTGTGGTGAAAATAATTACCTTTTGGCCCTTAACCTTTTAACTTGTAAGATTTGATTTCATTTAGTAATTCTCTCTAATTTCTGCTATACTCTTCATGTTATGTTAGTTTGGAGAATGTGGAATCGGATCAACCAATAATCCCCTAATTGATATTTTTCTTTATTCTCATTACCTGTCTGCTTGATATTGTACTGATGTGAAAGAAAAAATTCTGTCTAGGTCACTAGTGGAACTTAAAGGGTAACGAACTTTTCACAGTCACCTACTTTTGCAGAGTCTGACATCTATTTTAAAACATTTTAGAACCGCTGCATCATGCAATGAAGGAGACCAAATGTGAAACCAAGAATTAATTTCAACCAGTGTTAGGGTGTTGGCCCTCAAGTCCCTAAGAGTGACTAGCATCTAATTTCTCCTCACCATATCACCCCTGATTAAAACGTAAAAGTCATGAGAATAGAAGAGATGATCACCAACAAAAGCAGCACTCGACTGTTAGACAAACTCTACTTGTCAGCCTCTTTGTATGGTGAACAGTATGGAGAATATGCATACTGATGTAAGGGTGTGAAAGTTTTAGGGTTGACCCTTTACACCCTTGCACAAGACTGCACATTTTCCACACTGTTCTCTATACATTTTCTAAGGTGCTGACAAGGAGAATTTGTTTAACAATCAAGAGCCTCCTTAGTTTGTGATCATTTGCCTTATTTTGTGACCTTAATGTGTGATTTTGTAGCATTAATGTTCGGAGAAATTAGATGCTAGTCATTCCTAGTTTAACAGAATGTAACCTGGTCTGTTGTCAGAGGTGTGTGAACAAACTAGTCTTTTTCTTTTTTTGAAGTTATGCTGAGAAAGGTCTTCGCATTCTTGCTTTCCCTTGCAATCAGTTTGGAGGACAAGAGCCTGGTACAGAGAGGGAAATCAAGGAGTTTGTGAGTACTTATGGTGTGGAGTTTGACATGTTTGGCAAGATTGATGTCAATGGATCAAATGCAGATCCACTGTATGTCTTCCTGAAAAATGCCAAACATGGAACACTGACAAACAACATCAAATGGAACTTTACAAAGTTTCTGTGTGATAGGCATGGGGTCCCTGTCAAAAGATATTCTCCAACCACCTCACCTCTTGACATTGTGAAGGACATTGAAAAGGAGCTTCTTAAAGAATAACATACAATCCTATCCTGTAATAGTTGTGTCAACTGAGTTTGTGCAGTGCAACCTATTGCACTTTTCAATAATATGGTGCCCCTTTTTCTTCAACAAAGAGACTATCTGACAGCAGGAGAAGAAAACCAAAAATGCAAATGGTACACATTTCAATTACCTACCAGAACATGGCTGCTTTTTTTAAAGTCAGCAACGATGCATCTTGAGGGTAATTCCTAGTTTGCATGTTATTAAGAATTGCACAATTTTTTTTTAAACTTTTCTTTTATAAATTATTCAATTTTTACGTAACTTTCAAATGATGTGTAGTTGTGAGAAGTACGAATTTTATTTGGTATTGAATCAAATGATAATCTACTAATTGGAATTTTTCTATATTCTCATCACTTGTCTACTTGAGATTGTATTTATATTGTAAGGAGAAATTCTGTCTTGATCACCACCAGGAGTGAAAGGGTTAAGAAGGCATGCTCCTGAAATTTAATTGAAGGATGTCTATCCATTTTCATGTTTTGTTTTGTTTTCTTCTCCTGCTATCAGATGGCGTTTTTGTTATTTGATACATGCAGGTTATCATTTTCAGTATTTAAATTGTCTTGAACAGAGGACACTTTTGATGTAAAGGTTATGTTTAACAAATTGGCAGACTACTTTGAAAACTAGAATGAAGGAAACGTTGGTTGTGTGATTAACTTATTATTTTATAACAGCACCATACATTTGTTGCCAAAGTTTTCTTTTCATTGTTTAAACTCAACTGATGACAGTCTGTTCGTAAATTCTCTTATCGAGTTTGAGCAGAATTGAAGATTGCAAGTATGTGCAGATTGCTTGCAAGTTGAGGGCTACTTTGACAAGAATACAGGTCGAAATGTATACACGTGTGCAGTTGAACCCTATTTATGAGAGAGAATGAAAGGGCTGCTGTTGGAGAATATTTAATCAAATAAAAGAGACTACAAATCATGCTTCTGGAGAAATTTCTGTAGAGGATTTCTTTAAACTATATCTAGAAAAAGTTTTTCCTTTTAACCTATAGTTAGCGGGTCAACTCAGTTTTAAGAGAATTCACTGCCAAGTGTATAATTTTTGCCATTTCATTTTACACATATAGTTTTTTCTTCGAAATCACAAAGAATTAAGTATGTTTATAAAACTCCCACGTGCGGCCCCTATATGTGTTCTATCCTGAGAACGGCTTTCAATTTGTTTTAGTTATAGAAAGTTGTCGAGAATGTCGCATTGAAATTCGTGTTCTTTTGTTCCGTCCACAATCGGGGGGTTATAAAAGTGTTCGTTGTCGTCTCAACGACGGAGTTTAAAAGCACTGCGCACTTTTATTGTTTCATCCACTGGTTTTTGATGTAGAGGAATGGCTTAGCAGGTAATGACAATCGAAAGAAACGAGAAATATTCTGTCACTGCGCTTGAAAAGATTTCCGTACAACCCCCTTACTGTTCTTCAACAAAGCACTAATCCTAAGGCGAAACTATTGTTTTCGCCATTGTTTTGTTCATCAATCAATTGAATGCATAATAAATCGTGGGGTGACGCGGACATTAAGCCCGGGTCGTGTGGGTCACGCAATGACCTACTGTGATATATGCAATATGAAAAAACAAGAACCAGAAAAGCTTCTTTTTGTAAAAAAACGAAACGCACGAAAAACCCATAATTTCCAAAAATCGGCAAGGACATCTGTCGCATATTACTACTTGACCATTAACTCGACTATCTTTTGGCTAAACTTTGTTTAGACGTCATGGTGACATAATCTTGCTCGAATAACAATTTGAAAGGAAATAGTCATGCAATCTCCACGGTGCATACACGCATGCTTTTTTCGAACAAAAACCACCCTTTTTCTGCCTGCAGCTATTGTCATGTGTGTTACTGTTTTTCGTTCTGGAGCAACTGCAGAATATCCTGCCACTATGGACCACTTCATTTCCATGTGCCGGGAGTCTTTGAAGAACGAGGCATAACTCCATAAAGTGGCGCTGGTGAGTAATTACTTGAAAGCAACAGAAAAGGATGATGTAATAAGCATCTTGAAGACCTATAGTTTTGAGAGCTCACTGGTTGCTTGGCTGGCGATCAGTAACTGCCCTCTCAGATAATAAAAAAAAAAACGCCTTCGTGATAATAACCAGTGTTTTAACTCGCATTATCGGCCAAGTATCAAACGAGTCCAATAGAACTGTGCACGCGAGTCGTTTTATCCAGTGGTTTTTGATATTGGGGTATGTCATCGTAGCTACTGATATTCATAAGAAATGCATTGACTGCAATATCATGTCAACATCATGTTCATACAGATTATGTATTTAGCTGAGTGTTTTTCGTAATAAAAGCAGACTAAACCCTAAACGTAATGAAAGATAAACAAGTTCGTCCACAAATTTGACACGGTCGCTAAATCATTAGCAATCCTAAATTTCACCTCGAGTTTGTTACGTAACACCGCATCGTAACAGTGTTATTTTCAGCCAGGTAAGTTCGTTTATTAACCCTGTAACTTCGATGAGTGACCAAGACAGATAAAGAGTATAATAAATTAAAGAATATTTAATTGAACTTCTATCAAGTTATTCAAACTAACATCATAGGAATTAACATAACTGCATCGATAGAATTTTATGGCAGATAATAATGATAAATGATGATAACATCTTGGGTGAAGTGGTTAATTGGGTCAATAACCTAATGTGTGAATCCAAGTGGCTCCTGGTAGCCCAGCCCCAGGGTAGAATTGTGTGCGCTTTGAAACGAGCAGCGATTTCGCGAGAGGTTTGGGTCGCGAAATAGGGGCTAGATCTCTGATAACCCGTAGCCATCATAGTTTACTGAAGATGTCGTACAACTACAGTCAACTGAAAACTGGTATGATTAATTTCAGGGGAGGGGTGCATGCGCAGTTGCTTAAATACTGTGAGTGATCCGAACATTTTAAGGGAAATGGCGCTCGTAATTTTAAATCGGCCTTGCGTTACACTCTCAGCAAATCTGAAATTACTCGCCTGCCTTCTCCCATCTATCGGTCCTATTATCATCGTTTAGCAGGGTATGGATTTCTCTATTTCTTTACCGAGCCCAAAACTTATCATTTCTCATATTTCTGTTTACAGACATTACGCTATCGACATTGCTGATCCTAGTAATATGCCAGACACGTGTCATATGAACTTCGTAATAGACCTTGCTCACCATGGAGTCTCAGCTCTGGGGCTCATTGGTAGAGCATCGGAGCGCAGAACCCGAAGGTCCGGGGTTCGATTTCTCATGGGGACTCAGAATCTTTTCTTTTTCCCACGCTCGTGACAAGACGACAACATCTTTCTCTAAGGTATGGATTACTTATTTAACCCAAGCTCATCACCTAACAGAGATTCCGCCGACAAGTTGTGGCCAGAAATAAGGCGTATAACTAGGGAGTGCAAATTGCGTTGCCTGGAACAGGAGATGAGGGCACGAGCTACAGAATGTTAACCGTACGAGAAATGTTGTTACTTGCTGATTGATTCGATGGGGCTATAACTAGTCATCGGTATGAGCATAGAGTTCAAATATGGCGAAAGTGTTTTAATCGAAAATTTACAAATACGAATTTCAGTCTACAAGCAGAAACTTTCCAAAATCAACTGAAAAATAATAGTTTTTTATGTTCTTTTGACCTTATCTAAACACGGCCATAGAAAAACTGTCTTTAATCTGAAATATGTCTGCCTTCGTAAAATATTTCTTTAAAAATCCAAAAAAGTTACAACCTAACGCTCTACCTCGCACGCTCCATTTCCTAACTTTTACAAGGTTACAACCTTGTATGAATTCGATCATCTTTGAAGTCTTACTCATTAATGAAGACGTACGTAGCATTTCTAGTACTTTCTGAATGGTTCTTCGAAAAACTTCCCAAGACACAAAAGTCGATTAAACATCCATTTTCGTCAAAGTTGCCTTCCGTCGACAAGCCTCGAATTTGGGAGACTAAGCGACCACTTCTCACATCATCGATCACGTGAGGAGTGGTTGCTTGGTCTTTAGCTACGCTCCATTTCTAACTTTTCAAATTGTATATTTGCTTATCATTTCGCTTCCCAAACATCTATTTCCCTCAGAAACAGCCACTCATTTTGATCATTGGTAACCAAAATTCGTAAACAATCAATCTTTTTGTTGAAAGTAGCTTGAGCTCTGCCATCTCTAAATGAGACAACTGTGTCAAACTTTCCACATGACGACGAGCTTGTACCAGAGACACTGAAGCTTGCTTGTAAGACACCAAACCTCAGAAAATCTTTCATAGCTAGATTTGAGCCAGTATCTACAAACACTTTGCTTGCATTAACGACAGAATTGAACTGTACAGTCACCTGGTCATCGCGCTTAACGTTTCTTCCCCAAAAGTATCCAGAGCCACCTTCGTAAGCATCTTGAGGTTTCCCTTGATTGGGTTTTATCGACGAGGAAACTTTTGCAGAGGGGTTTCTTCCCCAATATTTATGATCGTGTACATCAAAATATCTATCATAAGTAGCGTTAACCGGCCAACTCTTTTCTTTTAGAGATGACTTTACACCATGGTGTTGAAAAAAAGAAGCCACTGGTAAAATCAATTGTGCATTGTCAGGAACTTTAACCATACGCCAATATCTTATTAGCCAATCGCCTGGCATTTCAGCGTACAAAAGATAGAAATAAGACGCCATACTCCTGAGATCCTCTGAGTGATAAACTTTTGCAGTATGACCCATGAAAGAGATGTCAAGTATTGGCCAAGCCTTTTTTTGAGATGAAATAAATCCTTGCAGCTTATGAAATACACTCGGGGATGCTTTGACGTCATCTTCGACGTGAAGGTAGAAGTTAGAAAGTTCGTGGCAATAACACATAAGAAATGCGAAATCTATGTTTTGTTTTGAACGCCAGTAGATTCTGGTTTTTGAATCTCCAAATTTCTTCTTTAGGTTCGTAAGCTGGGGGTAATATTTTGGCGATGTTTCGATTACATGCAAAATATCGTCTTCCACTTCTTTGTGAAAGAGCTTTGAAAGGTTGGTTATGGTAACCTGCTTCGCTCCTTTATCAAAGTCTGCGAGAAATACAACTATATATGTCTGCTTTCTGTTTTCGTCATTCATGTTGTCCAATAAACTTTGGATCGTTTCGGAAAGATAGTTTACTCCATTAGGTCTGGTTATTGTCGTTAAACCAATCGTCATGTGCTCTGAAAGTAAACGAGAGGGAACTCTTGAGTCAATTTGAAAGCTTTAGCTACCAAGATCCAATTTGTAGTCCTTCCTTGTAGCAGATATAAATTTCCATGAAAATCAGTTAAAAATCCTCTTGGTTGAATTGTGGCTTAAGTCGAAACTTGGCAAGAAACATTTTTGCGAGTTTTAGTGATACCAGCCTATGAAGAAATAGTCTCTGAAATGGCAATTTTTGACACCAGCCAATTCCTGAACCCACCACTCATAGCAAAAAGCATCATTTTCAAATGAAAATACTGAGGACAATCTCCGAAAGTGATATTCTACGTTGTAATAAAATTTGTATCAAATGGATTATTTAAGTCGACTGATCCTAACATATACGTACTTTTTGCAGAAGGATATCGCCCGAGTTTATTTACCCCCGAACTTCTCATGTATTCACTGCTGGGACAAAGAGAATGACTAGCTTTGTCAGGACTCCATAAATGCTCGGTTTCATTCACCACGGAACCGTTGATGTCACCAAGGTTTCTTGATTCTATCAAGAAAAATGGAAAGGAGATAACTAAATCAAATTCTGGGCTTTGCTATCGCGAATCCTTCACGGTACGCGCATCTTAGCAATGTCGTCCATCAAGCATACGCTCTGAGTAAGATACTGAAAAATAAATTAGTAAAGAGCTGATGCCACTGTGTTTCACTCAACTGGGGTGAGAATAGGTTTTTTGTGTGCGCGGAATCCCACCAACTACGACATCCGGTACTGCTTAAGATCATCATTTTCCGTACACTCAATTACATCTACCATTAAACTTATCCTTTTTGCAATTCGATTTCGAGAAACGCCTTTGGGACATGCGTAGTAGAAACAAAATAACGGATGCAACACCAAGGTAACACAGAAATTGACGCAATAAGTGTGGTTAGATTTAACGAACACAGCATCTTCAAATACCTCCAAATTATCCAGTGAAAAAGAAGGAAACGAAGGAAAAAAGACAGCCCGGCGAATAGCACTCATAGATTTTATATGAAAAATGACAAATTTTCTGCACGAAATTATGCGGAGAAAACTTGAGAAGGCATTAGCCTCCGTGATGGTTGAAAAAATAAAAAGTAAGGATGATACGTACCCTTTGTAGTAGGAAACGCACTGCTGGGATAGCGATGGTCAGCTTTGTTTTATAATGAACGAGGAAAAAATAAAAATAACAACAAGATAAGAAAACCGAACATTTATTTTTGTAAACAATATCGAGCAGCCCAACTATGCTCGCCATTAGCAGGCTCAAACGACAACAAGAACACCTGCACTCGTAGGAAGTCTGATTGGATTTGAGACAAACTTGATACGCGAGTACTGTGATTCTCAGAATACTGACCATCATTTCTATTATAATGTTTATTTGCCTCAACAATGAAATTGTCTTAAGAGAACTTTTTAGTTGCTCAGAGCATGGCGTCATAGTTACTCTAAAACGTTGGTTACTTACTGAGGCACTACATCGCCAAATAGCCAAACATCTAGTTTTGTAGTTTTATAATAAGAGGGAGTGACAGCAGCAGAGAGAGAAGAGCAAAATTAAGTGGCGGTCTTAATCAAAATACGTACCCTTTTCAACAGGGACTTCAATGCTGGAAGGGAGATGTTTAGTTTGGTTTCCTATTGATGAAAAAAAGCACAACAAAACAAATAAACAAATAAAAATACAAACCAGTTCTATATTATGTGTTTTGACCAAGTGTGAGGTCAAAATGGCTTCTTTTTCCTTTTCTCGTTTTACTCGTGGATACGCGATAGCGTAGAAACGAGTTGTTGCGGGGCACTTTGGGATATGCAAATTGACGTGGACTCTTCGTAATTAATCGTAATTAGAACTCGAGATCTATCTATCCGGAGAAGTCCGAAGTCTTGGCGCCATCGTGATTGCATCGATTGTTGCGATATTGTCTTTACACGGCTGTTTCGACATTTACTAAATTGAGATTGACCTCGAATGTTCCGATTAGTGCTATGATTAACTTAAAGACCAACTTTAAAGTGTCTTCGAATCGGCCATGCGCTAAACATAACGACTAGTCACGAAGAGTTTGTGAGTAACAGAGCAAGCTGTTAAGAATTTGAAATTGTTTTTTTGTTTTTGTTTTTGTTTTTTTTTTGAGAATATTTTTAACTTTGCTAATATATAAGATAGATGTTTTTTTTATCTTCAAATAAGCTGTTCAGATGGAAATTCCCACAGAAACATGTACCCATGACTTGAAAAAAAAAATGTTGATTTACAGTTTTATTTCTCTCAGCAGCTACGCCAATTTCGGTCTTTTCGTTATGGTCGTCTCGTTTTGTTGTTTTTCTATGCAAACGTGACTGTTTTGATGGTAAAAATGAAATATGATCGGTTTCTACAAGTCTTTGCAAAGCACGAGACCATAATCTGGCAGATGTTGTTTTGATCACTTGACGATCTTTTTCACTCAAAACACACCACGACTTCCTAATTCAAGGAATGCTTTTCCAATTAATTTCTATCGCAACCGTGTAAAAAAATACAAGCATATGCGTGTACTGAAAAACAAAAGGAAAATTCAAAGCTACGAGAAATTGCGAGTAATCGGCCTCTTCTGCTTCACGCGGGTTTTTGGTGTGACATGCGTGTGTTTACCATAAGTTACAAGGACTTTACGCATGTGGGAATGCTGCAACCACGGCAGAAGCAGTGCAAGGTGGAATGGCTATTGTCAGCCTGGAGTGATTATGCGCGATATTTTGCTTCATCACTCTTTGTCATTTCTACCACTTAAATATTAATTCAGGGTTTCCATCGCATACTCAAGTACTATAATTTCTATACTTACAATGGTTCTACTTTCTATCTTTTTAACACCTTAGTTTACAGATAGCAACTTCACAAGTATATATCTCTTTAATACTTTATCCGTGAATTGGCCAAAGGTGCCCTTTGATTATTATTATAGACCAGATCAAAGTCGGGATCCATAAAAACACAAAAAAGAACGAGGCTAGGATCCAGCCATTTTGACCTCATGCTCGGTCATTATTGCATATCTGTTATATAGCAGGCAGCACCTGTGGGTAATATGAAGCGAATTCTGGATTCTGATGCCTATCACTGCCAGCCATGCGATAGGGATACTAATTGCATTCTCTACATGTTCAGTTAAGAATAGCTATTCACCAGGAATCATAAAATTTTATTTCCATCTTGGAAAAGTACATGTGAAATTATGACACTGATTCTGTTTTAGATTCCTATGAATAACCTAACCTTTAAAATTTTCCCAAGTGTGATTGAGGCTATTTTGAATCTTGTTCAATTGACGACTCACCCACATACATACATATGGCTTCGAATTCCCACTAAACGAATCACTGTGAGACGAAGCAAATTTGCAAGCTAGTTTAAAACAGAGGTGTCAAACACCCACAAAGTAGTGGGTGCTTGAGAACTTTAGGAAGCTGCCAAATAAATTTGATGGCTGGGAAGTCAGTAAAGTGTGGCCAGGTTACTAGGTTACTTTCTAAGGTCTCCATTTTCTTTCATGTTTGGAAACATTTTTTCGAAATGTCAAGCTATAGTTGTCTAGAGTTTGCCATCTACCTTTTTAAATGACTACGTACCTGTAAACCTTGGTATGATGTCATTTATGTGCAAACGAGTGTGAAGTTATTTGTCAGTGCTCTATTCACATTTAGTGGTATGATTTTTAGTAAACCATAATTCAATTATAAGAAATAGTGGTTTTGCAAAAACGACAAGCTGAAATGTTGCGGAACACACACTTATGTTAATTCATGGCTGCTAGCAAAAGGCCACACCATGTCTTTAAGAAAGAGAGCCATTTGAATTAATATCAAGCATATGGAGGTTTGCAAAGTTTCCTGACAGACAATCGATTACACTGAGCACTGACTTGCATTAAAAAGAAAATCATGATCAGGCCATCACAAACACTGATGCCAGCTCCCCCCCCAAAAAAAAAATTGGTTTCCCTTTTCTTAGGCTAATTTGAAATAGAGATTGGAGTTCATTTTTAACTTAAATTTAAAATAAGAACTAAAACTAAGCTTTTTGCACAAATAACACTCAAACTGCTATAATCAATGGGCCATTTTACAGTTGTGAACTTAGTTGCCAAGCCTTTGATTTGGAGTGAAGCTGAAGGTGACCTTGTTGTGATAGAGACCAGTATCTAGTTAGCATGATAACAAAGTAATTTGCACTTGAAAAGCAGCAAGGTTTGTATCAAAACAAGGTCACCCAGAGCCTCACTCCTGTTCAATGGCTTGGCAACCAAGCAAATAACTGTAAAATGGACCATTACTCGCAGTTAACAATATGCTTATTCAAACCTTCGCACTTGAAGATGCAAATTTCCATCTAAATGCACAATGACAGGCACTTTCTCGTGCAATTTTTGGCACAGAACAATTGTGCAGATTTATCAAACTTCACCCTCTGTGGAATAAGTAATCTTTGTTACACCCATTTTTAAATCACTGGTGGTCCCTGTAATCTGATTGGCCCTTTATTTGGTGGGATTTATTCCCAAATTGCACCAATTTTTTTTTTTCAAATCACATCTTTTTTCCCTGCCAATGAGGAGGCTACACTAAAAACAAAACAATCAATCAGATTTCAAGGCTTGTTTAAAGTAACCAATCAAACTGCAGGAAAATGAAAGACAAAGAGTATCATGTGGCAAATTTTGCAATTTTTGTTTCCAAAACTCTTATTTTTAAATTCAAACTGGCTCAGTACTGCATCAATAAAATAAATTAACTGACCAAGTCATGTATTTGGGCGATTTCAAACTGGATGTAATAAAGTGGTAATTGAACCTCGTGTCAATTTTGGTCTGAAAATTTTGGTCTGAAATCATATTTAAGCTTACAAATCAAATTGCACTCCACTCAGTCCAATGATAAAATTTCCGCACAGCCCCATACTATTGTAAAACAAATCTTTGTTTTCTCTATCCAAGAACTAAATGCATAACGTAGTATGGGGCTGTGAGGAAATTGTGACACTTTCAGACAAGGAATGTAGCCTTCTGATTAAACTTATTTGCTCAACATCATGTATCATTCATCCATTGTCTGGTAAAGTGCTCTTATCTACAAACTCAAGATATGCAGGACAAACTATTATCAAGCAATAAGGCCGGCTATTTTCGCTTTCGCTTTTCGATCTGGACTGCCGAATCCATTGCCTATAAACGATACATCAAGTTTGACGGTCAGTTCATTTGAAATTTCCCACCGAAGTGGCTCGATATTTCGATAACTTAGCTGAATTAGAAACTAGTTTTCGCTTGGTTGCGGTAAACACGTCATGAAAATCTTGGTTGCTACGTGGGTTTCACTGCACGGCGGAAGTCATTCTCTTGTTTGACCCGTGAATTTCTTTTTTATCTAAGATCCATAGTCACTTACCGATTTTACAGTCGCATTTTTCTGTCTTACTCTCTCTGTGAGGTTGCATGTGTTGTTGTCGTGTGCGTCCATATTGAATAAAATTTCCCATGAAAAACGTGCTCGCGATAATCAATACCAATACTCGTACAACAAACTTTCGCCGGTTGATTCGACGAAAAATTCGTCTCATTGTAAACATCTCTTTAGCTCTACTCTCCTTAACGCTCGAGTTTCAAGATAAAGACTTGCGCTGGCTGATGTTGAAATATCAATTAAGAGAGAACACCTGTGCGGTCTCGCTTCAACTTTTTTCCTGGCTATATGCAAATATGTCCCTCTCTCTCTCTCCCAGGGGGATAATTTAATGATTTTTGTTCGAGCATTTATTTACTTATTTATACAGAATTAGAATACAGAATTAGATACAAGGTGAAATGTAAGTAAAAAAAATAAAAATTTTTCAAGGAAAGAAGACTTACAGTACAAAATGACTCCACTTAAATTGTGTCACATTAAATATAGGAAGGAGAGGAGTTGGCACGTTCAAATAAACTATCTGAGCCCCTTAAGTTACGTCAGTATAACAAAAAAACTTGTAATTTTTAGTTGAAAAGTAAAGGAAAACTTATAAAAATAGCTCAGTAAATTGTCAAAGAGATGACGTTTTATTAGTTTTGAGCAAGGTACCAGCGTAAAAGTGCTTTTCTAAACATCTTTTTACATGGTTTGTATCTGATTAATTGCGGAATACTATTCCAAAAGAATCTTCCAACAACGCTCGGGTAGAATTTCTTGAAATTAGTTCAAAATGAGGGTATTACTACTTGATTAGATGATGCATCGCGGGTATTGAAGTTGTAGCTCAGGTACTAGTAAAGCAGGTATAGCAGGAAACTTTTCATTGTGGAAATGAATCATAAAAATACAAACATGCTTTCAGTTTAACAATATCAGGAAATTTCAAAAGACTTAGGGATACGTAGTGTAGAGTTATTTATCCATTAAAGGAACATCATTTATGATACGAACCGTTTTGTTTTGTAATTTTACGATTTGACACAGTAGAACATTATACTTATTTCCCCATAGTGTACAAAGATATACAAGAGAATACTACAAACTAATAAGTGTTGCTTTTGAGACATAACGTTTTATCTTAACCATTATATTTATATTTTTGCTAAATATGTAGTCAATATAGTCACGGAATCGATCAGATCGCAAGATTTGAAAAATACTGCCTACTCACGTTCTGAGAAAAAAAAAATCATTTATAATAACTGTAATTTCCGGCCAGTTACCCGCAGGTATTCTGTTAATTTTTCCACAAACAGTTGTTGGTACGGGTTATAGAAGATGCGGGTAATACGATAACTTTTAAGGCTTTGTATAGTATTAAAACTTTAAGCAGGAAAAAACAGAGATGATAAGATCCACTATAGATACTCTTCAAAAAACCTGTGTGATAACTCATTTATTTCTCGCAGATTGCTCATCATAATAAGAGACTTTTATGCTCTCGATGAAAGTCGGTGCAAATCGATCGCGAAAAGATATCTGCAAAACTCGATAACAAAGCTTCTATCTTGTTCGTAATCTTACTTTCTTACCTTGTCAATTAAACAGCTTGTTCCTTTGAATAAAGGGGTAAATTTCTAAAGAAACTGTGGTGCTGCGTCGGTGGGAGAGTATAGCAGGTAATTAAGTGTTAACAACTGGGTTGAAAGCGTAAATTAGCCACCGTAAAGGGTAAAAAAGCTGACCTTTTTAACGATATCGCTCTGACGAAGGGCTAACGCTCGAAACGTCAGCTCTTTTACCCTTTACGGTGGCTAATTTACGTTTTCAACCCAGTTGTTAACACTAAATTACCAGCTTGTTCCTTTGTTAAGTTCGGAAGCAATTCTCACTTGCACGGGGAGTAAACTTGAAAATAAAAGAATTTAAGCTGGCTTCAAACGGAACATTCCATTATCTATTGTCTTTTTAGTGTTTAAACATTTTTTATCTTTCACTCTTTGACTTGATAATGACGTTAGCCAAACGTCGAAACGTCGTCAACATATTTTTAATATGCTTTTACGAAATGTTTTATCGCAATTTTTTATCGTTAAATGTTTTAAAAAACCGCGGTAAAATTTCCACACAGCCCCGTACTGGTGTAATACAAATCTGTTTTCCCAATGGAAATGTATTGTTTTTGTCATTGTTTTCTCTATTCAAGAACTGAATGCATAATGAAGTATGGGGCTGTGCGGAAATTTTACCAAAACCGCTCCTTTTTCAGAGCAATTCACACGGAAAATGATGCCGACATGTTGATTTGGCGGCGCCGCACAATTCACCTTTTGGGCTTTAGATTTCACGTGTAGTATCACGTAATTTTTGATGTAAACAAACCCCGAAAGTTCGGACATTGAGTCGAGCTCGCAGCATATGTGTCCAAACTTCGGCTTTGGAAATTTTTCTTAAATAACGTCCCACTTTCAAGAAGCGCTCAAAATTGACACGAATCGCAGTTGGACAAAAGGAGAGAAGGCAAAGGTGGATAATGTTATGTCATCGAGCTGTCCTTCGTGCACACAAACGAGTCACCTCGATGACATAACCTTATCCACCTTTGCCTTCTCTCCTTTTGTCCAACTGCCCCCGGAAAATGGAAAAACTTGACTGGGTCGCCGTTAGCGTTTCTTACCGAGCAGTTGAGGTATCGTGAATCGTTTTTAAGATGCCATAAGCTCATCTCTTTGTCGTAACCATTATGTTTAGGTATACACTTACTAAACAACTTCAATCGTACACGTTCGTAGAGTTGAAATCGGTTTTATTTTTGGGAATCAAGGCTTCCTCACGTTCTACAGCGATTCGTGGGCACTAATTTCCTGTCGGACGGGGATTTATCTGACGATCTACGCACTAAACACCCTGAAAATACCTGATCAGATACATCACTGTACGCAGAACTAGTTCGATTATTCCATACCGCAACGCTTCCTGTAACATTCTTCGCATCTGCTTCAACAGCAGCGAAATAACAACTTGCTTAATAAACGATCCAATAAATGACAAAAGAAAGATGTCAATTTTGAGCGAAGCCACGCTTCTTGAAAGTGGGACGTTATTTAAGAAAAATTTCCAAAGCTGAAGTTTGGATACATGTGCTGCGAGCTCGACTCGATGTCCGAACTTTCGGGGTTTGTTTACATCAAAAATCACGTGATACTACACATGAAATGGGCGTGACAGAATATTCGACGCATCAGTGAAATTTACTTAGGCCCGGTTCAAACGTCGAACTTTACATGTGCTGAACCTTATACCAATTTGGGATGACCCAAATAACTGAGTTCCGAAGTTGATTCAAACGCCGAACCTAATTAGTCGAACTTAATTGGAAAAGTGAACATGAATGTGAATGAGTCGGATTGAGTCGGACGACGAAAATAAAATGTAGATTTGGAGATTCTTTTTCATATGCTTATACAGCGCTCATCAGCGTCTTTGTGAGTTTGTCTCCCGGTAGATTCAAAGCTTTGTTACTGGCGATAAATTGATAAACGAACACTTTCATTGGTTGCAGTACTTTCAAATGTGTATGACGTGACTGACAACGATCGAAAATAAAATTCGACGTTGAACGTTTTGAAACCTTATGTGACAAGTTAACGTCTCATGAGCCAATCCGACGCGAGCATTACGCAAGACCTGTCACCAACCGCTTCTCTGTTTGCTTCCCTTTTTCTGCCTTAAAAGAAGTGCATCAAAAGTATTGCAGTTGGATGATAGATTTGCCGTTTTGGTGTGAAGTATTGCTTAGTATTTTTACTCGTTGTTTGTATTTTGACTCGCCCTATGGGCTCGTCAAAACACGGAAAACTCGTAAAAATACTCAGCGATGCTACATACCAAAACGCCTGAAGTGTCTGATAAGAAATATATATATATATATATATGGGTTCACTGCGTGCTGTGAAAATATTAAGTTATCGAAACAATATTTCGATATTTTTAAACACTAAACATCGATGATGAACAAAAAATAGTGGCTCGGTAGCAACTTCGATTGCACCTCCCTTGGAAATATAAGATGATTTTATAACAAAACTTTATCAAGAGGTAATGTTATTTTAGAAACAACGACAGCTCGGCACGATCGGAACTCTCAACACAAAATTTTAACCTTCAAACCTGCTAATTAATCTCATGATGCAAATATAGACTAGTAACTCGAAAGCTATTGAATCTGCTAAAGTGCAAATTTTGACTTTCGAAACTTCTCACGCAAACTACACGGATCGACTTTTCTTAATTAAATGACACAGAAAAATTTGGAGCTTTCCGGACATAACCGCCGACTGACAAATCTTAAATTGCAAAGTGTTAGTTAGGTCCCATTTTTCAAATCACGAAATTGAGAAAATTGGGACCAAACTTTTGAATGTAGGCAAAACTTTTCAAGGAGCTTTGAATATGCAATGTTTTCTGAGAATTTCATAAATTTTGAACCGCTTGCAAAAACTGATTTTAGAGAAAAGCAACCAGTGGAATGGAAACAATATTTTTGGAAGAGATAACAAAAGTAATGTTAGAAACAAATAAATTGACAGAACGATTAAGATTTCAGGCCTTCTTTTCACTACTACTTAAGTAGTGTTCATTACTGCGAAGATCGCTTTTATATTGACGTCTTTAACCGCAGTTCAAATATATGACTTCCATATATTCACAACTGTTTATTCACCACTTCACGGGTTTATTTGGAACCAACACAGTGGCCAGTTCCCAGTTCCCAGTTGGCTTGTTAGCTCAGTTGGTAGAGCACTGCACCGGTATCGCATAGGTCATGGGTCAAATCCCGTACAGGCCTGAATTTTTTTCAGGCCTTCTTTTCATCACTACTTAAGTAGTGTTCATTACTGCGAAGATCGCTTTCATATTCACGTCTTTAACCGCAGTTCAAATATATATATGACTTCCATATATTCACAACCGTTCGATTAAATCATCTTGACTAACGTGAAACGTTTGTGACTACTCGGAAGTATGATCGGTAATTAATTGTACAGTAACATTGAGTCGACAAGATGAAAAATTTTCAGGTACAGATTTGCCAAAGTGCAATGTACTCATCATATCGGCTCACCTACATGTGGCACATGTGGTTGTCAACAGGTAAAAATTGATGAGAGGCAACTTGTAAGCTTATTTTTGCTCAACAATTCAGTCCTCGCAGCCTAATCTGTCGGCCCGTTTCAAATTTTTTTGTCACATTGGTCTCATGAAGGAACAATTTTTCCAGATTTGAAGTTATATTCAGTTCTGAAAGTTTGGATATATTAGAAACCTTCTGGCCGAGGAAAGAAGTGTTTCTAGAGCCTTTGTCTTCCTCTCTGATGACATTCCAGTCATGTTTAGTGAGTAAATGATTTTGTGAAGGCGTACGGCTGCGAAACTGCCTGAATTTTATTCGGCGACGAATTTTGCAATGATAAGCTTGTATCTGGCTATGGGAATTTGCAATTTAGAGTTCATTGTCACTTACCGATGTTAGCAGCACGCTTGTTTGTGTCATCTCGGCTTTCTGATTGTTCAAACTGTCCTATTCGATCAAGAAGAAAGAAATGTGCTATCAGAATGGTGCCCACTATAAGTAACGTCAAAACTTTTGCTTTGAGCCTAAGTGTAATTTTTCTACAAATCCGTCTTAAAATGAACATTATCGATACTTTATCTTCGTAGACGCTCGTGTTTTATAATGTCTCTTTATATTGCCCAGCTCGAGTTGGACATTGATCGGCGCCCAAACTAACGTTTACATGCATTAAACCGCTATGGGTACATGGCGGGGTTTGGGCCAAGCCGGTTATATTTCTCGGTTGAAAGGATCGATGGTGCTGCGTCAGGCAAAGAGAAAATTGAAATGAAATGAACGAAATTCACAGAGCTTCACGCAAGCATTTATTTGTGTTTCCATAAGCAATGGATCAGTATTCCATCAGCTTGTCGCACAGCTGCATAGATTTTTCATAAAAGAACGAACAACAACAACTTCAAGCCACCCATAATGTACTTTGGTAGATTTTAACGGACAAGCTGCAAACTTCACCATTCAGCTCTTTAACCCTTAAGACTTAGGAGTGATAAGGATATAATTTCTCCTCACTGTATCACCCCCTGTAACAATGATCGTTAAACAAGTTCTCCTAAGTACCTTAGAAATGTTGAGAGGAAAGTAGGAAGAACTAGCATACTGATGTTAGAGAGTAAAGAGTTTCATGTAACCAAACGTCAAAGGAAAAAGTGACGTGTGTGGGTGCTATTCCTTTCACGGAAGGATCTGGATACGAGTCCATCGAACCAAATGTTTTGAAGAAATATGGAGACGATGCGCATTAGCAAAAGGTAGTCCTTGGGATCAGTCTTGTGAACGTAAGGTCTGCCATCTTAATGAAGAGTAGGTTAACTGAAAACTTTTCTGAGGATTATATAACAGCAGGCGCGGTGGCTTGCATGGTTTGGTCGCACGGTTACCAGGTTACCATTCTGAGTCACGCGCGAGTCACACGAACGAAAGAGGCACGAGACTTTAAACTCGGACTGAAGGGGAAATTATGGCGGGTAGCGTCTTTTTCCGAGCGATATTGCTTCCGTCCTATTTTGGACGAAATCTGCGGACTTACTTTGGATGTACAATCATATAAATGAACTTCCTGTATCGGTGTTCAAGTTTCTTAATTTGTCAAGTTTGGCGAGTTTGTTATGCAGAAAGTAATCGACCAAAATTTTTTTCAATACGCTTTTTTTTAATTGAGGCTTAAAGATCGTAGAAAAGACTTTAAAACATGACAGTAAAACCAGAGGCGCAGCCTAGTGGCTTCTCGGAAATTAAGGGAAAATGATGAGAATTACAAAAGTAGCAGTCTTTAAATATGCCGGCGAGCCATTGTTAATGCGAAATAGGGCTACAAAAATCCGGAAATTTTTAAGGATTTTTAGAATCAAACGAGATATCCAGAAAATTTGAGAATTTCTAGAACATTTAAGGATTTTTTTAGACAGTAATGTTTAGAAAAATACAACCAATAGCATGAAAACAAATTTATGTGGTTCAAAGAAGCTTCTTGTTCTGAGTCCCAAGCGGGTTCAGCAGTTGCTGTCATTGTTCGTTTGAAAGAGACGCATGTAAGGAGACAAAACGCTTAGATATTGTCATGTAAACGAATGATTTTTTTGAGTCCGTTTGAAGGTGCAATTTCACCTTAGGAATCTGGCATTTTATGAGAGAGTACGTGATTATTTCCATTCTTGGCCGCTTTGTTCATCTCTACTTTAAATTGTGCTTCTTTTCCTCGTGAAAAAGAGCAGAGACCAGAGTCCATCTATTTCAGGTTATGTTTTCTTTGTTCCTGTCACATGTTGTTTACTTTAGTTCATTAACATATTTTAATGGTACCGGTAGTGGAATTAACAGTTTTCTTCATGATACTGAATGAAGTTGAACCCTCGAGAAAGCGTAGCTCTCGCTGACTACGCTAAATTAAGGAATTGTTGTGATAATTTTTTGAGACAATTTTATTTGAGGTTATTGGGACTTAAGGGGTTAAACTGCAAGGTACTTTAAGGTAAAATGATAGGATTGCACTTTCTTGCGGTTACCTTGGTTAACTTGAATAAAAGCTGATACAGTTTGATCGATGAAAATAATTAAAGAACAAAACAACCACAATGGCTTAGATCAGTTCTGCAATCGAAGTTCCAAAGTGTGGAAACAGGAATTTTTATTCGTGCGCTCTCTATTGTAGCAGATGTCAAGCCGGATGGTCTGTTTTTAATCATCGCTGCTGTTTCAAAGTGTCCCCGCGCTTTTGTACTTATAACTATTCTGATGCTTATTTCAGCCTGAACAAAGAAGACGAATTAGAGTACACCACACACAGGTACACTTATAGCCCAGTATAACCACACTTGTTTCCAATAAGCATTTGTGGTCGAAATAATGTTGAGCATATTATGTGTAAGGAGCCGTATTTGAAATGAAATTTAACTGGTCCAACAATTTTATAACTGCGAAGAGGCGAAGGCTTGGTTTCCGCCAGAAACACAACAAAAGTGATCGTAATGATGTATAGTGCTTTCCGATTGATAAACTTTCTGGTTTCGTCATTAAGTCGCCAGTGAGAACCAAAATTAGAGATGATGTCATTACTTACCCATTTCACAGACACACTTATTTTCGTTGTTTCTCTCAGAATAAGGAAGGATGTAAATCACAAAATGGCAACATGTCGTCAGGAATATTAATGCTAAAAACATCTTGTAAATTCGCCGCAACACAAGCCGCCCGGTGCACATCGTTAACTATTGTTAGAAATGTACGGTGCAGCACAACAAGACACGACCTAAGTAATTAACAAATAGCCAGCTGCCAGGTCACGCACGAGCTTACCGTGCAATGCTTGTGTGACCGAACAAACATATTTCTGTAACTGGGACAGTGACTTATCTTGTGTTTCCCTCGCCTTAAAACTTGAGTTCAAATGGGGTAATTTCACTCTTATTGTCCTGATTTATCACTACTTGAAGTGAGAGCATGAACATTAAGCTGATTCAATTTATGAGGGGGGCATTGGGGCCTATTAGAAACCGCAAAACCGTAGAAAAAATCATCCAAAACCGAAAAACCGAAAAAATTCTATCAAAATCGAAAACCGCACGCAAAACTGTCAAAACCGATACATTTTCACATCCCTGTCATTAAAACCCTTATCGATCCGATGCAGCGGTGACAAGTGGAGCATAACTACACTAATTTCATCACAGTATCTGTGAATGCCATGGACTAGGCATTCGTATCTTCTAGTATCTGCTTAAATTATAGGCTTTATTTCAGCTGCTCTCTCGAGGACCTCGAGCGTGGTCTCTGCGGACTCAGCAGCTGGTAATGGAGCCCAGTTAAATTAAGGAAATTCGCATTAAAGTCCTCCATAAGATTGCAATTTTGCGGTCGCAAAAAGCTATAGCTCTGGAACGTTTCCCTGATCTAACATTTCCATTTGCGAACTAAGACCTAAAAGTTTAAAGATTCTATTGGAATGCTGAATCAGTCAGTCACGTGTGGCCTGTAACAGACTGTAACTTGGTCACCCACAGGCGGCCCAAGCTCCAGCTGTGAGATGATCATCTTGCGCAATAACAGTCATGGCGGAATTATAAGAGTTTGTATGGGAATATTTACGACCGCTCTAAGGAATAAAAAAATACGTCAAATTCTCAAAAAAAATACCTCACCTTACTTCCACAGCGTATTGCTTGTTATCTGACCGCTTACTTTGGTGAAAAGAGCCCATTTGAGCGAGTTGTTCATTTCGAGGTTTTCAGCTTTTCTTATGTACGTTGAAAACCTCGAAATGAACAACTCGCTTAAATGGGCTCTGTTCATCAAATTAAGCGGTCAGATAACAAGTGATACACTGTGGAAGTAAGGTGAAGTATTTTTATTGAGAATTTGACGTATTTTTTTATTCCTTAGAGCGGTCGTAAATATTCCCATACAAACTCTTATAATTCCGCCTTGACTGTTATTGCGCAAGATGATCATCTCACAGCTGGAGCTTGGGCCGCCTGTGGGTCACCAACTTCGAAGTGGCGTTGATAAAGAAACTCTAGCAATGTTCCGTGCTTAGCCATTGTTGTTTCTTGCCACACTGTCCTTTGTCTTACTGCTGCACCATATTCGTCGTTAAAGACGCGTGGACCCCTACGGATGGACAAAGTCTTGGGCGTCATTCGAGACGCGTGAGCCCCCTAGCCCGCGTACACATCAACCTTGACACACGACCGTTGAAAACCAGCTTGGTAGCCCCACCTCCTTTTTAAACTGCGCCTCGCCAGGGACAACACCGTAACTTGGCACTACACTAAACACTACCTTGGACCATTACGTAATCAAATGAAACGTGAACCAAAACGTCTGCTTGTAAAGTTCTTTAAGTCTTTTACTACTGAGGTAATAAAAAATATAATTGGCTTGCTCTCTCATTTCATTTCGTGAGATGGTTGATTATACATGGGACCAGGGAGAGTAAGATTTCAAGGGGAGGTAGAGGTTTCGTTCGATTCTCGTATTTCATGTACGTTACATGTTGTCGTCTCGCCTTATTTTAGACATTTATGCCTTGTTTTAGATGGTTTTAGATAGTTTGCGAGTGGCTGTAGATGTTTTTGAGGTGGTTGTAGGTGGTTTTAGATGGTTTTTAAGTCGTTCCATGTTTTAGTATTTACGCTGCCGTGTGTCAAGGTTGATGTGTACGCGGGCTGTTAGACACCTCTAAACTGGAAATTTTTGAAGAAAACTGCGGCTTTAGCGTCGGTTGCACGAGGAAGATTGAGTTTGTAGTAAATTGAAATGAAACTACAGTATATGTACTTGGATTCTGCGTTGGATTTTTGGCCGCCCAGTCATTTTGCGCTGGGATTTTTCGCTTCTCGGATCGGGCGTTCGGAAATGGCGTGTTCAGCCTCGGGCTTTTCTTATGTACGTTGAAAACCTCGAAATGGACAACTCGCTAAAATGGGATCTTTTCATCGAAGTAAGCGGTCAGATAGCAAGTGATACGCTGTGGAAGTAAGGTGAGGTATTTTTTATTGAGAATTTGAGCTATTTTTTAATTCATTAGAGTGGTCGTAAATATTCCCATACAAACTCTTATAATTCCGCCATGACTGTTATTGCACAAGATGATCATCTCACAGCTGGAGCTTGGGTTGCCTGTGAGCGGAGGCGCGTAATTGCCGCTCAGATCGAAGAGAAACCGGAACCCAAATAGGTCAAATAGGAAAAACCGAAAACCGCATCGGATATCAAATCCGAAAACCTGTTAGTATTTTTCGCGAAAACCGAAAACCAAATGCTTAAAAAACAGAAAATCCACAAACTGCAATGAATACCAAAACCGCATAACCGAAAAATCTCAATGCCTCCCGCATTTATCGAATTTCTTCTTCTCCTGCTTTACAATTTACGGGAGAAAACTTCCATCATCTCAGAAGAAAGCTTGACCAATTATCGACATTTTTAATAGGTATTCTGACAAAAGTATATCAGTCAGAGGATCTCAGAAGTATTGCATCTTATTTATTTTAAATGTACGTAGAAATTAATGGACATTGGTAATGATGCATACTGCGTTAGACAAATTAAATGTACAAACTTGCAATTTTATAGTGGAATGATATTCAGGTATTGGAATTGAGAGTGAAATAGTGACCTTTCCTATTCTGCTGTGATGACATTTTTTCAAATAATGTCAAAAGAATACGCAAACTATGAAGGCTTAGTACACTGCAGTGTTCAAGTTAGACTGGTCAGCGACAGAGAAAACGGAACGAAAAGGCAAAAACGAAACAACATTCAATTGCTGAACCAGACAAAAACTTTATTTGAAGTCGCTAATCATATTTCATTTGTTTTTCCAATTTATCTAAAAAAATTAAAGACATGTTAGATTTTCATTTACGTGCGTCATGCTGTGATTCAAGCTTGTTACCAAGGTCCTCTCTCTTTCCCTCTCGAGGGAGGATTACAATTAGTCTCGTATTTCATGGTCTGACGTATAATATGCTAGAGCATTACTGGTCATTTGGTATGTTTTCAATTTAGCTGCTATCATTCTTGAGAGAACAGCTAACCGACTGCATTGTTTTTGAGAGAAAACTGCGTTATGAACTTCTTTAAAACAAAGGCCGAACAAAACAAAAGAAAACAAATGCTAACAACTTACAGCAAAATACATTTTTGTAGGTGAATTATCATCACTGCGAAGTTGGCCGGCCGAAAGTTTTCTTCATAACACATGTGACAACTACGAGCATAACATTGTAAATATGCATACAAGAAGACGAATTTTGCGACAAATGAATTCGAAGTTTATAGATAAATTGATAATAATATTTATAGCAAGCAGTGTTTTCATGGGAAATTACTACCTATATGTGGGACACTACAGCGAACAACTTCAGAAGGACGAGAAACACAAGTGCGTTTGTAGCAGAGGTAAGTAACCATAGGAAAGCTCACTTATCAAACATCTTAATTATTAACACCAAAATTTACCACCGCTGCTGGTTAAAGTTCGGTGTAATGATACCTCTAGCTTTCAAAACAAGAACTATTTGACGTGATCCGACCTCAGCTCAGCGGGAGAATGACATTTTGGCAACAAGGAAGGGCAGCTGATTTTTATTCTGCCATACTGACAAAAACATAACAAAAGCAATACACATCTACCGCTAATATCAAACAATCCTATAACTACCTCGTTAGTTGGAAAAGAATTCAATCGTGCCGGTAGAGCAGTTGAATAAAAAGAAATTTCCCTTACTTTTACTTTCACATGTTAAATATGCCAAATAGTTAGTGTTTTTTTCAGTTTCCGTTTCCGCACGAGATTTCGAAACGCTGGTTTGAAAACCAGCTTTTCCACTGCGGAATATTCAAACGAAAGCAGTTAACAGACTTTCGATGCTCAAATTAATAACTCCGAGCTTCAATAGCTTGGTTTTTTTTAAGTACTATTTCAGTTTTAATAACAAATCCCTGACTTTGTCAACTATAAAAGAAGTGCCAGACTTCGAGACTAATCTCGAACGCTGATGAGATTACGAGGTGAGATGAAAGTTTGCGAGATACATAATTGTTCAAGGAACCACTCGCCATTTCTTTCCTCCCTTAGACCTAATTGCCTCTTTGTGTATTTTTTTTTAATCCTCAGAAACAAAGATACCCTTGTTAAGGTATTGACAATTAGCATAAGTTGGTTTAGCACGGCGCGGAAACTTTTTTGTATTTTGATGGACGTAAGCGAAAGTAATTACACTTACATGTAAAACATTTTTGAAGACGGGAACGAGATTCAGCTTTCGAGGTTTACAGAGAAGTCGTTTACTATAAGACTGCAATGCATTTTGCGATTTATCCGTTACCGCTTATTAAAAATTAAATTCGCAAAGCGGTTTCAAAAAGCTCGTTATCTTGGTGTTTAGTTTCCACGAGAAAGGTTTCATTCATAATTTAACATCCCAGAAGCCTAAATTTTAAATTTGCATATTGTTAACGTTTCGGATAATATTCCCCCTTGGGAAAAAACACTATATTTCCTCCGGGAACTACAAGCTTTCTTTAAAACAGTTGCTTTGGATTTCATTCGAAATGACTCACATTCCAAAAGGTTAAGTGGGAAAGTTTTCAGTCTCAATGGCTTCAAAACGTATAAATATCGACAAAAATCATCCTTCAAACATGGAAGCGTGAACTTTTTGATATTGATGAAAAAGGATATTGATTGTCAGATAAAAGATTTAAAAAGTTAACAGACTGAGATGATAGTGAGGTGAACTTCTTTCATTGTTTCTTAATTTTCGCTCTGAAAAAATGCCCAAAAGGAATCAAAGCTGTTCGCAGTAATAGAGTGTGGTTGGGGAAGAGGGGAGGGGAGAGACAGTACAGTGGTAAGGGTACTATGAATAACATTAGGAACTTCTAACTCTCTTGATTTATGGAATTGTGTCAAAATCTTTAGAAAGTATCGTTCGTTTCTCGCCCACGAGTTTATGGCTTGCTAAGCAAAGATTAATCATAGCAATGAAAGTCGGTAACTATGTTAATCACTTTTTTTCTTTTTTCTCCGTTAATATAGAAAACAAAAATGATCCCGTCCTGTCAAGCGCACTAGTTCCTGCAGTTACAGAAAGTAGGTATCGTTTTAACTTCATTTTTTACCCAAAAAACATCTCCAAGATAGATAACGCCTAACCAAGACTTTCTAGAAGATGAAGGCACTAGACAGGAGTGTCGAAACGTTGGGTCTATGAATCGTAACTTCTTCGGCTACATTCATTAAATCTGCAAGCCAGAGTAGCGTCAAACTATGTCTGATTGTCCACCTGGTTGCCGTGTGAACTTTAATATACTTTCTAGATAGGTTTTCAATAGCGTTTCCTGGCTCATAGTATGACTCTTGAATACGTGGTCTAAAATCCTTCTTCGATAGATGACTTGAGCAGAGGTGTGACGTGACAAAGTCTACTTTCCTGGAATATCAGGCGCGCAGCTGCTCTGAACTCTTTGTAATTTATGTGAATAGACTTCAGAAACTCCAAACTTGTTGGCAAGCACGTGCACAATGAGGAGCTGAATAAAAAATAGAGCGTGCTAAGCAAAGATGAATCATAGCGATACAAGTCGGTAATTAAGTTGACCATTTTTTTCTGTTTTCTTCATTAAATCAGAAGAGGACAAAAATGATCCCAGCCTGCCAAGCACACTAGTTCCTTCAGTTACAAAAAGTTGGTATCCTTTTAGCCTCACTTTTTTACTTACAAACCATCTCGAAGATGAATAATGTCCAACCAAGATTTTCTCGATATGTTCTCAACAATTTTTCCTGGCTAGCATGACGCATAACTGCGTGGCTAAAAATCCTTTTTCATTAGATTGCTAGACCGCTAACATGTCGAATTTGCAAAGGGAGCTTTTTGCACGATGCTCCTTTTGTTTCTTTGAAATTCTGAGAGATATTTGTTGAGTCTCTTGACGGAGAGGTATTATCCCGTATATTATTACATTATCAGAGGTATTAGCAGAGAAATATATTTCTTTTTATTCGAAAAGTTTTCCTTCTCATTATAACATTTAATTGCTATAATTGCAGTTTGAATTTTTTGTTCTAAAATTGATTTACACCCTCCGATTTCATATTCTGATAGATGTTAATGTGAAATCATAAAGCCCTTGAATTTTCTTTTGCATTAGTGGTTACTATGCATTTAGAAAAGAACTCTCTGATTTGAGCCGTCTCTATTGCAACACATAGAAACGCTAAGAGCTTGGTTAGTTTTTTCTTTTTTTCACCCGCATTTGAGCTTACATTGTTACAATAGAGATGTACAGTAGCAAAGCGTGGAAACCGATTTGAATAGTTACTCTGATTTCTCCTCAATTATAGAGACAAGAGAATTCCGAAATCTAAACTGTTCTGTGATTAACTCAACCCAGAGTTTATGGGCCACGGATAAAACGGGTGATCATCTTTGCCCAAGCAGTGAATATCTAAGAAGTTCAGCTGTGAATATGCTTGGGCGATATCCTTGTAAACAAAGTACGTTATATGCCAAGATCAGTTGGATGCAATTTTCAATTTTATTTTAAAGATTTTACTTTCTCATAGGGTTGTTCGTCTATCCCCAGGATGGTGCTCGTTTATCTGTCCGTCCGTCCGTCAGTCCGTCCGCACGTACTTACGTCCATCCCTTCAACCGACTTCCCACCTTTCATGCGTTCACTCATTCCTTTGTTCCTCTATTTGTTTATTTATTCATTGATTAGTGATTTTAGTTACTTTAAGTCACTAAAGCATAACTTATTTACCCATTTATCGATTAAAATAAGGCTTAAGTTGACTGGCACGTGAGGCGGTGGGACGAGGTTTATTTAATTGTTTTATGTGTTTATTTGTTTATTTTGCCATTTTTTAATTATAACACACGAGAAGAAATAAAAGGAGTTACATATACATTAATATAGTTTATAAAATAATTCAAATAGTACGCGCGCTCTAATTGGCCATAAAACCATTTTACATGAGCGTATGTAAACACAGTTTTCGTTCTGCTTTCATTAGTTATTTTATAAAAGAAATGTAAAATGGTTTCCGTGTTTACATAGCCTGATGTAAACACTTGGGAGTTTGGGAGAACACTCGATAAGCTGGAAACCACTTCGCTTCGCGTCGTGGTTTCCTACGCTTATCTCGTGTTCTCCCAACCTCCCGCGTGTTTACATCAGGCTATGTAAACACGGAAACCATTTTACATTTCTTCAGTAAATGACTGAAAATCTAAGATGTGGCGAGGAAAAGTGTAGAGAAACCAAGAGTCTGGTGCGAGCTACAGGTTCCTCATATTTTACAAAATAAATTAATATTACTTCATGTTAAAAAGGAAGGAACCCACACTTATAAAACAACAACAACAATAGCAGGCGCTAAAACAAAATTATACTTAAGCAGCTTGGGAAAAGAGAGAAAAAAAAGCAATAAGGGAGTTAACTTAGTAATAATGGTAGGAATTTAGACTTAAACAGGGAAAGTGTGCCAACAATTTGGATATCTATATTCAGAGAATTGAAAAATTTAGCTCCTTTAATTCAGGTTATGAACTCATTCTCTAAAAACTTCGTCCCAAAGCAAAAATTGGCTTCCAGACAACTGAATCAACGCTTGTGTGACCTTGATAAAGTGCAATGTTCTGTTTACTAATTTTGAAGGAAATTTACAGTAGTCAGAAGGGAGAACTATAAATCAGTTGGATCTGTAGAGTCAATGCTTTCACCCTTACCCAGGCATACTCACTCTTTTTTAGGGCACATGGCTATTGGGTTGACGACGGTAACTCGGCCTGACGGTGTAGAATATCTTCCCCAAACGATCCAAAGTTTACTGGACAACATGAATGACGATCACCGAAAGCAAACATTTATAGTTGTATTCCTCGCAGATTTCGAAGAGCAAAAGAAGCAGGACACAATAAAGAAACTGTCAAAGCTCTTTGACAAAGAAATCAGAGAAGATCTTTTGCATGTAATTAAAACATCGCCAAAATATTATCCCCGGCTAACGAGCCTCAGGCAGAAATTTGGTGATTCTCTGACAAGAATTTACTGGCGTTCAAAACAGAACATAGATTTTGCCTTTCTGATGTGTTATTGTTATGAACTTTCTAGCTACTACCTGCATGTCGAAGATGACGTCAAAGCATCTCCGAGTGTATTTCAAAAGATCCAAGAGTTCATTTCATCTCAAAAAAAGGCTTGGCCAATGTTGGATATTTCTAGGATGGGTCACACTGCAAAAGTTTATCAGTCAGAGGATCTCAGGAGCATTGCATCTTATTTTTATCTCATGTATGACGAAATGCCCGGTGATTGGTTGATGATGCACTGGCGAAAGGTCATGGTACCTGACAATGCAGAATATATACTGCCAGCGGCTTCTTTTTTTCAACATCTTGGTGCCCGTTCTTCGCTCAAAGAAAAGAGCCGTTTAAAAAATTCGATTTACATGGATAAATACTTTGACGAGCACGATCAAAAATACAGCGGAATGAACCCTTCAGCAGAAGTTTCTTCGTCCATCCCATCGAAAGAAGGGAATCCTCAAGATGCGTACCGAAGTGGACTTGGACACTTCTGGGGAAAAAACATTAAGCGCGATGACCATGTAACTATAAAGTTTAATTCCTCTGTCACTGTTAGAAAAGTGTTTGTGGATACTGGGTCAAATCTAGCCATGAAAGATTTTCTGAGGTCTGGTGTTTTGCAGGCAAGCTTCAGTGTCTCTGGCACAAACTCGTCGTCATGTGGAAAGTTTGACACAGTTGTCTCATTTAAAGATGGCAGAGCTCAAGTTACTTTTACAAACAAAAAGATTGATTGTTTACGAATTTTGGTTACCAAGAATCAAAATGAGTGGCTCTTTCTGAGGGAAATAGACGTTTGGGAAGAGAAACAGTAAAGAAATGTACGATCTGAATGGCCGTTGTATAGCTCGTGAATGAAATGTGGAGCAACTCGAAGACAAATTCCACATCTATGCACGTTTATTTATTATTCGCTATGTGAAACACCTCTTCATTAAGTTAAATTTTCTTAAGCTAGCTGAGTGGTAGAACACTGTTCTGACCTTGAGATCCAAACGTTTCAAGTTCCCAAGCTCATAACAATCACTTACAACTTTCAGTTTGATTCAAAGACGTTTCTACTCTACGGAATACTACGACTTGATATCAATTTACTTATTTTTTCTCAATTTGGAAAAATTTTTATTATTTGATACATTTTGATATATTTGTTAAACTTTGAATTCCTTTGAATGATCAAGTTGCATCTTGGGCACCACGAAGTTTTGATGAAACATGCAATAATAATGTCTGCCCAAATAATTTATGCGCTTCATTGTAAACCTTTTATGATGCAAAAACTAAGCTAATACTTACTTGACAATGAGATCCGACGGTGTCGAAACGTCGTAAGTTTCTTTCGCTGATTTTTGTGTTGAAATATTCCCTCAGGCCCTAACGATTCAATTTTATTTAAATAACGGAAACTCCTGAAATGAGTTCTATCCATCCCTAATAAAGGCTAAGGAACTAGCCCTGCAACCGACTACTCCGTCTAGCCGAACTAGTATTTACACTCAATTGCTTTTCATTCTGTGGTAACTACTACAAAAAGGTAATGGCGTAGCCATTAGTTTGTTTTAAAATGGGTCCCAGCTACGCAAATCTTTTCGTAACTTTTTTCGAACACCAATTTCTTAGTCAATACCACGGCCCCAAACCTGAACTCTACGGCCACTACATTGACGACTGCATCGGCGCTACCTCCTCTACCAGAGAGGAGCTCATTCAATTTATAACTGCCGTCAATTCCTTTCACCGGCTCTTAAATATACCTGGGAAATTTCCGACACTTCTTTGGCTTTTCTAGACATCAAAAGTTATTTTGAAATTAACAGCTTACGCACTAGTGTTAATACTACAAACCTACAGATTCATACAGTTACTTGCTGTATTCATCTTCGCATCCATCACACGTCAAGAATTCCATATCTTTTTCACAGTTTCTCAGACTTCGTCTTTTATGTAGTGACGACTCCGGTCACTTTACGTGCACCTCCGCCAATGTCATTTATTGCGTAATTTGCACCTATTGCAAAAAGATATACATTGGTGAAACAGGAAGACGACTAGGTGACCAATTCCGAGAACACCTCCGCGACGTAGAAAGAAACGACAAGGACGCATCCAAACTAGTCGCTAGACACTTTAATCTCCCTTATCATTCTAAACAGCTTATGGCAGTTTGCGGCCTTTCCCTACATCTAGGCAGTTCGGAAAGCCGCAAACTCTAGAACAAAAATTTATCTTCCAAATCGGCACTCTAAATCCTTATAGTATCAACGAACGCTTTTAATTGAACTAATTTATTCTTGTTTTATCGTGACCATATTCCCATCAACAGCGTAGCTCCATTTTTGCATATAAACACACACACAACCCACAATTCCTCCAATCGCTCTGATAAAGGGCTAACGCTCAAAACGTCAGCCCTTAAACTCTTCACGGTGGCCAATTTACGTTTTCAACTCAGTTGATAACACAAAATTACCCTGTTCATCCCCAATATACTTGTGTTTTAATTTCCAGGAATTATCTCAATTTATGCAAGGAGAAGAATTTTTTTGCAACTTGCCTTTAAGCTGTTTACAATAGTTCCATGGCAGTCCACTGGGAAATTGCACGTACACAAGCAATCAAACATTAAAAAACTCCAAGAGAAATTCTATGTATATCTAGGCGCGCCCATACATACTATAATTTTTTTCTATATTATTAGATTAGAATTAGAGAGATGGTAAGTTTGAGCTCGGTAAAGAAAGAGGAAAGATCTTTTCGTCTTTTCACGAGCGTGGGATGAAAAAAATATTCTGAGTTCCCTTGAGGAATCGAACCTCAGACCTTCGCATTCCGCGCTCCAATGCTCTACCACTGAGCCACAGATACTATACTAGAGCATTGGATCGCGGAATCTGAAGGGCTAAGGTTCTATTCCTCATGGGCACTTAGAATCCTTTCTTTGTCCTACGCTCTTGATAAGACGAAAAACATCTTTCTCTATTTCTTTACCGAGCGTCCGCGCGATGGAACCCACAAATGTCAAAACAAACGAAACTGACCAATATATTTAATAAATATTTTATCCTCAAAATACAATTAACAACGCTACACGGCTTCATTCAGTGAAATTACAATCAATAAATTGTTGCCGCAAACAGCACTTTTCAGAAGAAAATTTTCTTCAAACTCCGCCTTCGAAAAGATGTACTTATTTACTGTCTTTTTTCCTTCAGCCGCAAAGTAAAAATTGTCACCTTTCTCGAAAACGCACAAGAAAACGTAGTAATTTGTTTAAAAGGAGTCTTTCTCACTTCATGCAAAGACAGTAATCAGAAAAAAATAAAATTGAATATTTTGATTATTCTTCTAATACATTAATAGTAATAATAATAATATGATAATGTGACTCAAAATACTCTTTTATCACTAAATACATGTGGGTTTTTTGACACAACGGGATATGAAATTGCGTCTTGTTTTAAATAATAATGATGAATCGATTGTTCTAAAAGCCTTTCTATTTATAGGAGAAGAGTTAAAAGATGCCTTTTGAGTAGTTTGGGTTTCTATGGAGGTTCAGTCAACTCATTATGCCGAGGTCAACCAATCAATCAATTTGAGTCTTTAAGGGTGCAAATCGAGACGGAGAGCAAGGAAGTCGTTTAAAAGAGAAAGGCTTACCTCTCGTTCATTTACCGGTGTACTAGTTTAGTCTATGACAGCATTCTTGAAACTTTTGACTGATCTTATTCTCCGATAGGACTTGGAAGAGTATTTCATAGCTTCGGGGCGGCCAATTAAAAGAACAATCCACGTGGGTAGCGAGCGATTTGCACGTGCTATGTTCAAGGTGCAAACCCTTGTTGGAACTTAGATGATATTATCAAGTGGCGACTCTCACAGAGATGAGAACTTTTAAGTAAGCTGGAATTTACAATGTCAACCTTGAAAGGAATTTGCAAAATGTGAAAAAACCACACGATGTTTTGCACACAACTAATGCAATGACTCGAGCCGAGGTGTGATGTGACAAAATCTGCTTTCCTGGAATATCAGGCGAGAAGCTGCGCTGAACTCTCTGTAATTCATGTAGATGGATAAACTTGTTGGCAAGCACGTGCACAATGAGGATTTGAATTAAAAAAAATTGAAATAATTCTTTCTTATATTTGTCAATAGTCACTTAAAAACAGTGTGAAGCCTTTCAGTAGGGGCTCAATAAATATTCGCAAACAAGCTTCACTTTGCTAAGTTACCAAAAAATTCAAAGAAGTTCATAATCACCTGGTATTATGATGAATTCAATTCTATTTCAGCGGGAAACTAGAAACTGTATGTAGACAAAAGGCAAGTTCTCGTCGAATACTTTGAAACATTTAAACAGATTTAAAGAAATAACGGATCACCATTGAGTGTCCCGTCTGTATCCTCTTTTTTCTTATATTATTTAAAACTACAGCATAATGAATAAGTTCGCTAGCTCTAATTAGTGAATGCTACTATGCTTTTCTTTTCGTTTTCTTCGCCTCAGTCACGACTCAAAATCCAATGTATTACTGTTTTTCTTGTGAAGTTTAGCCAATTTCTAAACGATATTTTATTTATCCAAAAAAAATATCTTTATCAGCATCATACATCAATATTTTGCTTTTTAAAACATGTTGCTTTAGTTACAGTTTTTGTCCTAATTGTGTTTGCATTCTTCAGCGCAAGGCTTTATCACCAAAGAGCCTGTATGAAAACTTCATAAGAAGCAAGTGTGTTCCTTGAATTTCATTGCAATCTTCTCATCGAAGGATTACCTTTGCACTCAGCTAATAGGTAAGTTGCAGAAAGATCTATTTGCTGCATAAATTAAGATTATTCTTGGAAATGAAACATAGGCTCACGATATACCGGTCGCTTCATATTATTCATGTCTTTTAAAGTAATATTCGACATATATGCATCCTGATGAATATACTAGGTCGCAATATTCGAAAATAGCATGAGGAACTTTGGCCCCGAAAAAAATCGCAGCATGCATTCTATAGAGGAGCTATATTTCTGTCATCAATGTAGAGAATTACATCAACGCTTGTAGTCGTTAGGTGTATATGCTGTTCCTAAACCTGTTGATTATAAGTTAAAGGTTCACCTAATATTTAATACTTCATCTAAGCGCAAAAACACAATAAATCTTGGATATTGGAATCACTTGGCGCGATCTCATCATGGAGGCCGAAGTCTTCAATCGATCGGTTGAGCTTCTTAGAGTTACGGGATCCAATCTCGACCCCAAAAAGTACTGGTATGTGCTAACGAAAAGTTAATGTGAAATAAGGCCGAATGCTTTTGCAAAGAACGAGTTGTTTCGTCAATTCTTTGATGACTGCAATACGTTCTGTCCCGCCAGAGCAGGTCTTAAGCGCGCCAACAAAGGCTGTTCGTTCAACGCCAGATAACCAAACAACATGTATGCTGCATGTTATTTGATCTCTGTGCCGGACTAATTAGATAGCGACAATTTTTAGCAGATGGATTCGTGAGGTCTCAAAATATAATCCTGTTGTTGACGCGATAAATCAGATCGCTCTCGACCGTACACTTTAGGCGGGAAATGCCCTGAGTCGAATAATCACGGGGAACCGCAAAGATGTCAGTCAAGAATAGCAGAGCTTGACAACGACATTCAGGAACTAGTAAAGGATAATAATTATATAAGTTAATGGTGGATGCCTCAAATTTCAGTCAAAAGAAAGAGTCCAGACAAAGAGCGGTCTCCTGATATGAATTAGTGTGCATTCAATTTTTTGTGCCCTTTTGGGTAGTGTATACCTGAGGGTTATTTTTCATCTCTCCTATACCCTCTTGGGTAGTGTATACCTGAGGGTTACTTTTAATCTCTCCTATATCCTCTTGGGTAGTGTATATCTGAGGGTTATTTTAAATCTCTTCTATACCCTCTCAGGTAGTGTATACCTGAGGGTTACTTTTAATCTCTTCTATACCCTCTTAGGTAGTGTATACCTGAGGGTTATCTTCAATCTCTTCTATTCCCTCTTGGGTAGTGTATAACCTTCGCACTTAAAAGGTCATTACAAGAATAGTTGCATTGCGCAAAAGCGGAACAGGGAGACCGCCAGTTGAAAGCTAGGTATATTCTCTGAATTTACTAATCATCACAGTTTCTGGACGTTAAAAGTTCAAAACCATGACCTGTATAAAGAAGGGTTTGTCGCAGTTAGCCCTAAATAGGCCCTGCCTTCGATCATGGAGATGAAATGAGCTTTACCGGTGCATACTTAAAATTACGAAAGATACATACTCAAAATGACGAAAGATACAAAAGGTTGGCCATGATTAGTATGTTTATACTAAAAATCAATAAAAATTTGCATGACATATTCTACAGGTTTTTTTTTTTATTATGTTAAGTCACCTTTCCGAATAATTATCGTCATTGGATATTGATCCTGGCAGTTTTTTCCTTATCGCTTACTTTGCTCTCAAAAATTACATTTTAATCATGCATTTAATACTGTAATTTAAGGGAGTCAAAACTAAGCGCGCACTCCTTTGATTTGAAGAAGCCCTTGATCAGAAATGGTCTCCTAATATGACCGTTTTAGAGGGTAAAACAACATGAATAATAGGTAGTTCATATCTACTTTAGAGCACTTTCAACAAAGGGGCAATTGTCAGCTAAATAATTTGGCATTAAATCTCTTTTTGTTCACAATTTTCTCTGAGATTGGCCCGGTCAAGCATGAATATAGCCAATTTTTATCTTATCTAATCTTGCAATTTAGATCGGTCGACGTAACTAAATTTGTAATGCTTTTATTTTTCCTTGGCTCGTGGTGATTTTATTGGGTTTTAATTTCATAACTTTCAGAAGGAAAGGGCCCTGATTCTGAAACGAAAGTGTCGAGAGGGCAAACAAGGGGTATAAAGTGATATAAATAGGTGTCATTTATACAATTCAGCAAAGAGGAAAATGAAGGCCATCGTTCAGCTGTTCCTTCTTCTGGTTATCGCCACCCTTGTCACTGGAAAGAACATTCCAAAGACAGCCGATGATCTTGGGCTTCCTGTGGATGATTCTGATTCAGATTCCCTCCCCGCGGAAGTCGAAAACGATCCTGACAGAGCCTCTTTTGACACAACATTGACTGACCTTGATTTTCCGTATGACGAGGAGAATGATCCTGGCAGTGGATGATCAGGTAGTTTGTGGCAGGAGGTAGGACTTATTGGATGCCGTTTTTTATTTATTTATTCTCTTTTCAGACCTTAATCGTTTTGAGGGTTTCAGAATAGGGAAATTACAGGAACTCGTGGACATACAACGATCTCACTAAAAAGCTAATGATCCTTTCATTTTAAAGAACAGAACCCAGCCGTAAACCCCCCAAAATTCCTCCCCCAGTGGGCTATGGATCCCCCCCGTATTTTACCATCAGTCTGCCACCTTTAATAAAATGCATGCTCTCCCCAGACTCCTAAAGACCAGCTAACGTCCCGAAATCCTCTCATTACTCGTTCCTATGTTTTGTACATGGAAACGAGTTTGAGGCGAAATAGGGGATTGATTTCAGGGGCTTATGTTTTACTTGTGGAGAATCTGGCACTGATCTGTAATTCAATATCCCAAAGTGGGAACATTGCAGAAGGCCATCTTGTTCCACAATATTGCCTACAATTTTTCAAGAAAAGCTTAACTCGATGGGCTGATGAACCGAATAGTGCTTACCAGGGATTTGCTAACCTTTTAAGTGAAAGAAATCGGGGAAATTGGACCAAAAGGTTGAAACAGTCATTGCAAGAACTCCCGAGAAAACAAAATTTGGCATCTATCCGTGCTACAACAAAGTGAAAGGTCTCTTCCTGCATATCAGCAGCAAATAAACAAAGAGCTTATAAAACTCAAAATGTAGGGCAAGTTATAGAATTTTTTAAAAGACCACGGAATGATAGTTTAAAAATCGTTGAAAAACCAAAGGTGAAAGTATCGTTTAGGAATATTTGTAGGAACCAACCCAAAAAACTAAGTTATTAATTTTTTGTTACTTTCCAGGAGAATGCAAAGAGCCAAGGATCTGGGGATCTATAACATTCGAAAATTTTTGGCATCTGAGGGAAAAAGTTTATAGAGAAAACCCTGAAGCAAGAATTTGTCAATATGCGAATATGTCAACCTAAACGGTTAAGAATAAATGGGAAAACAGATTACAATTTTGATGGTTCATTGTTTTTTTTTCGACCTTTAATCGTTACCTTTACTCTCCAATGTCCAAAATTAAATGTGCTCACGTTATCTAGAGTATAAGGTTATGGTTTATTATCATCATTAGTGTTACTACTATTATGATTATATTATCCTATCATCCTGATAAGGAAAGTCCATCTTTGCAGCTTCCCTCAACCTGCAATAAAATTAATGCAAAAGCATTCAAAATAATTCCACCAGTAAGTTTTGTCCTATTTTCAGCTAACAATCTTTCTAAAGGAGGAGTCATGTCTCCAGGGAGTTTTCACCTTCACCTCAGTCACACATGGCTAATATCACGGAAAAAGCAGCAACGACGACAACAACAACAACAACAACAGAAACAACAACAATGAGAAGACGACGAAATTCACAACTAAAACCTACCAAAACATTTGAAATAGGTTCCCACCTAACTGCAAGTGCCGCATGTTTTGGGGCACCAGTAATTTTTGATGTGATCCTGGTCGCAGCTGTCTGTCCAATAACGGCAATTTGAATCCAAGTCTGCACAATCTGTCGAGTTTAATGCTTTTTATCGTAACGAATTCATTAAATTTGAAATTACAAGAAAATGTCAACGTTGGATAGTATGTAACTTCTTCTCAAATTCATTTTTTCCCAAAAGTTTTTCTCAGCCTACCACAAGCTTAGTGTGTGAGTCAGTTTTGTACTGCTCTTTTTCAGGCCATGTTTTACATGGTGACTGCTTTAGTATTGCTGTTTTTTGCATGGAGGGAAAATGTTTACGACTCACTTGAATTGCCACCACCACTATCACCACCACCTACAAGTAAATTGAACAAATATGAGAATGCTGAGGCTGATAAGTCTTACCGAGACCTTGATTATTCTGGATATCACAAAAACCGAATCTAATAATTGTATTATTATACATTGACACGCCAATGAGTGGAACTGACAATTTATTTCTAGACGGGTAAAAATATATAAGTCAGAGGCACATGATTCGATTGGGTGGAACTGATAATTTATTTCTAAACGGGTAAAAATATATAAGTCATCGGCACATGATTCGATTGACAAAAAAGTCTAAGCATTAGACAATATGCGAAAAAATTGAATGAAGGCTGGTTGAGAAAGTAAATAGCAATAAATAAGCTTAGCTGAAAAAAAGACATTACAATCGTAAAAAGCCAAATTCCACTATTTTTTCGATGTCTTGCTCGGTCAACGAAGCAAACCTGGAAATCATGTTTTTGCTTCTTCACTAACGGCAAGCAACATAAAGCGCGCGAACTTGACATGATTACCCTCACCCTGAATCACGCACCGCGGTCGTAAATGACGTGATTACCCGTGACCTTGAGTGACCTTCACATGATTATTGTATAATCTGCAGCCAGATGACGTCCCAGGCGCTGATTTCAAAAATTCATTGTACGCTTGAATTACCGCCAAACAGAAAAGAGATAGTGAGTTGAATGAACAATTATGCACATCTTTGTATCATATATGCCGATCTTTCGGACTTCGTTTACCCTACTGTAATCAGCCCTCCAAGTGACATGAAAGGGTCTTCTTTCTCAAGAAATATTTGTAGTTTGTGCAATATAACCACAACAAAAGTACTGGGTTTTTTTGAGGATTAAAGATAGTAGAGCAAAATTCCATTTCTTACCCATTTTGCCTTTTACCCAGTCCACGTAAGATCCAACTCGTGCGTACACGGAGTACGTCATCGTGGGACAAGCCTTGCTGGTAACCCACGAAGTAACACCACGCAGTACCCATTTTCCATTTTCCTCGCATACTAGAGGCCCACCGCTGTCCCCATTACACACACTGCTTCCAGAGGCACCTGCACATACCATGGAGGTCTCATGAACGTAGTAACCGTTTTTCCTGTAGCACGTGTCGTGATCGACAACGGGTAAGGAGGTCTGTTGTAGTTCGTAAGCTGCTTGGTTAGATTGACCACTTATTCGGCCCCATCCTGGGTAAAGAGACCAAAATAATGGCAAAATGATTTCCCAGTAAAAAGTTTTCGTATCGTTTCCTTCAATAATCAAAACTGGTTGCTAGCCATTAAACTCGAAAAGCGACTAACGTAGGAACTGATCATCCGAGAGCCTTATGTGCTAGACAGAAGAATGGCCAAAAAGTTAACAGGAACGGAGGGATGGACCGATAGAGTGAGGATGGAAAGAGGGAACTTTAGGTTATAACAACAACTGAGAAATTGAGCTATTATCCGAATTAAACTAAGAGGTTGACCTCGACTTACCGGATGTCCAGCAATGAGCACCGATTTTAGCACGTGATCCTTGAGCAGGCATACACACCTTACCAACAGTGGGACCAAGTTTCACCTTAGAGCTCAGCTTGAGGACTGTAATGTCATTTTGTAGGTGGGACATGGAGAATCGCTCATGTTTGAAGATGCGAGAAACTTGGTATTCAACTCCATCCCCGTACCTTTTGTGAGCACCTGATAAGAAAAGAATATTTAACTGTCAGTATATCACATTTTAAGACGTGAAGGCGTGAAAGTTTAGACACAAGGAAATTAAAATTTGTTGTCAAAAGTGAGAAAGAATCAGGTAGACCTAGAAACTTACAGAATAGTTTACCTACCAGCCACAATTTTGTAGGAACTTGGTCGAGAGTCATGATTCACACAATGAGCAGCAGTTATTGCATACTCTTCGCTGATCAAAGAAGCGCCACAAATGTGTCCACCTGAGTATCGAAGAGACAACTGCCACGGCCAAGAACCATGGACTGCAGTTGTTCCGCCAACAATGCGAGATTGGCCTGGTCTTTGACCACAAGAGGCTGGAGTATGGAAAAGCGACAGATGTAGAAAAGGTAAAAAAAAACTGAAGTATTTAGGCTTAAGTGAAAAACGAGCTATTGATGTTAAGGCTTCTTTATATAAAGTAATTTTGTGACTTAAAATGATTTGTAAATCGAAATTGGGAAATCAGTAAAAGGATGCAACTTGAGCTGAACTAGTCTGCTAGACTACCAATGAAAACTAGAACTCTGTCCTTGTCTTTTTACCTCAAATAAGACTTAAAACTGTTGATCAAGGAAACTCAGTAAGAATTTGAATCTGCCATTTGGGTGATTAAAAACGATCTTCTAAGAAAGCTACTCTTAGATAAGAGTTAAAAGTCCGAAGAGCGTTTAGCCTCTTTTTCGCAAAAACTATATCCTCTTAGATTGAGTTTGATTTGAGATAAGGGGTTGAATAGATATACATCTGATATCGTACCTTCACTCAGCAGGGGTCCAAAGAATAAGAAAAAGGCCAGTGAATACACGTACATTTTTGTTACGCTGTTAAGGCACGGTCTACTTCAAAGTGCCAGAACCTCTTTACTTTCTTTACTTTATAGATATTTCTTATTATAGCAGCTTTCAGATGGTGCGCGTAAATCTTTTCATCTGACAAAGACTTTTTGAATGCTGAATTCTGTGTTTGCTTTCATCCTTTTATTTTACAGGAGTGTCTGGTTAAGCGTAAATAAACATGATAACCAGACAAAGAAAGTACTTGGATTATTTTTTTTAACGGCAAAAATGTCGAATTTTGAGAAATGAGGTGTTTCTCTTTAGCATCTTGCAAATTATAAGATAAATTATACAATTGACAACAAATGGAAAAAAAACTAGGTGAGTTGCATTGAGCTTGAGAAAAATTAAACAAGAAATAAAATCGTTTCAGCTGGTGTTCACCGAAAATTCAGCGTAAACTGAAAAATACAGCCAGAATCGACTACTATCACAAATTGTATTTAAATATCAGAAAGTGGTTACTCAGCTGTAGAATGTCTCAATTTATAGACTACTCAATAATTTTGTTATCAGCAGTCTTCAAGTTTTTCGCGATTTCAATTCGAAAGTATTTTCAAACAATTTCTAGCGGAAATAGACGGGAACTGCTCTAATACCTATCATTCAATTTGCGCTTCTGTGTGTAAAATAACGTGCAAAGCTTAATTGTGGAATTTCGTTCTTTCTTCAAAAACACTTTTGAAAGCGTGTTTTTTCAGTGAGAACTGTATTTGCAGAGAATGAGCTATCACATGATAATTTTGCAACACGAAGCCATTGAAAAATATTAACAATCTCGATTGTGTCAATACTTCAATTTCTTTTGTTTTTTTTATGCAGTCTGGTTGGTGAAGAAAAGGGGATATGTTTCTAAAGAAACTGTGGTGTTATGTCGGTGGGTGAGTATAACAGGATAATCTACTATATTAACAACTGAGTTGATAGCGTAAATTGGCCACTGTAAAGAGTTTCAAAGCTGACGTTTCGAGTGTTAGCCCTTCGTCAAAGCGGTTGGCGAAGTACTCGCGGTTAAAGTCACACAGTCACTTCTTTGCCTTGGCGGGTTCCTTTGTTGAGTTTCCGAACAAAAGAGCGTGTTACTTTGGTACAGAAAAGTCAATAAAGGGCAGCATCAATGGTGAGGTCTTTTATCACGTTGATAGTACAGATCATATTCTCTTGATCCTGTTCAAAGATGGATTTGCACCGTTGAAAGTATTGTTCTAACACCACAGAGTGTGTTTTTTTTATTCAATCAAGCGGATAAAGAGATTTGGAGACAAGGCTTTAACCTAACACCCATGATATTTTTATAATGTCGAGCAATTAAAAAAGTGATGCAATAAATTTATCATCTTACATTTTAAGGCTTTTAAAAGCCGTATGTAAAAGAGAAAAATCAATAACAATTATGACAAATCGTAAGGTCATTGGTATCCAACAAACTTATATTCAGTTAGGCGGTGGATAAGATATTTCTTATTATGCCAGCTTTCAGATGGTGCGCCTAAATCTTTTCATCTGACAAAGACTTTTTGAATGCTGAATTCTATGTTTGCTTTCATCCTTTTCTTTTACAGGAGTGTCTGGTTAAGCGTAAATAAACATGATAACCAGACAAAGAAAGTACTTGGATTATTTTCCGAACAAAAGAACGTGTTACTTTGGTACAGCAAAGTCAATAAAAGGCATCATCAATGGTGAGGTCCTTTATCACGTCGATAGTACAGATGATATTCTCTGGATCCTGTTCAAAGATGGATTTATTTTTTTTACTCCATCATGCGGAGTCAAGCGATTAAAAACGTGATGCACTAAATTTATCATCTTACACTTTAAGGCTTTTAAAAGCCGTATGTAAAAAAAGGAAAAATCAATAATAATTACGACAAATCATAAAGTCATCGGTATCCAACAAACTCAGATTCAGTTAGGCGATGGGCTAACGTTCGAAACGTAAGCTTTGAAACTCTTTACGGTGGCCGATTTACGTTATCAACTCAGTTGATAATACTAAATTACCCTGTTACACTCCCCCACCGACGCAGCACCACAGTTTCTTTAGAAACTTACCCCCTTTATTCAGATTCATGTAGGCGTTTCTGTGTCATGCAGTCAGTGTCCCGATCCAGTGCTCACGTTATCTGGCCCAGTCGTTTTACTGATGTTGTCCTCATGTTCCCGTTTTCCTAAAACTCATGATAGAAGAATAGAGAAATATGTAGATATCTCTTATGAATAGGAGTTTTAACCATGATAGATGAGTCACATCTTAAACAGTTGTTGCGTTTTCATGATCGTATTCAGTTCAGATTTATCATCGCGAATTACTCTATTGCTGTTTCTCGCATGACAGTGTTTTGGACCGCTCTTTTCCCTATTTTTGAAATTCACAACTTAGACATAGAACGAGCCGACAAGTACTTAGATCAAAAGGAGACATCAAGAGGAAGAAAGGTATCTTTGGCTGGGGTTTATGACAAAATAGCAGTATCATTCAAATTAAGGGCGGTCAACAGTTTTCTTTGCTAAGAAACGTTTCATTTTTCCCTTGCGGTAAGTTTTACAACAACGAGCGGACAGTCACTCTTATATCAAAGTCGATGTTACTTCCATGATGTTCTTTGTTTATCATTTGCGGATTGTTTAGACAACATAGCTTACATGTTTTAGCCTTACTCTAAATTTACTATACGAGACGTGATCGATTTTATTTTAACCGCTGAATTGTTTACTAAACTAGGGTTTGTACTGTTGTTAGTATTCCGTGAAAGGCAAAAAGCTTAAACCATTTAACAGTCTCTAGTCATTTGAGCAGAGGGAGCAAAACGAGAAGGGCAGACACATTTTTTCCTTTGGTATATCAGCATTCTTAACTTTCCTTAACCATTTCTTTCAGCGACACAGCGAATTTCAACGAAACGCTCTGTCCAGATAAAGTGTCTTGCCTAGCCGACGTGCAAAGTAAAATTAAGAAACGGTGCATTAGAGCCGTCAACCAAAACAAAGCGTGTCTGAGTGTAAGCTAAACTCGAATTATACATATTGTGTGATAGACATGTACAAAAGAAGCTCTACACCACGAACTTGCATCGATTGAATCCATACATATACAAAAAAATATATTTATTGACGCAGAAGATGTATTTTGTCCCGCTGGAACATTTTCCAATTAGTTTTTACCAACCTAGCGGGACAGATTTGACCTCCTAAAGAAGGTGTAATGACTTAAAACTGATGAAATTTTGCATTATGTGACCATGTCATTTTTTCTTGATGAGAGACTCCAATTCTTATAGACTGCATCATTACACGCTAAACTAAGACATTCAGTTTTCCTTACACCTTTTAACATCATTCTTTATCAGGGTGAACTGAGTAAAAAAGGACTCAGTTGGGGTTAATACCTAGAGATTTCTACATAAATGATAAGATGCTGACGAAGAATAACAAACAAAACCCTTGAAAGGCCTTGTGTGTCTGTATAATGAACGATCAGTATAGGTAATCACTTGATTTCAAGTGCAATTTGGAATAAATAAGCACGAAGAGCTTGCAACAAAATTTGCAATTTGTTGGCTTTGAAAAAATTTACAAGTGCAAATTTATTCCAAATTGCTCGAGAAAACTAATGCGATTTCGTATCAATAATATACATGAAAAAATACGAAATAGCCTATTATAGTTATGTAGAAGCAAAGCGTGCGCATGAAGTGCAAAAATAATTTATTAAAACCCTGCAAATGGCATTGTGCGTTCGGTCAAAACAACCGCGGACGATTAAAACAATAACACACAATGATATTTTCACATCTTTGAGGCGCAAGAAAGTTCAAAGTCCGGCTAAACAGTTTAAGGAATGGTTCAGTCTGGTTTGTTACTATTTTTGCACTGCATTTACCTTAACCAATCAGAACTGAGTAACTTTCTCATGTAGTTTATCAGAAAAGAAAAATAAACGAAAAGATAAAAAAAGGAAAAAAGGACAGAAAAAAATCTTAAATGCGATCTTTTCCTTTCTCCAAAGTATTTTTATCCAAATTTGATTAATAAGTAACAACAACACTCGCGTGGCAACCAATGTTTAAAAATTCTTCGCTGATTACCCACGAGGACTCACGCGTTGATTTTGTATACTATGTAAACTTTAAATTATTAAGCGCAATGAAGCCTCTTTTGCCTCTTTAGGGCAAACGAAATATATTCCAGGTACGGTTTGGATTGCGGCTACCGAGTGGATCAAAAGCACGATGAAGGAAAACTATGCGAGATTTTCTCTCAGAATCATTTAGACTATTTGAACATGTTGTTATACTCCTTCATCTGGATTTTAATTCAGCCCAGTGCGTCCTGTAATTTATCAAAATGCACTGAAACATCTTCGGTCCAAAGATACCGTTTGGAGGGACATGTACTAATTGAACGACGCGCTGAGACTATGCTAGAATGCGCGCAGTTCTGCAACCAAACCCAAGAGTGCTTGAGCGTTAACTACAAGTTGCTGGGTCAAATCTGCGAGCTGAATAGAGCAGATGTCCACATTGCTCCTCACAACTACCTCCCAGCCAGAGGTTACGTTTACCTTGATAATCCTTGGCCCAAAGTCAAAATGGTAGGAGCTAGTACTTTACTTCTTCGATTACCAAATAAAAAGAAAAAAATAAACGCGAACAAAATAGATTCAATCTGCAAACGTTTATCTTAACCGTTTAGCGGTAAATTTCAGTGCATAACTTTAAAGGTGTAGTTTTTAAGCCAATCCCGTAATCGAAATACTAGTTTACCCGCCAACGTTGTAGCATTACTCAATCCTCTTTTCCATAGTTAAAGATTTTCTACTGGCGTTTAGTGCTAGGTTACGCTCGACACTCCTCTCCTTTTACGAAATTTCGAAACGGCCTATTCTGTCACGTGTTTTCTTTAGCAATCCATGCTGTCTTGCCTCAGAAATTTGGGGCGAAGGGGGTAGAAATATTATTACCCGGTAAATACATATGTAACTTATATCTTTGCTGTTTGTCCTTTCAATTGATGATTTCAGAAATCTTGCGCCAGTATTAAGGATATTGTCTCTAACGCGGAGTCAGGCTACTATTGGATTGAACTCTGGCAAGAGAAGAAGGAAGTTTTCTGTGACATGATTAATTTTGGTATGAACCCAACAGTTCACAAATTAATTTTAAAAATAATTAAAAAGTTTTCCTCGACTAGAGCTTTTTCACTTTCCTTATGATTTCCAGATGTTCTCGAAAAGTCTGTAATTCGTAACTATTGTATTTCTCTTCACAACCGTTGCTATTCCTATTCATTACTATTACCATGGTCGCGAAAGTGGCTGATTGGTCTTCATTCCTATCACTGGGGTAAATTTAATATGCGAAACACGGACATCGCACGACTTTTAAGACATTCACATGAATATAACACAAAGTTTGCACAAAGTTTAAACAGGTATTACGTGCTCATCATAGAATGACGCTCGTATGAAGTTTTGTTCCCCAAAATATTATGTACTCTTTACTGCTCAAGAGTTTGGTTTGTTTCATTTCTGTTCGACTTTATTGTGAGGTGGAGGTTGGACACTTGTCGCAAGTATCTCGTCTTCAAACAATAACCATCTGCTAAGGACGGAAGTAAACTGCCTTCTCCCAAACCGATGCGTCGAGAACGTTTCCTCAGATATACCAACCAGAAAAATGTCTGATAAAGACATCCATGCTATTGCAACTACTGAAGGTAAGATAAACGAACAAAAGCAAGGAGCTTTACAGTTTTACGAAACCAAGATCTTTACAAGCATCTGCTCTTTTCTACTATTCTTTTTGATTTCAATGGTGAAATTATTTTCTTTTCATAAATTCTCTCTTACCAGGGACATTTCGAGTTGATCAGGTATCGAATGGTTTCACAGCCTTCTTTAAGGTAAAATTATTATTTTTTGGTTTCTAACGATCCATCGTCAACTTCCAACAACAGAAAGGGTTAAGTTTGACTCCAGCTGCCCGGGTACAAGTCCTGCTGCATCATCAGTTCACTGAGTTTTGCCGTAAGTTAAAATGTCTCTCCACCTAGGACTGATGAAGGCATGGGTACTAAGTCAAACTGTCGGGATACTCCTTGACACGTGATGCTATTGAAGCATTTTCAAATGCTTAATTACAAATTCCTTGTTGTTACAGATACCTATTGGAGCGCATCTGTTTAACTCTGAATGCTTCGGAGCAAGGTACTTGTATAATGGTGTCAATTATACGATTCGAAGAAAATCCCCTTTAAAACAAAATGCGTACGAAAATAAGATTATAAATGCTTGAGCAACATGTTAGTTTAAGGAGAATTTTGAACGAGAATTACGAACGAAGAAATGAATCGATATAATAGGCAGGTGAAGTAAACTGATATCATTCCCGGACATTAAAAAGAAGGAGAAAAAACGCAATAATCAAGCATTACCTTTAAAAATGTTCACCCAGCTTTAGGAGAATATAGAATTGGTATGGTGCGAGTACTAGCCGTGAGATTATAAAAGTGAGTTTGTTTTGTTTCACAATACAGCATTATTTTGCTTGTTTGTTTGTTTATCTTCTCATGCCATTAGCGCTATGGCCGATAACCTCCTTGCATAGAACAATCCTATACCAACCAGAACCCTGGTACCTCTCTTAAATGCAACATAATTTCTTATCATTTTTGTTTCAGTTGTCCTCGTATAATTGTGTCTCATTCATATCCCTACCAGTGGGAATCGAACTGCAAGGGGACGGAGCTTGGCTATCAGATCACTGATACTCCTAACCGTTGCCATAGAGGTAAACATTTATGAGTAAGTGCAAGTAATTTCATCAGGATTGCTGCATAATTGGCAATGTAAGGTATCAAATTTTAAACATCACCTATTACCTTGCTTCTCCAACTTTGAAATTAGCAGCTTTAACTAAATAATTTCTAATGGTGAACACTTCAGGTATTTGCACGTTTCCCCCAGGAGCTTTATATTGTGCGATAATCCATTTTTTTCTCATATCCCAGTGTTCGATATGCACGACAACGGTGAATGTGGTCACACTTGGTACTCTTCGAAATATGGTGAGCTCCAATCTATCGTTTTGTACTCAATTATCTTAAATAGCTATGCTCATTCATTTTTCCACAGTTACGATGTTAATGGTACATCTCAGTTATGTTTTTCAATTTTTTGTAGATATTATGGTTTTCTTAATCCTATATGTCTCTTGTGTTATGACGATGTTTGGCTATCATATTCACAATGATCATGAGTATGTCGTTGTCGTCATTATCAGTGATAATTATTCCTTTTATGGTGATTGTTATTTTATAATTCTCATCAAACGTTTTGTTGCTTTAGGTACAAATCGAGTGCTGTATGGATTCCCCTGTAGCAGTTTCAGTGGCATTTACAGTAATAAACAAGGTCTTCTTTTTGTAAAATAGACTATATTCATCGTAGAAACTGAAGAACGTAATACTTAGATGCATGAAGAACGAGTTACCAGCGAAATTCTGGATCAGACTTCATTAGGAAGTTTACATGAGGTGCGGATAACCAACATAGGAAAGCTAGCTATGGAAACCGCTGCATGGCTGTGCACCTGTATAAGAAACTAGAGGAGATCCCGCATGTCATTATTCCGATTATTTTTACTTGATGTTAATGCGCTCTTTTTATAATTCGAAGTAGAAAATTCAACCACATGTTGTGGTAACTTTGGTAGAAAAGAATTTGTTTTGGTGGGGTGTTTACTTATTCATATTTAACTTGCTCTAAAGGGAATAATTTCTCTTTGGCAGAGTAAGAGTGGCCAAATTTCGCTGTTGATGTCTTAGTTCTTGTTTAAGTAGTGGCCGATGTTTCAGTCAAATACTTGAACTTGCAAATTGCATTCATCACGAGCTTATGTAGCTAAGCCTTTTAAAAATTCACAATAAAAATGATACCTCCAGCGTTATATCATTTTAACTTTATTGATCTAATTCCATTGCTATGCTCAGAAGTATACAATTGTAAATTCAATCAGCTATAACTTCAATTTTTCTCGGTCAGTTGTCACGATCTCCATTTCCCTAGAGCCAGGATTGTTCTAAAACAAAATGTAATCGTATGAATGCGAATTGTGACAAAAAACAAAACAAAACAAAACAAAAAACATGATTATATCAAAATCCAGAAGTCCATAATAATTCGTCAAAACCCAAAATATTGGTCAGTTTGTATTGCTCTGATACTTACACGCGCAGAATCCACACGACTTTTGGCATTTTGTATAAACATCGGGAGTGTGACAGAAGACCAAATAACCCTGGCAACTTTGGGACGGTACTGTATCCTTGCAGTCTGAAAAAGATTGAGTTAAAGTGTGAAATAAAATTCTGCGAGGGAATGCGCACGCAAAAAAGACAAGCAATATGCTATTTTGACTTGTAGCTTGCGAGGTTACCGATGGAATCAGGAGAAGAGTAAGGTAAGCGAAGAAAAAAACAAAACTAAACAAGACAACATGAAAATAACAAATTAGATAAATGTCTCAACATTCTTTAGAAACAGCCTTTACCTTTTCCGTCATCTCCATCGCCGGCACCTTGAAAATGAAATCAAGAAGATAAGTGGAAATTAAGAACGCTCATTTCATTTATAGCACGAAAACAAACAGACAAAAAAAAAAAAATCTGACAAACTTGCTAATCAACATTAAAAGTCTCAGGCAAATATAGATATAAATAAACTTACTCGCAATCTGTTGGTTTATCCAGTTTATGTAGTAGCTAACACGGGCGTACATGGAATAGTTATCAGTTTTGCATTTATCGCCCGTCCAAGATGCTACACCACGAAGAACCCACCGTCCATTTTCCTCGCAAGCGAGAGGACCTCCACTTAAACATGAGACAGTAGCATTATACAAAGTGTGAAACACAATATCATTTAGAAGATGCTGCATCCTTACACTGAGTCACGGACGGGTCGCTCAAAAGTTGTTGAGTATAAACCAAGATTTGGCGCATTTTTATTTGTTTTAACAGATTTATTTTTGGGGGCAGTTTAAGAGTAAAATCTGGTCGCAGGTTATCCCATGGTACAATCAGCTGGCGTGTGGTAGTCGTTACATTTTCCTTTGAGTGGTGACTTCCACGAAACAAAAAGGCGGAAGCCTGCTCACAGTCGAATGCTTCTGTAAAGAGGGCATTCGATTTTCTCTTATCTTAACTAAATAGCCTCATTTTCTCATTTTTTTTTTTTGAAATGGGGGAGAAAGCGGGGAGATAGGGCTCTGTCAAATACCTTATTATCAATTATTTATTACCTGTCCCCATGACATGCCACTTTTCCACCTCCTCCGATGCAAACCATGGTAGCATCATGAACTCTACTCCCAGCCTTCCTTGAGCATGTATTGAAGTCCACAATTGGAACGCTGGCTTGTTGAAGGTGTGTGGGCGATTTGTGATTTCCCCAGAAGGTAATCTTGACGGCACCCCACCCTAGATAAATAGAACAAATAAAGAAGAGGATGATTTAGCGTCCTCCCAAAGCCACACGCTTCTTGTCCGGTTCAAACCATATGCCTGTTTCACGCTGAACCAGGGTCAGGGTATTCGCCCAAACTTAGGGCATTCGCTTGGAGTTTGGAACGAATTATTAACCTTTTAACTCCCAAGATCTCATTAGTAATTCTCCTTACTGTCTGCCATACAATTGTTATGATGTCAATTTGGAGAATTTAGTATTGGATCAACTAGTAATCCCCTAAGTGATATTTTTCTTTATTCTCCTCACTTCTATACTTAACATTATGCTGATATTGTAAGGAGAAATTCTCTCTTGGTCACTCATAGAAGATAAAGGGTTAAGGGAAAAAATAACTGAAAAACAAACAAACAAACGCAACAAGAAGCAGAGGAGAACTAGAAACTAAGTCCATGATTTTCAGATCTACAGCAAATATCTAGTTAAACTGAAAGGAAAAATATACAGATACTTGAAGAGTGAAAATTTGCCAGGAAGAGATGGAAGAGTTGATTCTACGGAGATTACAAGTGGAGAGACAGACTCCCAATATTAATGCTGACTTCGCTTGGATCGTTTATTTCTTTGTTTTTGTTAATTTCCTTCTCTATCATTGTCATGTTGGAAACGGTCAAAGAAATGATGAAACATAAAGAGACGTTTTTTGACTTTATTCTGTTTATTTAGCTATAAACTCATCTTATTTATTTCTGGTTGTTTTTTTGTCTTTTGAAAGTCTTCTCCACGAAGGCAAGAAACTACATAAATTGATTAGAATTATGAGCGCAAACCTGAAATCCAACATCGACTTCCCGGGGAGATACGAGATTGACTCTTAGGGAAACACACAGTCCCTACTTTATTGCTGAGTTTCACGGGTACAGCGAGCCTCAACAGCGCCATATCATTCCTAAGGTGACTCATTGAAAATCCGCCATGCGCAATGATCTTGTTTATGCGGTAGGTGACTCCGTCTCCGCGTATTCGGTGTGCTCCTAATAGAATTTTTTTTAAAGAACAGTTGATATGGTTTGTGCTCACTTATCAAGATAAGAAATAAGCATAACTCAGAGAGGAGATATGTATAGTAATTATTATCGAATCCTTGATCGAGGTGAGTACTTTGAGAAATATAATGAAAATGATTATAACAATAATGGGAGTTAAGCAATGAACTCTTTACGAGGTGATTCTTCTTGTCCACTGTTTCCAAGACGAATTGGAATCGAATTTGTTAGCTTTTGTGGTGTGAGGATAACCAAAAACCTCGGAAAAAAACCCTCGGAGCGAGGAGAGAACCAATAACAAACTCAGCCCACATGTGACGCAGGTCCGGGAATCGAACCCAGGCCATAGCAGTGGGAGGTGATTGTTTTCACTACGGCTAGATAATACATACTTCACAATATCTATTGTCATTCCCAGTGCCTGATAAAGTCGTCTGTAAGGGTAGGAAATATCAGAAAGGTAGGAGGCAGACCGAAATGAACGAGAATAGTTTGCACATGATTGAAAAACGAAGCTTTTTCAATTTTTTTTTTCATTTTTCGTAAAATATCCAAATCTCCTTTGAGCCCATCTTCTTGAACGCCTATCCTCACCTGCTACGAGGCTGTACAAGTGTGGATCAATATAATTTCTGACGCAATGAGCCGCTGTGATGGCCCATCGAGGACTAATCAGGGACGCACCACAAGTATGACCTCCCATCAGTCTTAACGACAGCTGCCAGGGCCATGAATTGGGCGTCGCTGTCGAGCCCCCAACGATTCTGGTCCCAGGACGACGTCCACATTGAGCTATGACGTAGGAAGGAGAAAAATAAGTTATAAAGATGAATTTAACGAAAAGTCAGTCAAAATATACCGCTATCAGAACTTCACTAATCTGAAAAGACAAAAAGCTTTTTCAATGACGAGTACACTTTGAAATTGTTTGAACAAATCAAGAACCGCAGCTGCTATTTTTGCTGAACGTTTCATTGATGAAAAGAATGGAAATCTGACCAAAAAACATGCAAACAAACAAAAGACAACAACGAAACAGAAACTGCAACATATGAACGCTTGAAAAGTCATGAAATTTGTGTTGAAATCTTGAAACGAGACATATCTGTGCATCCCAGCAATGTAGGCTTTGTCTGCTTTATGGTTAAAAAAAATTGAAGAAATAGCCACAATTTTTTTTAGTATCAACGTGTCATCATGCAGAAGATCACAATCTGAAACAATTTTTTTCCTTTCGAATTCATACAATTACTTGACTCTTGCAAATAAAATGATTTTCTAAAATACCAAAAGATAGTTACCAGGAATAAAAAAAATCTGTTTGGCTTAGGTAATCAGTAAAATGACTGAGCGATATTGTTTTATAAATTATTATTTATTAAACATATTTAACTACTTTACTCTTACCTTGAGAAGGAACTGGCTCGAATAAAATGGTGAAAATCAATGCAATAACAAAGTGCATTTTATCCTTATAGTGTACAACGAATGTGATATATCTTTGATCTCGAGCATACATTTATCAGTTGAGTTATCATTGATCAGCTGTAAAACATCTGCTTTTGAATTTTATCTAGGCAAGGCAGATACAAAGGGAATTCAGAAAGCTGTGCACTCATTTAATAAAACGATTTCATGAACTGAAGGAAGATTTAATATTGTGATTGTAAACACTCAGAGCATTCGATGAACTACCAAACAAAGCAGATAGAATGAACCGCTAGCCTTTTTTTTGGTTTTGTTTCTTGATCTCATTTTGTCATGCTGGAATGTTTTTCAGTAACTCGTAAACTTCAAGTAACTTCGTAAACTCGTGTACTTCAAGAAAATTTTCCAGTAAAACTTTTCTCGCAATTATCACCTCACTAGCAGTGCACGTGTTATATAAACAACGTCCATTTGTGATGTATCAAATTCTTACTAACTGAGGGCCGTACTTGGGAATAATGGCCGGATGTCCGAGTACGGACCGTGCGCAGAGATTTCCGTACAAAAACGACCGAGGGCCATCATTCCACAGTATGGCTCGATATTGCGAGGTTAGAAAGTAGCTTATTATTGGGCACTCGGATCAAACTTGTTTATTTTGAATTTACCGGCTTTCCCGAACAAAAAGATCTGCTTCTAACTAATTCCGTGGAAACGGTCCGTGTGGCAAAATACCGAATAAGAACCAATCTGGACGATCGTGTTTACCTCAGGGCTACCTTGCCACATAATTAACTTGATATTTTCACTGAAAAATTATTGCTCGGTGTATTTGGTCTTCGTTAGCCTTCGTGGTCAGTTATTGATACATAAAAGCAAGAATGAATAAGCTCCATTTGGTACTAGTTAGTGGGTAAAATATGAATGTTTCCTGATCACAGTAACGGTGCACAGCGGCAGAATCGTTCAAGTGTAACTTTACACAACCTTAGACATGCATCAAGTAAAGGGTATCACAAAATTGAGAGCAATAAGATCAATCTTTTCAGAAAGGTTCGTCTCCAAATTGTTGTTCTTCTAAAAATAGGCCTCTTCCGCAAAATGCTCAGATTTACGGAGCTTCTTCAAAAAGTCCCTTCTTCTGTGGATATTTTGTCCGGATAAGGTTGAACGTTTGACCTAGCTCCAGAAATGAAATGGCCTATTCAAATATTCAAATATCTCTGGTGGAGTTTGAATGAGGCTTAAAAAACAAAGCCAGTGTTTTCAATCCAATTTGGAGTACTGAGTTTTCGAAAAATGCCTTTAAGTTTTCAATGGAAAACTTATCCGAATTAGGGTGAAAAGTTTAAGCCAAACCGCCAGAACAATTTCCGGTCAACTCGGAACAAACGGTGAATTGAATTTTTTATAGGGATATCACTTGAATTTTGTAAACAATCGACCTCATCGGCTTATGAAGACTAGCAGTATTGCAGTCGAAACGTCGCGATCAACATCCAAGGTGACTCCAACGTGAGACATACGAATAAAGTTCATCTCCTATCTTAAACCACGATGAACAATTAACACATATTCTACTACAATTATTCCTTTTTGTAAATTTTCGATTGGTCTAACATGTAAATATAATTTTCAGATCCAGTAATAGAGTTGTGCCCCGTTACTTATCGTAACATTGGATGTTACAAAGACTTCCACTTGGGTCGTCGTCCAGTAACGGATCAGCTATCGATAGAAGGGGATTTTGCATGCCCCAGCAGTGATGTGGCCGATTTCGAGGAATGGAATGACAAAATGTACGACCGTGTATATAAATGCGGCGAGAAAGCACGAGAAGGAGGGTACAAGTATTCTGCTTTGGAAGACTGCGGTAAGTAAGAGTTAAGTTTAAAAAAAAAATGCACCTACCTTTAGTTGAATGTTATAACAGTGGCGGGAAGGATTTGAACGAGGAGTGACCGAACTTAACCCCTCACAAACTAACATCAGAATGCATATTCTCCACACTGTTCTGTATGCATTTCTAGGTGCTAACAAGGAGAATTTGTTTGCCAATCAAAAGATTCAGCCTTCCCCAGTGATCATTTCCTTTATTCTCACGACCTTAACGTGTGATTCAGGAGTGATATTGTAGGGAGAAATTGGATGCCCGTCACTCTTAGGATTTAAAGGGTTAATAAAACTTGTAAAAAAACACGCCATTGTGCCTTTGAATGGAAATAGAGAAGTGATGATGGATACACAAGCAATGTTAACAGTCATGTTCTCTATGGGGTACTCCTGAATAGACTGCAAGAAAAAACTAGAGGGATGGCACTAAAAACAAAAGAGAAAACGACTTTCCCGTTACTTACTAACACATCAGCTCGAAAGGTCTCGCTAGGCAGTGTGCACGACTGCAGAGGCCGAATTAGACTGATACGTCAGAAGTTTCTCACCAACCTTTCTAAAATTCTGTTTCTTTTAATACTTTCATGCAGGTTAGTGCTGGGTAGCAAAGGAATTCTCAGTGAATAAGAATGGACTAAGTGACCTGTGTGTGACTGACGGGATGGAAGAGTGCACCTCTGCATCCAAGAATTGCGTTGGCGCAAGTAGGCTGGCGCTGAACGCGTACAATATTGTTGAACGCCCAAAGTATGGAAAATAAAAGAGAAAAAAGGGAGAAAATTATGGCTTTCGAGTGCTTTTTCTTCTTTGACTTAAAATTCTGAGATCCTTAAAACTCAGTATGAATTCGAGAAACAAATTATGAGCAGGCGCGTTGATCCACCGTATACCCGATTATTTCGAGGGGAGGATTTCGATTTAACCGAATTCACCCTCGTGCTAAACGAAAAAAAAAGAACAAACAGAAACAAAGCACAACAAAACATAACACTAAAATTGAAGTTAAGGGTTCCGATTCTCTTCTGACACTTTTTTCTCGCGGACCAGCATCCGCAATCGTTTGCTGTTTGATCACCTTCGCGGCAGTTTTCTTTTCAATATTGAAAAAAGGAGACATCTGGGAAATGAACAAAGTGATTACTAACAATCCGCCAATGCGACCATAATTCACTCAGTCCTTAAGCTTCGATTGAATTTAGCAAAAATTTCTCAGAGGTCGAGCATGATCACTTTTTACGAGCAGTCAGGAATCCTTTTTGGCCTCGCTTTTACTGTTTCCATGCATTCTAAGGAGGCAAGAAGGGCTTCTCCACATACATATACAAGAGGAACAAAAACTCAGATCCACCATTTATAAACGAGATCTTTACGTTCATGGTCTGGCTAACAAATGCCCCGAGAAACTTACAGTCAACTTTCTCCAAGTGGACATCCAACTAATTCGAACCAGAGATAAAGTCTTCCTCAAGTTTTATACATTGTGCCACCAAAACACTATTGATATTACGTTACCAATCGACACATACTTTATTACAGCGTTCTACACGTACCAGCCAGATAAATAACGTCAAAAAGGTGTGCCGTTACATTCATAAAATTACTCTTTTTGACCAGATACTATTTACTTCATCTTACGACAAATGGTAGGGGACGTGGTTTCTTTGGCTTGCATTCTTCTTGCTTCTCGAGTCTGTTTGCTGTCACCACTAAGATAAAATTATTTCACCTTTACTCATGTCTTTCTCTAGATTTGACTGTAATTTTTCAAAAAGAAACCTCTCTGGGAATTACACTACATGTTACGCACTGAAATTTCTAGGCTAAGTACACACGTCCATAAGTGTTTACAGAAACTATAGAGTCCAACTTGCTACTTATACATAAAAAATGACGCATGACAGCACTGTTCTGATGCACGGTTATCAAAAGAAATGTGTAACAGTTATCAGTAGATTTGCGTGACGTCATACAGAGTCCATCCCCAGCCATAGCAAATCATTTTCATAGACATTTTGTTCTCAATTACAGCCTATTCTGAGGAAGATCATCATCCAAAGGTCGACCACGCGTTATTCGAGTTAAATTATCCGTGGGATTATCAGAACCCCAAGGGATGACTGGGAACTGTGTTCACATTCTTGATGACGTCCATTGCTATTCTCGACATCTTGGTGTCGTTCGAGACTTTATTGGAGTCGTGTAAGGAGCCCAGATTTTGTCTTATTCTGTCAAAAGCCTGTGAAAAGACAAGCAAACAATGTAGTGATAATTAAGTATACTGATATCACTTAAACAAAGGCAGAACTCTTAAGGTTACTTTTCGCTCTAAGGCTAAGCTCTGTGGGGAAGAGCGTGATACTGAAATATGACAGTTGTATACGCTATGAACTCTCTTTTCATCACTTAATCGATGCTGGTAAGACGCAAAACGATTAAGAGATTTTCGTGGGGAAGATTTCAAGCAGAGTTTTACGCTTACGAGAGAGTCAATTGGGAGAACTTCCATCGTACTTCCAAACCTGATATCTACAGTGAAATATTCAACCATTGTTTTACCTCATCGCAGTAAACCGTTGTTATCATAGCCTCGTGTTGCGCAGATTGAGCTTTATTGTTAAGGGATCGGGAAGCCCTGTGGAACAGAAAAGAAAGATGAAATAACCATCTTACAAAAAAAAAATTCAAGGAAGCGGTAAAGGTGGAATAAACAGCAAAATCAATAAAGAACCGAAGGCATAACAGCTTGAACACCAGTTTTTACCGCGATTACAATGCCCATTGAAATAAACGTTGACTACCACACAACAGGGAAAACAATCAGCTAGCTCATACCTACTAATGACACATACGTGTGAGTATATACGCGTATGCTCGTATGTATATACTATTATGCAGATGGTCTTATACGCGTGCTATGCGTGTTTTGCTCGCATATTTTGGTTCGATTATACTTGAACTGTACTGTAAGGAGTCAAACGAAGTATTTACTATAAGGCACAATCTCTCACAACATTTTTATACCCTTGCAACTTTCGGGAAACAAAAACTGATTTTATACGTATAGCAGTGTACTAAAACATCTAGTCAGTAGACGGAATCAACCCGAAGGAACGTAACTGGTAATAACTAATTGCGTATATCGCGTGCCTTCTTTAGAGTGACAGAAAAAAAAACGCGCATCTTACCTGGAAAGCACCGCTGCCATGCCATAAATATCGATTGTAGCATCGGCAAGTCTCTTAAGTAAGAACTGTTCATCTGTAACAATAAAAACAAAAGCATCCTTTACAGATATGATCTCAACGACTGAACTCTACAACGCAAATGAAGCAATTTGCTTAATCAATAAAAAATATCAAAAAATAAATAAAAAACTAAAAAAAAAAATAGTCAGCAAATAGATCACTCCCTCCAGATTTAACCTTACTATCAGATTCTAAATTCTCCTTGCAAGCTCCTTCGGAAACGTATAGCGAACGGCATGGAGAATTTACATACAGTGTACTGATATGAGGGTGTAAAGGGCTTAACAAGGATGGTATATGTATATACAAACATCTCATTCCCCTACGGTACATGTAATCTATTCGTTTTGAGGAACGATAGTACATCTCGACTGACGGGGCATACAATCGCCTCAGCCCTGCAATTTCCCTCAGCCGACCAATTTGGACGGTCGATATGAAAGGAGGATTTGATCCTTTTTCCATAAGTTGTATTACATGTCTATGTACGGGAAAATAAATTAACATGGTGGCTACGAGCGAAGTCAACGGTTAGTTACCTCTGATGTTTTTGCCATGTTTAATCAACAACTTCTCCACGGTCACAGCAAAGTCACCGGAAGCTTCCGACAACTAAACAGAAAAAAAGGGAAAAAATTGAAGAAAAAAAATTGTTAAGCTACATTAAATTTTACTCTCTACAAGAAAAAAGCCTACAAGGTAATCTTATAAACAGCCATTGTTACGCCATCTCTCTCGAAAAGGAATCGTTGCAACAACAGCTGCGTACGAAACTACCTCCCCCCTCCCTCAAAATCACACAGCCCCCTGCTCTAAAACCACACGCGCCTCTCCCTCCACAGCCTTGCCTCTTTCTTTCACAATTCCTTAATTTCATTCTTTCTTCCTCATTCTTCCTTCAGCTCCTCTACAAAAAACAACACACCCCTATTTCGTGTACTCACCAGCTTGGCGGAAGTTGCCAGATCCGCGTGAACATGTTCAGTTAGAGACGGTCCTGACTTCAATCCAACAGCCCTGGTTTTTCGTAAGCAAATAAAGGCGGTTAAATGAATTGTATACACAGAATAGGAAAACAACACATGAAAATATCGCGATAGGTAACTAACACTAGCAGTGTTTATACCTTCTTGTTCTCTTCATTCCTTCAGATAAAATCAGCCCAACATTTGCAGGATTTGTCAAGGACTTCTGAAGTTCCCGCAGATATTTTCCAGCGTCCTGAGAAAATTGATAATCGCATTTATTAAGAATATTTATTTTAAGTTTACTGGCTTTCAACTCATTTTCAGCGGTTAGTGATAGAAGATTGACAAAAGGCCATTACAACTAACTATTCTTCTGGATGATAAACACGTTGAAATTATCGTCAGGATTCCAGGACAGCCCAAAATGCTACTGTCTATTTATGCATTTAGGAAATAACCCCTTGACCCCTAAGAATGACCAGCATGTAATTTCTCCTTACAATATCACCCTTGAATCACATATGAAGGTCGCAGGAACGAAGGAAATGATCAGCAACTAAAAAGAGCTCTTAATTATGAAACAAGTTCTCCTAATAAGCGCCTTGGAAAATGTATAGAGAACAGTAAGGAGAATTAGCATACTGATGTTAGGGTCAAAAGGGTTTATGAAGCACCATAATAGTTAAGTGAGACTCCTTAACTCGACAGAAGTTGAACATGGGCCTTCTAATTCAATATTAAAATTTTACGGTACCGACCACCACGCCTCCCATAGGAAAAAAAATCTTAAGATTCTCAAATATCAAAAATTGTCGACTTTTCTTAAAAATGTAAAACAATATGTATGCTAAACAAAAACAGAACTCATGTAAGCTTACCTGAAGGCCAGTTAAGGAGACGAACAACCTCAAAATGTCATTGGTACCTTCGAATATTCTGAAAATTCTAAGATCACGCATGACGCGTTCAGTTCCACAATCCTGAAAAACGTCAAACGAAGAAAATAGTTGGTTGGAGTGCTCTAGGAAGTTCCAGAGACCTGCTGTCCTTTTGCAGTACACGGTAATGCTCAAGATCATTCAACGGAACATAACTCACCTTCATGTAACCCATTCCCCCAAGAATCTGAATGCACTCATCTGCCACGAACCATGCTGCTTCCTGGAGAGTGAGAATTTTCTTAATCACGTGTTTACAGGTACACTAACGGTCACTGGTTGCTGACAGTCTTGCCTCGTAACTGGATCCTCGGTTATTTCCAGAAATTAGGTAAGAGAATCGAGTTTCAAGAAACTTAAATAATTTCTTACAACCTCAGTTGAGAATTTCAAGTAGAAAATTTTTATTCTTCTGTATGAGAAAAAAAAAAGCGATCGAGAAAAGCGCTTGGTCGTCATGTTTTATCACTTTCTTACTCAATTTGTCCCTTTTCTAACTTAGTTGCTGTCTGTGGTTGGGCAGGCTAAGTCTAAGAGCGGGGTAACCCTTAACTACTGCACCAGTACTTATGCACGGTTTCAACAGCATGAAACAACTGGGGATATGTTTAAACCCTTCCGATGGGATGCTTGTGCATCCAAGATAGACTTTGCAGCATTTTTTTAGGTACATGTACCCAGAGAGTTCGTTAGTAGCCATTTATGCCCCTGGGGGGGGGGGAGAGGAAGAGAGAGGCAGGCACTGTGAAAGTAAAGTGTCTTTCTAAAGCCACAACGCAGTTGTTCGTCAGAGGTCACCCTCTCACCCTGACCAAAGTGCAGGGTCAAACACGCTGTCGCTATTACCCCACTGAGTCCTATACACAGTTACTTCCAGTCTTACCGACGCAAAAATTTTACTGATGGCGGCCTCCAGCTGAAAGTCAGTTGCCCCTTGATCCATGTTAGCACTCAACATGTACGCCATTGACTGGAATAAAAAAAGACGATGATCAAATTTGTTACTCAGTACAAGACAACCGAAGAAACACTTTCCACGGACACAAAAAAGACCTTCATGTTGGTTTTCGACCACTCGTATTTCTAGGACCCCCAGTTGACCTTGCAATATATTCTGAAACACACGGTTCGTTCAACGCAACTGTTTTCTTTATTTCGTTTTCTTTGTTTTGTTTGTATGTTTGTTCGTTCGTCTTTTTTTCAATGCAATGGTTTTTTTGTCTTTGATTGGTCTTAAAACTCACGCAACCTTTGCATCTAGTAAGATATAAAACTCAAACTACATGTAACAGCGACTTGTTCATTGTCTTTTCTCAAGCTTGTGGCCAACTTATTGAATTTACTCTCAATGGCCATTGGCTTCTTGATTTATATCTTTTTTCGTTACATGATTAGATCAAGTTGTTTGTAGTTTCTCTATAATTATGGTTATTGTTTTTGTCTTAATTTGTTTTTTCGTCAAGTAGACAAGCACTCAAACGACTCATTCTCAAAATTACCTCTGTAACATACTGGCACATGGCCATCCTTGCAAGCTTCTCCTGGATAACTCCAAACTTCTCCAGTTTACTTCCAAATTGGACTCTGCTCCCAGCATGATCAGCCTTCGGTAGAGAAAATTTTAAGATTGTCATTCTTTGTTCTGTTCTGTTCTCACAACCACATAAGTGGAATGGATCCACACCAGACGACCAACTTTTTACATCATGATAACTCCCTTTTTAATACAAATCAAGATGACTTGACTTTACATGTACAGGTGCGTGCTTCAGAGCTTCTTTATCATGAAAGTGGTCACACTAGATACTCTAACAGTGTTTCTACAAGTGTTTGCGCACATAATATAACACCACTTTTGTCATACTTGATTCAACCATCACTTTCAAGGTCACAGGCCACACATTCCCAAAATCATAAAATAACATAAGCAACACTCAATCAAAAACAGCACAAATATGTTCTGATGCTCAACCCAAGCAGGAAAAAAAAACGCAGGCTCCCCTAATTTCAGAATCCTTCAAACTCCCTCCCAATGTATCCATAGATAAATTAGAAAATGTCTAAATTTTCTCTATGAAGCCATAAATAAATAAATAATTAAATACTTACAGCTTTCATGATAAGTCCCTTCATTGTGCCTGACAAAGCAGCAGCCATTCCAAATCTTCCATTGTTAAGAATGTGCATAGCAACCTTAAATCCATCACCGACATCTACCATAAAAAAAAAGAAATATTTTAAAAAGTATATTCAAAAGGATTATTGAGATGCAAGAAACCTGAAGACCTTTTCCATAACCTTAATCTGCAGTTTCGAGGAAATGATTTGATTCTGGCATGCATAAAAATTGCAATACATAACTAAACAAACACTCCAAAAAAAACAAAATCGATCTGTGAAACAAATAATGGTATATCTACTGTGCACTTACTTCCTAGTACATTTTCCATTGGTACTTTGACATTATCAAAGTAAACCTGTCAAAAGAACACAAAATTTGTCACAGAGATGGAAACTACAAATTATACTTTTAATTAACCCTTTACCTTCCAGAAGTGATTAAAATATAATTTCTCCCTGTAATATCAGTACATTATCCAGCAAACAGGTAATGAGAATTTACTCAAACTTATCACATGGAAGTTGTTATCTTGATTTAACACCAAGTTCTTGCAACAAATTTACAAGGAAATGTGTAGCTGCCTGAGGGGAGAATTAATAATTGAATCTTGGGAGTTAAAAGGTTAAGAAGTGTAAGTTTAAAATCAACAAAAGTCAAATAAGAAAAACAAATAGAAGAAAACACTTAAAAAAGTGACTAATGAATTGCGTTAATAGGATTATCCCCTCCACCAGTACATGGGTACAGTATCTACCTGTATTGTAAAAATCAGTAAAGAGTCTTACCTCAGCAGTATTAGAAGCCTTGATACCCATTTTTTTCTCTGGTGGACCACTAACAATAGACAGAATGGATAAAAATTTGTCAACAAAAGACATTCTTTTTCCTGTTGTTGTTTTGTTTTGGATGTTATATATTTTTTGACAAACAGCAATACCTTGACACTCCTCCAAAGCTTCTCTCTACAATAAATGCAGTCACTTTGTCTTTCATTTCACCTGTCTTTGGATCTTTCAATGGTGTCTGCACAAAAATGAACATGCTCATTAAAAGAACAACATTTCTCAAACATCATTTGACTCCATACCAGAGTTCGCTAATAACTAATCTCAGTACTGCTAGGTAACCATAACAAATAAATGTACTGCTTGTCATAGAATGATCAAAAAAGCCTGACAGCTTTTTTCGCATTGGTAGGGTACAAGCAGAGAAGGTGTGACTACAGTGAAAAAAAAACATTTTTTTTACAGAGGTTAAAGAAAAGAAAGTCCTGTAACAAATCTTAGCAAATGTCCCTTTGTTGGCATGACCTGGTTTCAAGGAATGTTTCCATGAATGTTTCCATGAATGTTTCCATGAACAGTGGAAGCACTTTCACAAAAGCTTGTATTTAAAATAAAATACTATACAAACTGTACCTTGGCAAAGACAGTGAATATTTCTGCTAAGCCCCCATTACTAATCCTGAGGAACAACGTAAACGATTCACTAAATCAAAAGTTTGTACATGTGATAAGAAGTATTACTTCTATTCTTGCCATTACAATCTATATTTCCCTTGATCCAACAGCCAACAAATTTGATTTTTAAAATAAACTGATGAATAACACAAGGTACTTTACAACTCACAGCTAGAGAATGATATCTTGCTCAATTTTTGAAAAGACTACTTCAATAGTGTGACAACCCCATTAAGATTTACTCTATAATGTTCCAAATTATGAACCTTAGGGGCACAGATGTTTCATTCCCTTAGACAGACAGTAATTGCTTGAAATGTCAGTTTTATTAACTCTTCACAGTGGCCAATTTAAAATAATAAAAACCACAGACAAGGGTAGAGAAAGGGGAAGGGGTTATATCCATCTTGTGTATAGTCCTTGTAAAATTGTGCACTCACCATATTTTGCCTCCATTGAGGATGAAATGCTTCCCATCTTCACTAAGCTCTGCCTGTGTTGTTATTGACTAGGACAAGAAAAATTTCACCTCATTTACTAAGCATTCACAGTTTTCATGTTTCATGACCTGTTGGTCTCAGCTTTGCTACATTGGAAAAAAAGGAACACAAACTCTCTTCAATGTATCACCAACTGATGAGCTTGGATAACCTCTGCCTAACTTTTACACCACAAGCAATTGAATGTCAAGTAAATGGAGCACTAACAATTACCATAAATGGGAAGGTGTTGCAAAAGTTGAGGCATAACTTTCTATCAGCCCAATTCATACTAGTCATTTCCCACATGTGAGCATTTTTCTGGGCACCAATGTCTTTACAGAGTTGACTTAAGTTACATTTGATATCAAAGTCATATACATGTACAAGGTACACACCCCTGCATCAGATCCACTGCTTGGCTCAGTTAAACAAAATGCAGCCACTTTATCTGCAGTTGCAAGCTGTGAGAAAATAAACAAGGAAAAATAAAAATGATATCATGGTCAGTACTATTTAAAATATGAAAAAATCTTAAAAAATGAGACCAATTTATCAGTGAAAATACAAGACATTTGTGTATTTGTGCACATGGAAAGAACAATATCACCATTACTTACTGATGGTAAGTACTTTTCTTTTTGCTCCTAAGAGAAAAACAAGTGTAAGAAAATCATAAAAAAGAAACAGCCACAGCACAAGGCTAATTTGCCAAGATACATGCACATGTCATCATTTACCAAACCGAAGCACATCATGATAAGATAGATCTATGACATGTCTATGAAATCACATAACATTTTTAATTAGTATATAATGTATTAGAATGACCAAATGATCAATACTGTGAAAAATTTCAGCATAATCCAGTGCATTTTACACACAATCAACACATTTTTAACACAAAGTGCTGAGAAAATTCTTCACAATTGTCTTTATTTTTGTCTCAAAACTTCACTACAGCCAAGACATGCATAGGCACAATTTGCTATGTCCTTAGAAACCACTTTCTCAGCAGAGAGGATACTTATATTGTACCTGTATGCCTCTCAAAGTCATCAAAATGCAACAAATGAATGTAAAAAAAAGACAAAGAAAAACACTGTCCTTGGATCAAATATAAGAGATCCTTGCAGCTAAGGACACTACTGAACTAGTGGTTGAAATAAGACCTGAAAAAAATTCAGGCCCATATGGGATTTGAACCCATGACCTCTGTGATAATGGTGCAGCCCTCTACCAACTGAGCTAACAAGCCAACTGGGAGCTTGTCAATATGCTGGGTCCAAATAAACCACCCAGGTGATGAATAATGAAATTAGATTTATGAAATTCATATATGTGCACTGTGGTGAAGAAACAAATATAAGAGATCCTCGCAGCTAAGAACTCCAGCGAACTAGTGGTTGAAATAAGACCTTGCTATTACACCACATGTATTATGCATGTGCATGTAGACTGTACCTTGTTTCCATAGAGAAGAATTCCCTTAAATCCAATAGATTGATGAGCTCCAAGGGTAATTCCTACTGCCAGGTCGTGTGAACCAACAATCTCAACCAGGCGGGCATACTGAAACAGACACACCAATAAGGGCAAGAGGATTAAAATTTGTACTTTCATAATTGAAAGTTGTTTGGTTTTTTTTGGTTTACCAAATTGGAGGTGAAAAGGCAAAAACATTAGTAGAGAGAAAAAAAATTGAATAATCTTTCCACTGATTATCAGTGACTCCAATTTTGCAGGGACAACAAAAAAAACAAGAAGCTGGAATGAACAGTTTACCTGTGTATTAGTAAGACCAAGGCCCCCCAAATCTGTGGATATCTGAAAATTTAAAATTATGAATTTCTGTTCAGCACCACATACAAGCTTCTACAAATAAAAGGTCAAGAATGCTGACAGTGAAAAAAAGGAAAAAAATAATACAATAACCAAATTTATCAAATTTATTACCTGAAGTCCAAAAGCACCCATCTCTCTAAGGCCTTCAAAAGTGTCATCAGCGACTTTTTCAATCTCATCATTCTTTGCTGGGTCATTGCTCTCCTGAATAATAATTAAAAAATATGACAGTGGTGCAAGTGGACTCTTTAGATTATACTTCTGGAAAACTAATATGTGCACAGGTTGGTATTTTTATCTCTGGTCCCCAGGGGTGAAATTTTGACACATAATGACTATAAAGGCTGGGAAAATTGACTTTTTGAAAACATGAAAATATCTAATTCCCCCCTGCCCCCCTCCCTTACACCCCTGAAACCTGGAGATCCATAGATAGGTGCATACAATAATAATAATAATAATGATAATAATGTCACCAGCTGTCAAAGGGCTGAAATGAAAACAGCTATAACCTATATATGTTTACCTCAAAAAACTTGGCCACCGGATCAACATAAGCTTTCAATGTGCTTTCTTGTTCAGAGTCTAGAACTATAATAAAGCAAAATTAACCAGCTCACGTCAGACTAAAATATATAGAACACTGTAAAATATGAAGTGTTGTATTTTCATACTATAGTTATAATACAAAAATACCCAAATAAAATGACCTCATCTAACCTTCTGGAAAAGGAAACACCTGCTGTACATCAAGTTGACCTTTAAATAAACCCATGACGAATGACTTTGACTGAGTAGCCTTAAAGGGCAGAGAGAATTATTAATTAGCCACTGTAATACATTATACACACATTTGTTTCAATTTAGTGGTGGGGAAACTGTAAAAGTTACATATACAACATGTAGGTACCTTGGTTACTTCTAACAAGCCACTGGGGATGCTATGTACTTCGAAAAAATCTAACTTCATTGAATATTCTATTTGCCCTGGGTACCCTTTTTCAGGTGAGGAGTCCTTTTTTTTTTTTTTTTTTTTTAAAGCAGGGAAGATTAATGTAATATGAACACTGCTAGCAAACATACACACACATACCTTGACATCTGTAGCATAATCATTCCTTCCATATTTTGAACTTAAAACTGCCACCCTGTTCGAACATGAAATAACACAATCATAAACTGAAAAAGTCATATACTGAAGAACACTATTTAACAAAAATACCAAGGAAAACCAACAAAATCCAAATGGCTTGAACTATGACAAACTGAGAAATCTTGCCTCCAAGTTCACTTGTACACTGAGAAAACTTCACAACTTTGCAGTGACATGCTTCAACTCATCTGTGATAGTTTTGAGTGAAGTAATACTCATAGCTAAACCCAAGATCTGATTATAAATTCTCCCCTCTAGCTACTACACATTTCCTTCTAAATTAGTTCAGAGAATTTGGTGTTAGACCACGATAACAACATGTACCTGATAAATTTGAGTATTCTCATCACCTGGTTTCTGAACAATGTAGGGATATTGCAGGGAGAAGTTAATTGTTAATCACTTTGGGAAGTTTAAGGATTAAGTAAATCAACAGTTGTGGAAAGGGGTTGAAAACCAACCACACAACTTGACTTGCATTTTGGATACTTGGAAAAGTAAAGCAATTAAAATTGAGCACCTTTTAATTCGTTTCAAACATGTAATTTAATTACAACTAATTCTGCTAAAATTTACTAAGACTTGTTTTTGAGCATCCTTTTATCATTATTCCCAAACAATAATAATATTTCCGATTACTAATAACTGAAAAATCAAAACCTAACCAGTTAGAAGTCAATCGATTCCTGATCAGTTCGAAACCATCAACATTTCATATTACATTGAGAAGAAACCTACTGGAACTAGAGTACTGGTCATTGTCTATTGAAACTTGGCCTTCAGGGCTATCAAAGAGAAAACCCGATTCGCTGTAATTTTAATTGCTCGTTGTCATAGTTTATCTTGGTCTTCTTTCAATTTCTATTTGAAGAAGTCCTAACGCCAATCTCGCAACAGCTCGGAAACGAAACATCACGCACTAACCTCGACCGATTGAATTTGATTACTTCGACAAGTACAGACACACTTCCCTTTGAATCGAACGTAGGGACAGATAAACTATCATTCAATTTAGAGCCTCTTATCCCAAGTTATTATCTGAACATCTGATAATCAAGCTATAATCGAAAGGTAGCCGACGATCTTTAGCTTATGTAACAAGAACTCTATTGAAGAACACCAAGTGAAATTACGATTCCTTACCGACTGACATCAAGAAAACTTTGGCTTGTTCTTGTTTTAGGTAAGTAAGCAAGACCCTGGGACAAACTGCGGCATCCACAACGTAGCATTATTGTAGAAATACCGGTGTAAAATCTCCCTTTCCACCTCTGAACAGCGTCTACGAGAACTTCCCTAAATTACTTAGCAATTTTCGCAATGTTAAGCAACGTAACAATCGAGCGAGAGGCTGCTAAGCCGTTTCAAAGTCCATCAAATATTTGACTGTTTGACGTCGATCGAGTCACTGGTTTTCCGCTCCAGTGGCAATGTTTTTGTTCTTTTCTTTCCTATTTTTTTATTCGTATCTCACTGAAAATCGACATATCAACAAATTCCCACAATTATAGAAAGGAAGGCAAAAGGAAAACGGGTATATTTTTTCGTTACCAGTCTTCACGCATATTTTTAATTAAACTTTCTTGAGTCTAGTGCCAGGGTTCCCTCGGTCAGCGTTCCGAAGAACATCACCCAAACATACAGAAGCCAACAAAGGGCAATTTTGCGCGATCTCAAGCATTTTTCTGGATTTCACGAAGAATCTTGTACTACAAATTATTTTGGGGTTTCAAAAAACGTTATTTGTGGATCCAATGATCATGATTTACACAGAATTTGGAATTGTGTTTAGATTTTTTTGAACTTTTCAAAAATTGATTTATACGAACAATTTTAGTGATCAAAAATATCTTATGAAAAATTGTGCATAACTTTATTAGAGGAAATGTAAGTGAGGATTCAAACCTCTCATCAGTCAATCTCACTATAATGTACTCAACAACTGGAGTGTAAAAAGTTTGGATGACCTTCCCTGAGGATTAAAAATTCAGATCTAAGCTGAGTGCAAGGAAAACAAAGATAGTGTTAGCTTGATCAACTTTCTTGAGGATTTAAACCTCATCGGACTTTCTCATTTGAATTTCAAATGCTCTGCCAGCTGAGCCCAGTGAAACTTTCTGAGCTGACCACAGTGAGGATTCAAATCTTTAAAAGTAAAATTTCTTTTTAAATTTTTTTTTGAGCTGAAAGCAACAGGAGCAAGAACATCTGATGATCATCTAGCTCCAATTTTATGATGCCGAACACAGCTAGTTTGTAAGCAGACGGTGCAGAATATTCTTGGCTTTTTTATACTTCTGCTCTTGTAAACGATTTTAGATTAACGAAAAGGAATAAATGAGATAAAAATAATGATGGCAAAAATGGCATCACATCGAGCAAAACCGTTTTATTTTAGAACACTAATATTTTTTGCCGCCAAAGGCAACATCCAAACCCCTTAATTTCTCACCGTTTTGTCGCCAAGTTTTCAGATTAACAATGAAACGCCGGAAATAAGTGGAATTTTGTTGCAGTTACTTATCCAGCCTATATAATTTAAACGCACTATTGATAATCTACGTTCGTAATCAAGCGCTATCTTCCAAACAGGATTGCCATCTTGTCAAGGCTCAAAAAAGTCACTCCCTAGGATTTATTTCCATGCAGTTTTGGGCTGGAGTGAAACAGTTTTTAACATAGAATTTCCTGCAGCAAGAATAGGTAAGAAATGGTTCAATGAACGCTATTTTCGTGTATCGCCGTCTCCAAATGATGCAAGACTGGGAATGTCCACAGTCTTTGATTGCAGACAGAATTCTATAGAACACGCCCACAATTTTTTTTATTATCACTAATATTTTTCTTCCTTGATAATCCATTACCTTTTTTCTTTCCTTTCTTGGTATTCTCTCTTGGTACAGTTCAAATTTAGTGGTCCGCCGCTAGAGCGCTGAAGACGGTAAGCCAACATCAAAATCTCGGCATCAATGGAAGTATGTTACACTTGCGTCTTCAAAAACAATAACGTAGAGATATCGTAGAAGATGTAGATACATATCAATCGTGCCGTCTAAATATTGAACGAAGACGCATACAGCGACATTATCAATTTTTGTAATAGTTCAACTGTGCTCCGTGGGTGAGACTAAGCTGTCCTTCGAGGAGTACATTGGATTAACTGTGATCTGCAATAACAGATTGAGGGACTGAGAAAGGTACGAGGTTTGGTCAAAGTAGCCAAACAGGCCCGTTTAAAAAACAGGAAATGACAGATTTCCGATCGTATAACTACGGAGAAGTATTAAGTATGTTTCAATGTGTTGACATCATGAGAACTGATGTATCCTTCCACGTTTTTTTTTTATCCGCCACACTTGACACGTTCGGCTCACTTGTAATTAATCAATCTACACAATAGTTTTGAATTGATTAGTTTATGTATGATGTAGATTGCAACAACAATCCTGGCAGTTAGAGCGATATGATGGATCTTTTTATCTTAACTCAATTTTTTTACGTCTTTTCCATATTAAAATTGTTAGAAGGAATATTGTTCATCCAAATATAACAATGTCAGGACCTGTTTCCTGGGTCACACGGCTTGTAGATCGCTGTAAAGCGGCCTAAAAAGGACGATCTGCAATAATGCTATTTCCGTAAACAGGAGACTGCGAGAGATAACTACGTCAACACCTGTTGAGTATATTTCCCGTATAACTTCAGCTTGATCACGTCTAAGGCACATATAACTTGCAATAAGGCGCTTTTTTGGGGGGGTTACAGTTCGAAACCAGCGGCCACATCCGTCAGCTTTGTTTTTAAGAAAATAAAAATCAAAAAGTATAAAACCATGCACGTGAAGGTTTAAGAAGAGTGAATAAATAAGAAGAGAATATGCTTATAGGAACCGCTAGAAAATATTCTGAGCTGAGGAATACCAGGAGCCCATCCCTTGAGTGATGGGCTTGCAAAATAGTTATTGACTGAGAGGTAAGGCCAAACGGGAAAACGCTTGGCTTGAGGTCATGACGTAGTCATATATTGGAACAATTCCCAAATGACTTGAGCCATGATATGCTTAAATACATGCAATACTGTCCCACCAGAGCCGTTACTGACCATTGCTACCTGAATTGATTTGCGATTTGTTTATTCCACGCACGCAGGAAGGGGCTAAATGATAGTTCAGAGCGAAAAAGTTGCAGATTGGGAACGCATTCTTGCGCGACCTGTCTCATTCTTGATTATTCGCTCTGCGTCCTATTTGTAAATTGAACTTCCGGAAAGTGGTCAGCTCTGCAATGTGTTTAGGCTCCCTGTCAATCTTGTTTAACGGCAAGTCTGTCGCCAAACCGCCAAAGAGTAGCAACCATGACTAGCATGGCAGGCGGTGAAGTGGAAAAGTGAAGGCATTCGGGGTGTGAGTGAAAAGACCATCTGAAAGAATATAAAAACAATAAATTGTACAAATACGTGGAGTTCATCAATTTAGTGTTGAAATATAACTTAAGATATTGGATATGTTTTCAAGAAAAAGTTCTTGAATTAATGTTGTTAATCGTTAATCTTTCGAATGACCAGGTCTACGTGTTCTCCTACGATATCAGTTTTCTCGTCTGGCGGAGACTTACGCAGGTTGAGACTTACATGAACCTGGAAAATTTATAGATTGAGTGGCTCGAATAAACCTGATATAATAGATGGGTCAGTCGGATGAGAACCATGAGGTAAGTTTTAACAATTTTCAACAACGACAATGAGGAGCATAACAAGCCCACTAGTGAGGATGTCTGGCACGAATGGCAATCTGTATTTACTAGCGTACTGCTCTGTGAAGGCTCTACATCTAGAGTCAATCAGTTTTTTAGATGTGGACAGCAAAACACCTTTTCTAGGTTAGCTTCAATTCATATGGCAAAATTACAGTCACGAATCACCTTTAAAATTTGTGGATAATGCTTGATGATAAAAGCCACCACGGAGCCAAATAGCCGATATAATGAGCATCAAAATATATACGTGTAGGTCCCTTGTTCTGTAGGCTCTAACTTCTAAAACCGAGCCAATAAAACACCCAGCTGTCAAAGTGGATCCCTTTTGCTCTATTAATTCTAATCTGTTGAGCCCATTCGCTGCCGAACCACAGAAGTTTATCTTTTTCTTTCTACACTCAATTTATCTTCTCATTCCTTCAGTTTAGAGGGAGGCTCTTTGTTCATGTATAAACTGAATCCTTTTATTTCAGAATTCTTTCCAAATTTTACGTTCAGCCTGGGACATTAGTCGTTTCACTGAAGAGTTACTGAGACACTTCACTAACTTCTTTCAAGAATTTCCTTGTGTGTTGTTCGTAGTTAAAAGACTCTTTTAGGTCTTTGGACAAATTTTCGCGGGTTTTCTGAGCCGTTCAGCTCGGTTTTATCTTATCTTGGTTTTGCCCTCCATATGAATTAAAACCATGCTAAACGACATTAAATCGACCTAGAAAACTCACACATTCCTTTATGATATTTTGCCCCATAAGTAACATAAAAATCAGTTGCATATTAACAATCTCATTTTGCGATCTTGGGCTACCTGTGGACCTAGCATGTCGCAAAATAAACATATAAAACAGCTTTTCTACTTCTCAACCCCCTCCCCACCCGCCCACTCCTCCCCCTCCCAGGCTCATAGCTTTCTTCCTTTTCCCTCACATGACTGGGGGATAAGCTAACTCAAATTAAGACGCTGTTGTTTTAATTAATAACCAATGTGCATCAAGAATACCGTAATAAAGTCCTATAAAAATATTTTAAATAAAATGATGTGAAGAGCTAATTTGTGTTTAACAGCTGCGTGTATCCCAAGCTGAGACACAGATGTAACAAATGCAAACACTCAGACGTTGTGCAGATCACCTGATTGCGTTAGTTCCACTAATAAGTGGCTGATGTTTCTATTCTTAGCTGGCAATGACTGATTTATTTCACCATATCTTTTAAAGGTTTCCAAAAATATATTTATAGCAATCGTAAAAAAAAAATTAAAGATACTTAGTTTGTCATAAATTATTCTAATTTCGTGATTATCTCTCATTTCTTTGTCTGTATTTTTTTTTTGCCACTGAAAGCGTTTTTTATTTTTCTTCATATCTACGGTCTTCAGATTAACGCTGTCTAGATCAGATTCGTACTGCAATTAATATGGGACAAAACTTTGCGCGATTCACGAAATTCAGAATTTCACTATTTAGCTGTTGAGTTACCATGAAGAAAGCTGTTTGTTTAAGTATTCAAATATTTCGTCGAAATTTCCAGAAAATTCGTCATTAGGACTAGAATTGCCTACAGATATATTCTAATGAGATCATAATTGAGGCAGAGGACAAATGATTTGTGGAATTTTGTACATCTCAGGCGAATGTGAGTATTAGATAAATCCTCCTTTAATTAAAAACGGAATTATAGGCTCAACGTGAAACAAATTCAGACAATATATAGAACAGCTTTTGTTGGGTTTACATTCAGCGCAGAAAAATCTTCGATAATTCGGTTTTCTTTTCTCCCTGAGGAGTAATTTCCTCAGATGTAAAAAAACTGTTGAAAGTCTCGAGAAACATATAATGAAATACATAGGAAATAACTGCCTGTTTGTCGGTGTAAGGGATCCAATCGTGTCTGTTTTCCTCAGCAAGGGACTTCAACCGCGTTGACCAACTGCAGTTCATGATTCGCTTCACCTGTTTTGAATGGGAATATAAAATGCGTCACAAGCAATTTTTTTAACGACACAACCGTTTAAAAATTTGATCTACAGTCCTGTCGCTGGCTAATATGTTTATTCTGTCATTCAGATCCACATTCCCAATGCCATCCTGCATTACTAGAGGAGAATTCCTTCAAAAGGTAATTGAGCTTTCTGCAAACAGTTAATCTTCCTGAATTCAAGATATCACTCATATAGAGGTGAGTTGAATCAGAGATCTTTGATTTCATAATCTTTTTATTTTTTTAGGCTGTTAGCCTTTTCCATTTCTAGCTGCGATTAGCTTTAGGAACGTTGTTTTGTCTCAAACACATTTAATTTGCATTTTAAGGTTAGATTGCACACGATACATGTACAGCCATCAACTCACCGAAAATGCCACAAATTCAAAAATTAAGTAGCAACTTTAAGTGTTAATTTTTCATCATTCTTACTGAGTATAAAAAAAAGGAAAAAAAAAAAAGGAAAAAAAAAACCAAGAGGAAAAATTGATGAGAAAAAAGAAACGCTTAGTTTGCGGTGATTTCAAGTACTCTGAAGAATAATCTTTTGTTCTACGGCTCTTCGTTTTGTATGAATATTCTAGTAAGCATTCTGTATAAATTTTATTTTGAAACAAAATAGCATAAAGTATTAAGCCATAAAATCCACTGATGAGGTATCAATAAGCTAGCGCTCGTCGAGATTAGCGAAAAGCTTGAACGAACACAAACTTTCATGTCAATTTCAAGGGGATATACAAAGGGTGCATTTGATGATTGTTATCTTTACGTGATAAAAACATTCAGTAAAGAAGGTATTTTGGTTATCATCATTTACATATTTTTTTCATCTGCAGTTCAGGGAAAAAAATGGTAAAAAGTTTTCTCTTGAAAGTAAACATAGAGACAAATTAATGGCTTGCCCAGGAACAATTGACTTGACCTAATTTTTTTTTAGATTCATTTTAAAACTCGTATTACTGTTTCATATTAGTCGTGCTGAGGATGCTAGTGAGTCATTATTAATTCAAGTTGTGGTGAGCCGCACGCTGTTATTCTTGTGAAACTTTTCTTAAATGCAAGATGTTAGAAAATAAACCACGACAAATATCTTGAAATAAGTACAATTTAATTTTGAATCCAGGCAGAAAGGTGAATTCTGAATATTCACGACATAAAAAAAAAATGCAATAGTAACATAAATAAATTTTTTGTCATAACTATAGGTCTGAATTCAGTTTGAAGTGGGGTACAATTTTTTTTCGTTATGTAACACTTGCAGTTTTATTCCGACTGATGAAAGCTAAAAATGAGTGCCTACAAACTCTTTAACGGAAACAAAAGTATGATTTTGACTCAACTAGGAGTTTTGGTTTAGAACCAAAGGGAGTGTGGATGGTGCGGGTAAATTTTAGGATAATTGTACAGAGAAAAGGGGCAGGGGATATCCAGACCAAATAAGGAGAAAGGGGTGTTGGAGGCTATTTTAAGATAGTCTCATCATTGCTATCATCGAAGGCAAAAAAACCATCAGATAAAGAAGCGAAGCAGACAACAACAACAAAAACATAAGCAACAACCAAAAACGACGACTTCTTTAAATTAAAAGTTTTTAAAAATGCATGAAGTGCTTTAAATATTACCTAAACACTCAGCGAATCTTTGGGTGTTGAATACTATCTCACCTCACGACTGCTCGGGAATAAAAACACTTAATGAGCAGGCTTGTCTTCTTTCCGACTCATATTCCTTCAGCTCCTATGCTGTGGAAATAGGCACCAGTTTCATTCATCAGAGGAAGACTACCATTGAAAGGATAAACTTTTTATTCCCAAATAAAATTCATATTTAAAGAGAAGTTTTGGCTAAAAAAAGTCTCTAGATTCGCAAGTAATCGAAATGTTCGAAATTTGACTTTCAAATGCAAGGAAATACGAAAGGAAGAAAGAGAAAAATGGCCATAGTGCCATCCTAATAATAACAATGTTGGTAACAAATTTTTTAAAGGTATACCTTACTCTTTCAATGTACGTGTATTTAATAGCAATAATGCACATTGACATGCTACATGTTTTATATTAAAATACAGATGAATAATTATAACAATCACTAAAAATAGTTACAAAAATAATGATAAAATCCTTAAAAAATCGAAAAATACTTTAACCTGTCAAATAAAAATATTAACAATAATGATACTGATGATGATGATAATAATAACAATAAGGGGGAAAAGGTAAAATGCTGCGTAGATCCACGAGTGACTTATTTTTAAATTAAAAGAATCATACAAACAATTGTAATATCATATCATCGATTATAGTATCATAATGATGGCAATAATTGTAAAGATAATAATTATGACTTAACAATAGTAATAGTATTTATAACAATAACAATTACAATGATGATGATGATAACAATGATAATAATTATAATAATAATAATAATAATAATAATAATAATGGGTGAGAGAAGAATGATATGGTCTCTTGAACACAATTCGCTTTTGAACAGCGTGCCTGTACTCGCTGCCTACGCCACTAGATAAAAGAAAACTACCGTCAAAGATGCATTTTTTTCTGGAACGCTTATTCTTACCACTTCTAAAATGTTTCATGTTTCACTAAAGGAGAGAGAAATATTCTTTCCGTAACAAGCAACAAATTGGAGCTCAGAATAAACCTTACAGGATACTTCCATTTCGGGAAGTAATTTTTCCTAAAAATTTTTAGCACACCCAAGCAACGCAACTTTTTGTTTGTAAACGCGAATGTCAGTATGCCTCATAAAATTAATTCTTATTCAAATAAAGATATAGCAAGGCTAAGGTTTTGTGTGAACAAAGCAAGAAAAAAACCATGGGTTGTGTTTGATTGCACCGAACATTGTACCAGTTTATTAGATTGACACATAGTTTCTCATAGTGCGTTTGAAAAGTCCTTCTAAGAGTTTGATAGGTACTACGATAAAGACTCAGATAATTTGAAATAGACAATATATTTTCAGTCGCTTAAATTGAATACATTTCCCAAAAACTTAGAGATGTTTTGGTTGTGTTTACTTTGTAAAATAAATACGATAAAATGTAGTTGTTATTAAAAAAAATTATAGTCATTTCTTTGTAATTGATTTGTTGAACAACTGACGAAATTAAGACGCCTAGCTTTTTCTACAGACATACACCTAGTATATTTTGAGTTATTTCCTAAGCATGAAGTGAAAACACAACATCATGGTGTTCGACTCCCGAAAATATCGGAAGGATAGTTACAATTAACGAATTAATTAGCATTTACATTACCGACCGTAATAATACCGGGGAAGCAGAATCGACAGATTGAATTTGTTCACATAAAATCTATCTTCACACATTCTAAAGACATTTTGCATTAAAAATAAAATTCAGACAGAAATAGAAGCAATTCATTTGAAAACCTAAATACAGAAGCAATATAGAGAAATTAGAAACCAATGCAGCGAATTCATCTCAAGAACCAATACTGTAAGCTTTTAGCAATTAAAAGAACCTGCCATTAGGTAAATGAATTAAAATTCGAAATGGACATCTCCATCATTGACGTAAGAGCAGAAGGTTGACTGCATTGTTAATTATACCGTGAGTGCCAAGTCGCTTTTTATTTTTCATAGTAGAGCACTTCCACGTCGAAGCTTTCGCCGTTTGAATCGCGAACGCCATACCTGAGCCAGGAGAATTGATCTCGAACGGTTAGTATATAATGACTATTGTTAAATTTATATAGGTTGCGAAAAAGTGATTTTTTTTTTGGACAAACATTTCGAAGGAAATAGGAAAGAAAAATAGAAAAAGCGAGGACAATGGGTCTGTAACATTTCACTTAACTCTTTTTCATATTTATATCTTGCAACAGTGATCAATCTAGCATTATACAGAAACACTTGAGGTGATGCTGATTTTAAATCTGTACTTCAAGGGACTACTTTTCACGCGCCTTTATCCTTTCATCAACAACAGCAGAGTGATACGTTACGCAATTTTTGAAGCCAAAATAATATCATAAAAAAACAAAATCTAGGTAACAAGATTGCTCATTTTTTCAAAACAATTGCAAATTCTTGTAACACATTTTTTCTGAGAAATGTTGCGTTAAAAATCACCAATCTCGATTTTTAGGGCGACAATGTGTTGTTGAAAATCGGCTCTAGAAATAATTCATTACTCTCAAAGGTACCGGCAATTTACTTGCGTTTGTATTGAGTGCACAATTTGTCTGACGGTTTGTATTTGAGACCCCTAGGCTTGCTTCCATCAGACCCCAGGAGCGGCGGTAGAAATAATTAGTAGACAGAAGTCAAAGTCAGGCAAAGAAAATGAATCAGCTTTTACTAATTTGTTCTGCTGACATTCGATGTTTCATTTCAAATCGCTCTTTTACATGACTTGACAATCTCGAAGAGACTGCTTAATATAGCAACTTTAGGTCTCTTTTATTGCTAACGAACTGACCTGATTTTCAACGCTATCTCACCGCCGGTTAATATTAGAAAGCGGAATGGTACCTGATTATACATTGATTTTCATACCAGTGGAAGAGCGGTTTAGGAAAGAGAACTCTATGTTCAAGGGCCTTTCAATTAAAAAGTGAAGTTAAGGCCACGAAGAGATTTAAAAGAAACAGAAGAGGCTAAAACTTTGCAGCAAATTTCCATTGGTTTCCTTCGGAACAAAATTGTAAAATATATGTAATTCAATGGGAAGTAAAAAAAGGATTGAAGGCATTAGGCTCGGAAAAATTTGAATGAAATAAACCGAAGATTCAATGTTTTTCCTTTTTGTTTTGTTATTGAAGGTAACGAAAGAGACCCTGTATTTGATTATAATGTTTGACAAAGGATAGTTTAAAATTTATTTATGAATAATTCATTTGATGGACAATGATTATTTTACAGTTCAACGCAACCGCCCCAAAAGCTGACAATAAGCAAAGTATGTCGTTAAGTGCATCAGGGAGTCTTGTTAATCTGCTACGTGAATTAATCGATGAACTGAAATGTTATTGTTATTTATTTTTCATGATCTATATAATTAAATTTAATGTAACACTCCAGTGTAATCCTTCCGATAGCTTGACCTCTCGATTGGCAAAGGTGAAGTGTCCGGCATGCACTGGGGGCTTTCATGAATCACGCTTATGTAGATGTACAACTATGTTATGTAACTAGATACAAAAGTTGTGCTTGGTTAGCTCACGTTGTGCGGGATGTCGCGTGTTCAAGCCCCAGACAGAACTCAGGGTCTTAAAGTAACTGAAAACAACGGTAAATGGTTATAAATTCTAGTCTTCTCGGATAAAAACGATAAGCCGTCTCCTGTCTCTTCTCTGTACTGGTTAGGTCCCGGTGTTGTGGCCTGGCCTTGTCATTGTTTACAAAGGCCCCCATTTAAACAACCTCTGAGCGGCCAGCCTGTCTAAATATCGCAAACACATACACTTACCAATAACAGGTTACGAGGTGGGTAAGGATAATTATGTCATCCAAAATGACCTACATCTAGCATTTCACTAAAATAAATGATGTTAACTATGTGTGACCTTAATGAAATCAACAATTCACTTGAAAATTTAATTAGCTCTCCCCATGAATGATGAGAAACGGCAATTGCAAACAGAACTTTTTAGAAATCCTGCTAATGATGTCGTCATATCTCCAAATCTTAGTTGTCCTTTTGCCTTGGGTTCACTTCATGGCAGTTCAAAAGTATTATTTGTAGAACTGTCAACGGCGCTGTTTCGTATGTTCTATAACATCAAGGATTTTTGTACATTTTGTGCTGTCTGCCAATCATTAAAAGTAAACTGTCTTCGTAAAGTTAACCTCCATACAAGGATAGGACGCATGAAATCGAGGTTTGATGTCAAAAAAACGACTTTGGACTTTTAGTGGTATAAATCCACTCTATTTCCTTAAATTCTATTCGTTTATTGCAAATATTATATTTCCTAGTGAGGAAAAAGAGGATAAATGATAAAAAAAAAATGACGAGAGCGTGATCATGACTTTGAAAGGCGAGGGATGGAAAATGATTATCAAAATATGGTGAGGAGGTATAAGAAATCAAGAGTTTGAATCGAGTTTGTAACTTGAAAATAATCTTTCTATTTAATGAAATGAGACAATGTTTAAATTCGGAAAGGAAGTTTTTAAAGAAAAGGGTTGTCAACAAAAACCTTTTTATTACCAAATTAACTGCGTTCATCTGAAATGATTAGATAAAAACAAAGAACCTGTCTGTTTGCAGCACGACATTTTCGCATCACAAAGGTAGCAGTTCCTCTGTCATCTTGAAGAGAAATATGATGAAATTGATCATAATGATCAAATGAAATGAATGAAAAAGAAAGCTTGTTAGACGCTTTAAATTTGCGCCAAGCTTGAAACCTTATCAACAATGCATGGTATAACCTCATTTCGTCTTGTTTAATTTAAGTTATTCGTGAAATAATTAAAAAAAGCCAACAAGTGCCTTTTTTCTAGTGACTCTTGACACTTGGAAACTAAGACACTGCAACAAATTGGGATGGATGAACTCAAAAACTGCATTTATATTTTGATGGTAACAACATTTCATTCATTTTATGGAAAGTTATATCAAAAGAAACAAATCATGAAGTTGTCCAAATAATTCTTTTTACAGTCTAAGCCATGCAACAGTCTCTTTGACGATCAAAACAAGAAGCGAAAAATTGAAATAGATATTTCTTGGTCATCGACTTTATTGAGTTTTTATTGAGTTTTTGATAATATGATTTCTCGTAAGAAAAAAAGAAAATTCTTTCAGTTCACTCTCTCTGTTGCGGACGAAAGATTATTGATTTTGGACGCAGAGAATTTCGAAAAGTTGTTCTCTGATTCTGTAAAAGTTTTACCAATGAACAATACCATTTTCATGACTGCTCTTCCGGTTTTTATGTCTCTTTTCGGATATGCAAATGATTTTCAAAACTCTTCTTTTTTTCTGTCAATGGTTCTGGACTTCTTATACTTTTTTTGACGCTTTCACTAATTAGAATGATTTATTAATTCCCTGCAGAGTTGGCAAGGTTGTTTACACACTTAGTATTTCCTCTTTAGACAAATCGATTGTGGGCAAGGTTCCAGTCTGTCGGTGAGAAACCGACTTTACTTTACATGGGTAAATCTACAAATTTTAATTCTCATTACCGCTGCAAAATAGATGAAAGACCCTTCTCCGCTTCCCGCATGGAAGTGAAGCCTTTCCATTCGCTTCAGGTCCTTCAGGGACGTTATTGAAAGGGTCAACTCCTGCATGTGCAATTTTGCAGAGTACGGACATTCGAAGGTAATTATGACTGTAAAAGGATATTACCTTTGAGATAAAATCAATATTTTGGACGTTAGGTTTCCAGAATCGACAACCCAGTAGTGTTTCAACCACTAGAAAAAGAGAGATCTCAATCTTTCTTGAGACGGGCAAAGTTTAAATTTTGCTATCCATATTGCTTTTATGAAAGTATTCTTGAATTTACTTGTCGAAAGTCCTTGCCCGAAGGCCTTAGCAAAACTGACATGTAATTTCATACCTACATGTGATTTCATACCTTCTTTCCATTTTCATCGATCATTCGGCATGAAACTTCAAAAATATGGACGAAAAAGATCTAGTAAAATAAGGAAACAAGGATTATCGCAGAGGAAGAGAAAGACTTATGGTTCTCACTAATTCTCCTAATTAATATTCAATTCACGTAGTTTGTCTTCTGCTCCAAGTACTCTTGTCATGATGCTCTCCACATCTGCTCTAGATACTTTAAATTGAAATTTTTTCACAAAATGTTTTAAGCACTTGATTGAGATACTTTGCATCATGTTGTTTTTTTTGCCAAGATTAAGGGGTTTCCTTTTAAAATCATCGACACAATTTGCCATATGAGCGAGGTGACCTGTTTTTGACTGAGAGCAGGCTTTTAGCTCAATTGCTTTACGAAAAATTGACAATTCTGATCACTTAAGGTGAGAGCAATATTGGTTTGTGTTTGCAAAGAGTTAACAGTCAATTTATTATTCTAAATTATTGCCTCGCGGAGTTGGAAAAGATGTATGATTGACGTAGGGATCGCATGAATCTATGAAATATAATTTCGTCGGTAAAATCTAAACTATATTTGTGTCACTATTTCGATGAAATTAAGAGAAAAATGTTTTCAAAATAAAATTGCACGATATTCATTTGGATTCTGTAAGTTGTTATGATTGTCTTTGTTAAGTGCACAAATAAGCTAGTTGGTGGCAAGTATCTCGATTAAATCAAGTGAATCAAGTACCTTTAGTGTGCCGGCGCAGCGGCTAGTTACTGAACCAGATGTCGAAGAAGCAAGGCAAAAAGTTTGGGAAAATGAGAAGAAAATGTAAATAGAAGAAAGAAACAAAAATAAAACCAAACTAAGAATCATAAAGGAAATAAAAAAGCAAAAACAAACAACTACAGGAAACATAACAGAAAACAAAAATTTAGGGAGTTACATCGTGGTGTTATATACCACTCTTTGAAACAAAGGACTTTAAAGAAAGGTACCCTACAAACATCACGAGAGTGAACAATTGCTTGATTCTAGTAATCTTGATTACTTCGATTGTTTGCTGCTTCGCTAAAGGGATGCTTTTAATTCGCAAGCTATTCCTGAATTTGAACGTGCTGACTAACACATTACCAAGGGTCTTTGTTTGACGCCATATGTTAGTTCATCCAACTCTGTTTGGTCTTGTCGCTATCTTAGAGTAATCATCATTCTCTTGGTAAACCAAATTGTTTTTAATTTTTATTCTTATTTTTTTTACCAATTTAGTTTGTCTTATTTTATATGTTCACGTCCTTTTAAACATTCAAAACTACCTCAGCCTAAATAGGCAAAGGGAGATGTTAATCATGAACGTAATTATGGACCTTGTAATTGGACTTACTAAGTGGGGAATTCGAAGGTCTGGCATCGATTACTTGCGAGAGACTCTTTTTTTTCTTTGTCCCACGCTCGCGACAATAGGAATAACAGTTTTCTTCATACTTCCAGCTTTTCGTAAAACCTTGTCATATCAAAAAGGGGTAAGACTGGAAAATCAAACGGAGACAAGTATGACTCTAGATGGAGATCATGAGAAAAATTACGCTTAAGTTGTTCAGCCGCATAATCCATCTCTTACTACTTTATGAGTTTAGATCGAGAATAATTAGTGGCGGCCGAGTTTATTTTACGTTTATAACTGCTGCTTTGTTTTTACTTCTACAGCTCTAGCGACAACGAGTAAAGACCGAAGAAGCTACTCTTTGGGATTCACTGAAACCGGTTAACCTTCGTTTACGAAACTCCGCATTTTGGAATACCATTGAGGACCAGCAATGGGGACGAGATGGAACAATTCTTTGGCTGAGAAAGAAATGACAATGACAAACTTATCAACATCTAAAGGCCCTAATAGTATTGAGGTAACACAAGCGTCCAACTCGATGTCCTCTGAACTGAGAATAATAACTCTCACGCTCTATGCGGTTATATTTCTTGTAAGTGCAGTGGGAAATTCTTTAGTTTGCACGGTGATTTTACGACGGAAAAAGATGAAAACTGTGACGAACTATTTCGTATTAAATCTGGCGATTGCAGACTTGACTTTCACTTGCATTTGTATTCCTTTTGACATTCCTGTACAAGAAATGAACTACCGATGGCCCTACGGAGCATTTCTTTGTAAACTGTTATATCCCCTTCAAACACTCACACTATTTGCGTCTGTTTACACACTGACAGCCGTCAGTTTGTCGCGATTCTGGGCAATAAACCACCCTCTCCGTCGACAGCTTTCGACCAGAAGCGCGAAATTCATAATTGTGGGAATATGGATTGCTTCCCTCGTAGCTGTCACGCCATACATCAGTGTTTCCGAGAAAAACGGTGAGTCCGGGAAATGTGATGAGGAATGGCCGAGCAAAAGCGCACGAAAAACGTACACGGTTACGTTGTTTGTGTTTGAATATATATTTCCGTTGACAGTAATTGCAGGCGCGTACATAAGCATTGGCCGAGAGCTTGCCCGTCGCGCTAGGAATGGTAACCGTTACTTGCAAGACCTCCAATCCGAGGAGGCGAAGAAAGTTGTGCGCATGCTCAAGATAGTAACCCTTATGTTTGCTGTATGTGTTTTGCCAAATAATATTCTGTGGTTGTGGTTGGACTTTGGCGGAGCAGATGAAAAATACGACAGATTCTGGGATTTAGTGGCGCTTGGTAACATAATAACGTTTGCAAACAGCGCGGCTAACCCAATTTGCTACACGATTCTGAATGAAAGCTACCGCAATGAGTTCAAGGATCACCTCATGAAGATGTTCAACAAGATCATAGGAAAGCCATCTGGAGGACGAAGGGAACTTCTGCGAATGAATGATAACGGCGATAGTCAACGAAAGTTACGAACTGCTACAATGAGTTCCGCTTTCTAACAAGAAATGATACTTTTATACCGATGGAGTCCAGGCACAGCTTTTGTATCGTATTTTCAAAATTAAAATTAAAACCTTTATTTGTAACCCGTTTCACTCTCCTTCATACTTATCCACATTTGTGCTCGTATACGTCCGATCAAGTGACAAACACACCAAAAATAAAGTGGTTTTTAAGTAAGGGGTGTAAGTTTCTAAAGAAACTGTGGTGCTGCGTCGTTGGGAAGGTAAAACAGGTGTTAACAATTGAGTTGAAAACGTAACTTGGCCACCGTAAAGAGTAAAAAGGCTGACGTTTCGAGCGTTAGCCCTGCGCCAATCGCTCTGACGAAGGGCTAACGCTCGAAACTTCAGTCTTTTAACTCTTTAGGGTGGCCAATTTACGTTTTCAACTCAGTTGTTAATACCAAAATACCTGATTTTTACGTAGCTGAATTGTGAGATTAATCAGCGACGCCTTAAGAGGACACAGAAAGCTAAAACTGCGAAACCCGCAGCTGCACTTTTTGTTTTCGCCATGATGTTCTATGAACAACCAATACCGACTGGCAGTTAGCTTTAACCCAAAAGTCATCACATATCATCAGTATTTATATTTCCTTCGGTTGCATGAAAAGCGTGAGTGAGACAGATATACGTGAGTTTATTGCAGTTTATAGAATCTTAATATTAATTACTTGCTATTTTGACGTACGAACGCTGATTACATCCGCAAAGCTTCCCAAGAGACCGAGAAAATGTGGGAAGTCTCACACCCTTTAATTATCTAATGCTTTTCTTTTATTTATATTTTTTTCTGAATCCACACCTTCTGTGTTCTTTATTCTTACTCCTACACAAATTGTGCATTTTCTTTTCTTCCTTACTGTCAGGTGCGCAATTAATACGAATTTGAAGCACAAGTGTAGTATGCGTAACTGGAAATGAAAATATAAGGAAAAACACAAAGAAAACTCAGACACTGTTGACATTCAGAATGGATGTTTTATTTCGTTGACAAATCAAGCACTATGCTAAAATGAATCGTCATGTAGTATAGAACTGGCGATTCACTTGTACGATGAAACAAAAGAGGCCACGCACCATGCGTTAATTATCACAAGAAGTAGACAAATAGGCTACAAGCTTAAAACATTTATTTTTTTTTTCCTTATTGTTTTGCTGAAGAGACAATGACCTAACAGACAAAATGGAAACCCCTCGGACATCGCTCAGCGTAGTGTTATTAACTTCGTCTTAATGGCGGCTTTGTGAGTGTACAGTTGCAAGCGTTCCCTCGAAGCAAACGTTCTTCAAACTGACCTCGAGCATACAATATGTGTAGAGGGACAGAGGAAATATCATATCGACTGATATCAATCTGTTTTCATATTCCAGGAAATTATATTAAATCTGTATCTACTATGGAATGCCAGTGTAAACTGGATAATTTCAGCTTTTCTTTCCGTTCCTTTGACATGTTGTCATTAGATGACCGTCTCTTTTGCATCAACGATTAATACTTCATCTGTGACAAGAATTTCATTATATTCTACAGTCTGGCTGATGTTCTTGTCTTGACCAGTCAGACTTCGCAATCGGCTCCTTGTGTAAGTGATTGTACTTTCTGCCATGCTTTGAAATATTTTCGGATCACAGGTAAAATACAGTTTAAATTCCTCCCTAAAATTCTCGTGGCAGATAGTGTAAGCAATAGGATTCGCAGCACTGTTTGCAAAGAGAATGATGTTGGTGAATGCAACCATGTCCCAAAATTTCGAGTAGCTTGCCCCGTTTCCAAAATCGAGCCAAAGCCACATAACGTTATTGGGTAACACACAAATCGCAAAGAGAAGGGTGACGACGATGAGCATGCGTACAACTTTGCGCGCCTCGTTTCTACGTGCATTGTGTAAAACGGAGTTGACAGAGTATCTCCTCTTCACGTTAACACAAGTTCTTAGTTCAAGTCCGATTTTAAAGTATGCTATCGTGATCATACATAGAGGCAAGAGGTATTGCAGAGCGAACAAAGAAGCTGTGTATGCTTTCCTGTACTCGATTCCTGGCCAGTTTTCCTCGCAATAATTGGTTGTCTCGTTCAGATTTAACACCACCACATAAGGAACTGTTAAAAGGGCGCAGACAACCCAGGTGACCACAATGACGACGAAAGCATGCTTCTTAGTCATTTGTTTCCTGAGAGGATATACTATAGCCCAAAACCTATTCAGGCTCACAGCTGTCAGTGTAAATATGGAGCTAAACACAGCCATTGTCTGAATGGGGTACAGAAGTTTACACAGGACTTGCCCATACAGCCATTTGTGGTGATTCTCCTGCACAGGAATGTCAAAAGGGATGCAAATGCAGGTGATTGCTAAGTCTGAAGCCGCGAGGTTTAATACGAAGAAGTTGGTTACGGTTCGCATTCGTCGACGCCTCGCGATCATCACACAAACCAAGGTGTTGCCGATGACACTAATGAGGAAAATTATGGCATATAATGTGAGCTTGATTCCCTTGATGGTGGGTGACTCGCCCGAAGTTTCTTCTGAGATGTTGACGTCCATAGAGGTCTCATTACTCGTGGACATGTTGGTAACCATATCGGTGAGGGCTTTGAAATAAGGGCTACACTCAGGTTTAGTTAGTTATGTACCTCAACGAGACCGCTATTTGCCAAGTTGCTTCTCTCCAAGTCTGTCTTTCCGCCAGAATCCTTGAGTTTGTGCTCTGGTGATCGAAATGTTCGATAACACAAAGAAACCCCAACGCAATAACTGATAAATCCAATCTGAACTTCTACAATACTGGCACCAAATGTGACCGAAAGACCCCTTCGTCGAACGCACCAAGGTGGTAAAGCTTCTGTAATTCAATGGTGAGAAGACAAAATACGAAATTAGAAAACTGTCTGATCTCGATTGGTTGTAAACATGACTTCTCACGTTTTTTCGAGAATCTTTCCTCAATACATTGACAGACAGAAGCTACTCATTAACAATGTCAAGATCCTAGTTATTAATAATAAATTAAGACATCGAGACAATAACTCACGCAAACAAACTTAGACAAGAAAAGGAAAACATTCTACCTATGGCGAGAGAACCTACGTGCTTGAGTGAATTTCAATTAACCATAAGAGCATTGCCACACAGCTGTGGGGGAAAAGATATCCATAATTTATTGACATAGCAATTATTTGATCATGTTTTAATAATGGCAAAAAAGTCGGAAAGTACGAGATCATTGTTATATTCGATGTCAAGGGTATTGGCAGAACAAAAGATAAGGCATTCAAATGAAAGTTGGAGGAAAACACACATACACTAAAACCTCATACTTTTCTGTAGCAAGGCAGATAAAAATAAATATATAACATTGGTGGAGAGGTCCTGAACCAAATTTATTAAGACTAGGAAACAACTATGCTTATATACGCATATTTAGTTGAAGTTTTGTTATGCGTTTACGAAGCTATTGTTTGAGAATTGTAAATGAATCTAAACTTAACAGATGTACAAAGACTTCTTTTCGTTACCAGATTGATTTATGCAAAAGTATTAAACATGTCGTGGGTGCGATATGGATTTACGCTGAATGTTAAAAATGTACCACTCATGAAACAAAAAATTCATAAAAATTTGAACATGGCCTTCATATGATAGACACATAAAAGTTTATTGAAGAGAAACACATTAATGCTTAGTACATAGGAAATTAAAGTCGAGAGCAAAATTAGACTGCAAAACTATAATGTCTTTCAGTTTATATAAGGCGGACGGAATATCTTCATCTACATGTATATAGTCGTTCATTGCAATCACAAAACATTAGTTTGGTAGGATAAGAAGATATCTCAGAGGGAAGAGTATCCGAGAATTTAACGAGGATATAAGGGCTACCACGGAGGTGTGAGTCATTGCAGTTTAAAGAAATGGCCTTAAAAAAGAAAACAACAACAATAACAAAGAAACGGGCACGTTTCCTGTTATATTTCCCAGATGTGCATACCGATACGTTGCTACTGCGTTGCAAGTAAACCAGACCGAGGCCTATTCGATTATTTTAAGTAGAAAAATACATTTGAAGATGAGTTAATAGAATGAAAACCACAATAATACTAATAATTGCAATAATGATAATAATAACATTGATAAATACATATACTGATAACGATTAAAGTGGTTGGTGTAATGGAAAAATTTTAACAAACAAACTGTGGATCTCTCGTTATCAGTCATAGAGGTCTCATCTGAAATGACAACCACGTATCATCGACTTATCTGATTGGTATAGTATTTTACTAGCGACCATGTGTTGTATACCTTTTTGCTTTACGCAGGTTTTCCCTATTCTAAAGTTGTGCAGCCACCCTAATAGCTTATACACCTGAGATCGTAGAACCCTGTTATCAGCCGTATGATTTGTTCACCTGTAATTACTTGAGATGAATCTGTAGAATGACATGCGCATTTGGTTCTGGTGTTTTCCTAGATTGTTCGTTTGTTCATATTTTTGTTGCTGATGTTGTTGTTACTGATGTCGATGCTGCTGTTGCTGTTTTTTGTCATCAATACGCGAATACTCTGCACGATTCTTGCTAAGAGACGCAAACGACTTATGGCGATCAACTCCGCTTGAAAACATGCGTCGTCAACTTTAAACCTCGGGAAGCTGTGGGTTTAACTGCTTGAAAGCCTACTTCAGTGATATTGATCCACGAAAATAATCCTCTAAGCGTGTTTCCTGATAGGTTTATGATAAGAAAGTTGAAATAAAAATAACCTTATTTATAATGTACTTTGTACGCATCATCTGATACTGAAGTCAATCTGATCCTTTTTATAAGCTTATGATTTACTGCGCCGTAAGTTTTAGCGCGAAAGCTGTATCGAGTTTCTCAAAAGTGTTAGCAAAGAAACGGAAGTACCCATTTTCTTTCCTGTAGGGAATTGGTGAAATTAAATTGAAAGAACATTTCCCGAGAGAGTTTTCTTGAAAGTCGTGTTATAACTTATTACAACGGGGAACGAAAACCACCAGGCGAATGTCGTCAACTAGAAATTATAATTCCATTAATTTGGAGGTCGACACGATTAGGTTTTTCTGTTCGCGAATAAAGAATTTTTTTTTAGCACTTACTGTTTACTTTCAAGAGAACTGGGTGAAAGCTCTAATTGTGAGCTGAGGTGACGAACACAATTTAGGTTAAAATGAAATATTATTGGAGATGAATTATTGGCTGAAGTATTGCACTTATCGAACCAAAAATATTTCAATTCCATAGGTTATGGGATTGAAATATTTGCGGTATCTATCTTGCGTACTTAGCACACACAAAACCGCCACGCAGTCAAATATGTATCTTTGGTTGACTGTCAAAAAGCTTAATAAACGCTATGCAAAAATCTGGGACCATTCGAAATTTAGGACCACAGTAAGGAAAGGCAAGACCAACCGAAAGGAAATTATTGTAAACATATTTTTAGTTTACTCCAAACATCTTATGGAAAATCATGACATATATCAGGTGTATTTTAGAGTCACAACCATTAATGGACGGTCATTTCAAAACTAGCGATTTGTATGCCGTCATCACAGTAATGTGATGATAGTATGTGAAAGAAAAGGCTAACACAACTTGTAAACCTTAGGATGTTTGTCGAGAAACTGTCCAATTAGACTCCGGTTTCCGCGTGTGGCAACGATCAGTAACATATACTGTGTACGTGATAGATTAACCATGTTTTTTTACGACCCTTAGAACCAAAAAGTCGTGTAAACTATCAAGATTAAAAGGGCGCTTCTCCACTGAGATTTAGTGGCAGGTTTGCGAAGTTCTTGGTCAATGAATTGCTGAGATTTCTTGTTAATGCATCGGTGTGGTGTGGACATCAGGATGTCTTGATTAAGGGTTAGGATCTTAGTTGGATTAGTTACGAGATTCAAGTTTGGAGTGATACTAGCCAACAACGAGAACTAAACAAGCAACAGAATTTCCCCATTCATTTCGCAGCGAGAGTTTCATCACAAATAGTAGATATGGTAACCCTCCTCCCTGCTCTTGCCTCCTTTATCGTTTTCAAAGCTAATGAAACGGCAAAATTTTCAACAACTAGATAGAAAATTATGAGGATAGAACTGGCCGGACAGTTAGCCTATTCGAAAGGCTGGATCTTAACGACCTCTGCGACAAAGCCATACTTTTTCCAAGATGGAATCTATAAAAGGTGTTGCTGGAATGGATTTTAAATTGATAGACGCGATCAGAATAGGATACTCTATTGGGAATGAAAAGTGTTCTACTGACCAGTTTTGCATCGGAAAAAGTCTTCAGGACATCAGGACAAGGAAAATTAACCCTTTTTTTCATTTTTTGCGTTTTTATTTAATTATCATTTCCATTGTTTGTTTGTAAAATGAAAGAGAGGTTGCAAACTTATACTCAATTCTTCAGAAGCCACAAATAGTTGAGCCTTTTATCTCAATAAGCTGCTTTCTAGAACTAGTCAATTGCGATATAATCAACAGATTTTATCGATAAACTTTAACCAATCAATTTATATCAGATCATGCTATCCAGACATCAGACAGGAAACTGTGATTTGTTATTTATTGGACGATATTGAAAATGCTGCAATTGATTTAGAAGAAATGCGTGATAATTAGCAAAAGTATCGAGAAGAAAGCAGCGTTTAGCACCGAGGTCGACTCTGTTGACAAGACCCACGTTCACGGCATTGTTAGCATGATTTTGTCCTATTGTTTTCCAAGGGAAAAGTAAGATTTGTTTATCTACGCCGACAGCTGCCATAGTTCTTGTTCGAGCTACTATAATGGTCAAACCGGATAATGACCATTTGATGTGCCTCCGGTTAATTGGAAACAGTCGCTGTGCTTAATGATTTGAACCTGTTCGAATATTCAGTCAAAAGCAGGTCAATAAAATTTCAGTCCAATAAAGATTCTATAGTACAGTTAAGATCTTGCCGAGGGCTAAACACTTGAGTTTAATACCAAGGAAATTCACGAGTATTTGTACTAAATCAGCGAAAATGCGACTGATAGCTTTAAGCATACAAGAGAATGGTTTTGAAATTTTATGAATCCTGCGAAATTCAATTGATTAGACGGAACAAAACACCAGGACAAAATTTCTGGGAGTTGTATTATTCCCGAAGAATGCATCGGAGAATGCTTAAGTATGTGAAGTGACGCGAGATGTTTTAGTTTTACATTACTACTCCATTATTGCCTGACTTGGAAAAAAGGTTTGAGGCATGCAGGTTGAGAAATTCAAATTCTAGATTGGTGTCATCATGCAGTTGTGCTGGCGAGCTGCATCGCAGCTCAATAAACCGGAATTGTGCGACTAATTGTAAATGTGCTTTTAACACTATTATGTCTGGTCTAGCTATTAAAATTCGAAAGCATCCACTCGCTCTTCACGAAATTACATTTTTCAGCTCCAAAGAAGTCTTTATCAGTACAACTTTGCCTTCAGTTCTAGCGCTTCAAAATCGTAACTTGTGATGTAAGATATTCGTCGTAAATCAACAATTTGCGATCGCGAGTTCAGACTGATTGAGAACTATCAACCAAACATAATAAATGATGATCGTCTCGAGACAAACAATTTTCAAGCCACTTACCGACATGAAAATTCCTTGCGAAGCTGGAAGCGAAATCGTATAACTTTAGTGTAGTTGGTTCTACTCTTTCGATGTAAACGTGCCTCTTAAAGGTGTAATGGTTTGACGTGCTCAAACGTCGCACTCTCCATCAGTGTTTTTTAAAAACTGTGCTATACGATACCCCGGTCACGTTCTTTTGGTACGAGATCTCAGCTAGAGAGTAATTTTAACATGTAAACGCCTTTACTTCAGCGAGGAATGTAAGTGATCAGAAATTATTTTCATACGGCATATTTGTAACTTAAAAAGCGGTTTGAAGATGAATATTGTTTTGTCTTAACCTGTAATTTTATAGCATCCTAATTGGTTCAAAGTAAAAGTAGAATCACTCAAAATACTTTAAAAAACTGTATACAATTTGTTTTCCTTGAGTATACTGATTGTAATTCATGTTTCTCGGACATGCTAATATAGCAGAGTTTTCCTATTAAGTGACGAAACCGGCGAGAGTACAAGCAAGCCGTGAAAAATGAAGTACCTTTCGAAAGTATCGTGTGAGTTCTTCATCTTAACTTTGACAACAATTCTGGGAGCAATTCATGATCATAGATGTTATATTTCACGTTCTTGAGCAATATTTAAACATGAACAAAATGACAAGAATCTTGGTTGACGAGATCTATTTACGAGTTATAGACAACTTCTCTCTGCAGTTAACTCACCTTAACTATGTGCGGTGACTCTTGAAGGTCTCAATTCAGCAAAGATCGCACGAAAGATTTTTTTTTATTGTTTTCTTTCCGATTATACCTGCTAATTAATGAGAGGAAAGTAGATATTACTTAGTTCAAAACAGGAGGTACGTTCTTGAGCCAAACAAAGATATATTCATTAGCGGTATTTACTCAGGAGAAATATAAACAAGGGTTTGGTTAATCGGCTGAAGGATAATGAGCAATTGAAGAAAAACAAGGTATGACGAGGGTCAGACTTGAAGCACCATTGAAAAAATTCTCTTAATACCTGCCAACACCGGAAGTTACTATAATGAAAACTCTCATAAACTTGTTAGAAAGAGGTTTCCTGATCTTCTCGTCGTTTCGTGCATGATTTGAGAAAAACTTGACATTTCCGACAGGAAATACCGATCCGTGTAGTCTTAAGGTTGATGGGCGCTAATAAATATAGAGCAAATGGCTTCGAAGGAAAAATGTTTTGCAATTTCTATAGGCAAGTGCTTGGTGAGTTATCAAGACGAAGTTTAAGCGGCAGATTTAGAAAAGTCTTTTAGAGTAGAGACTTTCCGCTTGAAGTGGACGAGTGTGAGATTTTCATTTGAGGAATCGCAAATTGCGACAGAATTCTATGGAAAATCAGGAATGACATGCATTCGTAAGTGTCGCACTGCTGATTCGCAAATGGGCCGATCAGTTGCATTGACGGAGTGGAAGGAAGTTTAGGAAGAATAATATGGTGGTGCAATAATCGCAAAACATGGAACTAGTTCTCACACAATATCACTCGAGCATAACGCAATCTCCCTCTGTTGATAGAAACGAATCAGGTGACGGCGACACAACGCACCCGAAACCTCTGGCCAACTTGGGGTCATTGTGACTACGTGATGGCGGGTTTTAGGAGACATTTAGAGATGGTTATCTGTTACAGGCTATCTAGCTTGTTTCTCGAAGTCTTTCGTTTCACATTGGGTGGCAATCTTTGCAACTGGCATCGTTAATCGAAGGACAATATTCTTTTCTTTCTATCTCATCGGGCTTGTGTGTGTAAGTGATAATTGCATGTATAACTTCCTGCCTCTCTTAACGGGTATCGAAGTGGTCTCTATCTTACCAATTCAAGCTGTTACAGAATGAAAATAGTAAATATAATTCGCTAGTATGCCTTACTCAAGAGGTCGAACAGTGCGACATCGTTTAATCTGCATGAATACCAATTAGCGCTGGTGTTTTATATAAAAGGAAAGCTGTGACATTTACCGCGTCGCTACAAAAAATGTTTTGATTGTTACTTTGATCGAGTTCGGTTACTTTTTGGTTTTCTAAGTGATTTCCTTTAAAAAATTGCCGTCAAAATGTTATTACGTTTGGGAGGAAAAAAAGGGCTGGTTGTCGAAAAAAAGGCCTACCTCTTTCAGGGCTTTGTTGAAGTAGGTTAGCATCTTCATTGGCAGAGCGGATGTCACCCTCTCGTTCCCGTGATGTTCATTCCTTAAATTATTTCTTTAGTCTGCGAAGCCCTTTCAGGGAAACTGAGCTTACGAGAACGTACTTTTAAAAGTAATTGGGAATCACTCGAAGCAGAATAGCAGAATTCGTGGTTCCCCGCGGGCCCATGATCAGATATCTTGTAGATATACAAAAGCAAACTGTACTGTTCGAGATATACAACTATTGTTATATTGAAGTGCTGTCCATAACGTCCATAATTGCAATTCTTTGTCGTCCCATGAGAAGTCTGGGGAGCCAGAACGTCGAAGCTATTGACCGAACCAAACAAATAAAACAATCTCACTTTGTGCGCCTTTATTGTGTGAATCAGCTTGTGCCAATAAGCCCCGTGCATTCGCTGCGTAGATCATTGCAGTGAAACAAAGCTTGTACAACTCCTTTTTTCCTTTGTTCTTCATGACTTCTGTGGCACTAACAAAAATCAACGACCTACACAGACGTTTAATACATTTTTCAGCCCAATTTTTTCAGAATCTTTAACTTACCAAGGCATGATTGCAGCTTTATCAGTGCTTTAAATGGGGTCTGGTGTATCTTTTTTAATAACAACGTCCCTTCTGAATCCGTTGTCATCAAATTAACTGAAAGCCTGTCGAAATTTGCTGCAGCGGTTTATTTTAGCTTTCATGGTCAACTAAAAACGCTTAAATATGGAATCCCTTCAGGTGATCTCCTGAAGATGCAGCAATTAGCATGTGCTCTCGACTGATGTTAGAGAAATGTTTTTCTTGCCGGGATGATATTTTGATATACAATACTGCAGGTTCTTAACATCACTGACAATAAATTTTCAAGTCTCTTGAAAGAAGTGATCGAGATAAAAATAATCAATATCGCCTATTGTTTTCCCTGTAATGACTGGTGACATATGTTTTGCGATCTTGCTTCATGGAGTGATAATAATACGCTCTCATGTAGCCACGATAATCTCGCAATTGCCTTGTGTCGCTCATTTGGTGGCTCAAATCAATTTTCGAACAATTAAATAAAAAAAAAAAAAAAGAGAGTGTCATCGAAGCATGCTGGTTGAGATAAATGAAGCCTTAAAACACTCTACATGAAAACATCACTGATTCTTTGCAAGAGCGACTTCGGAAAGACAGGTTTGAAAGTTATATAAGGTGAGGTAGAATGTCATAAGCCAATTTTCAAAACATCTAGTGATTGTCAACATAATAGTGGCATCTCACATAACCTTCTTGACTCATGTAAAAATATAGCATCGGCGATGTTTATAATACACATTCGTTTCATTTAGCCGCCTTAGAATAGATTCACCGGTAAAGTAAGGCAACCTGGATTTCAGTTACTTTTACTTTAGCTCAGATAAATTTTTTAATGAATGACTGCAAAAAAAAAGAATGTCAAATCTGCTAAGACGCCGGGAGAAAATACAGAAGAGCAGGAAATAATTTTCGTCAATAATGATGACCGAATGTAGTAAAGGTTCCGAGTAGCTGAAATTTGAAAGAGATCAATTACTTTCAGTAATATTCATCCTCCGAAAGAAAACTTTAGAATAATCAAATGAACATGCAGATCAGGAAAGACTTTGGTTGTCAAAGAATTTTAGAACATTGCATTCGGGGAATATTTTTTCAAGTCAACTCAGGGAGGAAAATACTGACCACGCACAAAGAAACTTAATTTCTATCAAGGCCGTCATTAACTGCTCGTTATTAGCTTGTTACTGGCTCCAGTAGACAACACACGCAGTTCTCCTAAAACAATTAAGGCATCAGAAAACAAACGTTTAGGTCCCCCGGACTCCTATTCTTCGCTTTAATGGATTAAAATTATTTGTTTGAATGAGATGCTAAAGGTATCTCCCTCAGGCCATGCTGACAATTAGTGTTGTTTATAATAATTGGACGATGCAATTCCGGGTTGTGAAAATTGCTAATGAGACAAGGATTTTAAATATCGTTCGGCGTCAAGGCTAATCAATATCTATGTTCCTTTACGGATACGGAAATGTTTTTATGCTTGGAAAAAAAATTAGTTGAGATTTTATTGAGTTCTAAATTTGATGAAAAATTAGCATGAAAGGACGAGTCTTCTTTTGGATAGAATTCTGAGCATGCTGATAACACACCCTAGTATATACCTTACATATACACGAAATTATAACACAAAAGAAAACTGAGTGATATAAATGTAGTAAGCGACAAAATATGTCAAGAAATAAATAAAAACTGCTTTACAGTTTTCAACTGGTTTCCATGTATTTCAGCGTGATAGAACATCGCTCTTTGAAAGGCGACTTATCCGAGCTTTCATGTTTTCCACTTATTCATACAAGTATTGTGTATTAGCCCACCAACTGGTATGACCGCTTTGCAGAAATAACTAATACAATCTTCCTACAGTGAACATTCAGCTTACGTTTTGAACGGTGTAGTAATGATACTCAGTTAGGAGTCCTACCTTTTATTTCTTCTCGTTGTGTGTGCAAGTTTTCTCAAGAGAAACGCACTACGACTAGGATCCTTCCAGAAAAAATGTTTGCTCTAACCTGAAGGAAGACAGAATGCCCCTGTTCTATTATTCTTTACAGGTGGCACTGATAATTTTAGGTCGTAAATCACTTAACGCACGTGCTTGTCACTTCGCTATGGTTACACGATGACAACTTTCTTTCAGTGTAAACAAATCCATTATCCACTTTGTTCTCTCAGCAGACATTTAAAGCCTCAGGGTTGAACAGTAATTTCAAGCAAAACAAATGGATAATGAATGAGATATTTTTGGATAAATTAGAAAACAGAGAGAACCAAAAGTGCGAGAACAAGAGCGCCGATAAAATTATTTCACCCACGCTTGCTTTGCGAGAAAAAAATAAATAAACGTGCATTGAGAAATAGATGCAAACTGAATTAAAGAAAAAAACAACCTCCGCACAATCTCCCGGACAATTGTTTTTTACGCTCGACGAAAATAAAACTCGTAGATTTTTTTAATCTCCTGGCAATATTACTCAACCCTTGGTTTGAGCTACATATGGTTTAAGAATTGCTTTTAAGAAAATAGTCAATCGAAATAGATAGATAAATACGTTAGTAGATAAGAAAACAGGGAATGAAAGGAAAAAAAACAGCTGTATATGTATAAAGTAGCCAAAACATGACTCTTATTTAACAAACAGAGAAGCCTTGACTATGCTCTGTTCTGTTGTAAAGCACGCAGGAAGCGGCTAGAGCAGGGCTACTTCTTGAGTGCTCTTGCCGCTTCCTAAGTGCTTTACAACAGAACAGAGCACAGTCAGGGCTTCTCTATTTTTTTATAATACAGAATCCGTTAAATTCCCCAAGAATTACTTTCAATTTTCAAAACAAACTTTATTTCCAAAGCGAACAACAGTGTCGTCAGCATGCTCTATACTCTCATAAAGCACGCTACAATAAGCCAATCAGAATTCCTGTTAGAATGGTTCAAATAATCTGATTGGCTGCACAAGACTAAAGCTGTCAAAAATGTCAAACCATCAAAGTTCATATTCTGCAATATTTTACAAACTAAAATAATTCGGCATGTCGAATTTAACACTTTTGCCTGAATTTTTTTAGTTTCTAATACAGAATCTGAAAGTGAAATGTTCAGTGAAATTTTGCCCAATCGTGGCTCACGAAAATACGCAAGTTATTTTACATGAAAAGAAGAAAATAAACTGTTCAAGGCGAATGTTTTATGAATGAACGACAAACGAATTCACCAGGACATGCGATGTTTCATCGCTCGGAATGACAGCGCCGTAAAACTCGGCTGCAGTGACCGATGTGGCCTTCCACACGAGGCATCGGAAAGGTTATCAGAGCAAGCTCTTATTTTTCCACTCGAAAGGTAATCGATTTAGTTCCTGAGGCTTGCTCCATTGCGGTGACCGAAGATCGCCATGATGTGCTAGCCGCCATAGACCTCAGCATGATCGCAGTCGCTCTAACACCGTCATGATTAGTATAAATTTTAACAGTTATGCCAGGTTATATTTTTCATCATTCCTGTTTTTTTCTGTTTTGTTTTTAAACACGAAACTTTATATACTATACAAGTGTTAGCTGTGTTTGATTTTTCTTACCATACGCACACTTGCAATCTGAGTGTGAAAACCTTTAAAACTCGGGCTGTCCATTTTGTTTTATCTTTGAGGATTTTTGTCTCTGCTCACGTTACAGTTACGTAAATTACTGCGCCTGGCATTTTTGCAAACCTTTGCTCGCTTGTTCCGAAATTTCACTTTCAATTTACGAGAGAAAAGCTAGAAAGAAGTTCCGGAAAACGTCGGAAATAGTACAATTTGGCAGATGGCGTGACAGCTTTAGCTCAGTTCTATGCTCTATACTTTCATAGAGCACGCTCTTTTAACCAATGACAGCACGCGTTATATCCGAACTTTATATTAAAGCTAGTTCAGCCCGCGTGGTGTTGAATGGAAAACCGTGACTTAAAAGGCTTGTAAATTACCAGTCTTTGGGCAAGTGAATATGCATGATTATTTTTTCTTACTTTCTCACTTGATTTTCCTTTATTTGAATATATTTATTTCTCGTTAAGTGTGTCCTGTGACGTGGTATTATGTTATGAAACCAATGTGACATATTCTCGAATGACATTTTTGTCAGAATCATAAAACAGAAAAATGATTTTCTTGATCAAGTTGCTAATTCCCGTTAAACGTACTAATAACGACAGAAACCAATCAAATCTCCAAATATAAAGTTCGCTACACAGAAGCTTTATCTAATTTTTAATGTGCAAATGATACGGCGCGAGCACTCAACGGTGAAAATTGATAGTGAACTGTGAAGAAAAACACTATGGAAACAGAAGGCGCCTTTTCAGTTAACATCTGAAACGTGATTTACACCGACATATTGTGATAAAAATAGTTGCTCTGAAAATGTCCTTGTACGCCAACGTTCTCTGGCGCTTGAATTAATTTTCAGTATTTTTTTCGTTATCGCCCTACCCACTGAAATAAGTGTTTGTTCCAGAAGCTTATTTGTGGGTATGTTTCTTCCTATAATTGTCTTGGTCTCTTGGAAGCTAAATTTTAAGTAGGCACAGCCTAATTTCGTTGTCCTCTGGCCGATTAAAAAATGCAAAAAAAAACTTTGAGACAAACATACTCCGTGTGAGGAAGAATTCTGGCGGTAATACTTAATCATGTTTATGTTTTATATATTACTTTTCAATTGAACAAATTGTTCGCTTAATATTCAGGTTTTAGATGAAATAGAAATGAAAATTATATCTTTGTTTACAAAATATAGAACTTCAAGAAAGTGTGAGTGAACTGTAAATTGTTAGTTTACTGTGTGTTAATTGCGATAATCATACTGTTCCTGTAGGATAATCATAGTTTTCAATCAGATTTTAAAACATAGACACGTTTCATGGCGCTTTTTCAGCCTTGATTTCCTTAACGACCATTGGAAATTTTAAAGTTACTTTAAGGTGATTTTTCTTTTCGGTCTTTTCAGCGACATCGGTCAGTTATCGTGAGGCCCACGAATCACGCGGAAATCTAAACTTTTTACTTTTTTATGTACATATTCAAGACATACTATTATTAAAGATCATGATTAGTTTTAACATTCCTTGCTGATACACAATGTAAACATATAACTTCGTACATTTTTCCACCTCAAATCTTCTCTAATGCCAAACTAACCAGTGCAATAATTTGTGTGCTAACACAGAATATTTTTCAGAGATTTTCTTTTGGATGTTAATAACGACGGCGAAAGAGCTAAACAATTATAACTCTCGATAAGCATACTTCTACCTCCTCCTGATCACAGTGAATTGATTGGCATACTTCATTTCCCTTGCGATTTTAATTCCGTTTTTTTTTTTTTTTTTTTTATATATTTTAAATTTTTAGGACATATAGCAACATAAACTCAATCCATAAATTTGGGTTTCAGCAAGAGATAAAATTGTGCTTGGATTTCTACCATTGCAGTCGGCTGTGAATAGCAACGATCAAGAAGTTAGTTATGAATAGGCAACGCTTTCTAAGTAAAGAAACGGCCTAACTTAAGACGTCGTTCGAATAAACAACAGTACTCCCCGAACTTTTTTCAAACATTTTCATGCAAAAAAAATTGCAATTCAAATACCACACTTTTAGGAACGAGAAAGTGATAGATTGGTTGACAGAACAAAACGCAAAAAATAATGTTAAAATATAGAAATTTCACATTTTATGGAGAGTGCATGTTTTGTGCTGACTGGACGAGCCGACTTAATGGGAGATAAAAAAACGTCCTTGGCCGTTCAATTGAAATGGTCTGCTCAGGTGAACTTATCAAGTTCCAGCCTAATTACAGAAGTAAAACTAGGGGACGCTTTGTTTAAATTGTTCAAAGTTTTTTAAAATCACATTGTGAAAATATTCTAAACTAGAAGCATACTTGGCATGGACTCTTGCAACAGAACACTTGACTATTCTCTCAAATATGCTGTTTCGTGATTCTGCTAAATTTATTTACAATATTCATATGAGTCAAAGACGATTATTGGCTGAACAAGATTATATTTTAATCGAATCGTTACGGATTAAAAATTGCGAAGTATTGAACTAATAGCATTTATGTTCGTGAGCTTCTGTATTTTCTCCATATTTGTTCCATTTGTATATGCCATTTTAACCCTCTTTTTCTCGACACATGCAAATGTCAAGGTCAAGCTCAAGATGGGCACTTACTCGTCTGATTACGGGTCAGTGACATAAAACTATTTAATTCCACTGAAGTAATCGATCCGAATGTTTTCTAATAAACATATTACTTGCTTACTTCTCATTTTTTGAGGAGAGAACGTGGAAGGCTATCTCAAGCTCTCTGCTATACATGTGTTTTTTTTTTTATCCTCCGACTTTTCAGCCTGAGAATAACCTTTTTCCTAATTTTACTTGTAGCTGCACATTGTCTATTTCAGGAATACACTAAGCATATTTTCAGACAATTTTAGAAAGGTTGTGATAATCCTCTCACAAGTATTTCATTGAAACACATACTTCTCAATCATGGAAATTAAAATAATATAGTTTCCAAGGGGAAGATCTTCTTTTACCATTCCTTAATAAAATTACAGAAACGTAGTTTTCTATCAGGAAACGATCGCGGTATCGGTTTGGATAGTTGTGTTACACATCAGTTTCTCGAGTCTCTTTCAGTATCTGGTTTAGCTTTTTCGCCTTCGCCGATTGCCTCTGGGCTTGTATCAGTACTTCTGTGTAACTCAAGCAGGTCGTTTTTTGAGGCGAGGATATCGCCAGTATCGACTTATACATCTCTCGATCGCATGATAAGTAAAGCCGAAATTCATCTCTGAAGTTTTCGTTACAAAGAGTGTAGGCTATTGGGTTAGCTGCACTGTTGGCAAATAGTATAATGTTTGTCACGGCGACCAAATCCCAGAAATGTTCATACTCTGCTCCGTTTCCAAAATCCAGCCAGAGCCACATGAGATTATTCGGCAGAACGCAGACAGCGAAGAGAATGGTGACTACGACCAACATGCGTACAACACGCCTCGCCTCTTTTTGACGCTGCGAGTCCACGAGGCCTCGGTCAGAATTAATCAAATTCGTTTTCTGAACGCATTTGCGCATCTCGTGTGCGATTTTAAGGTACGCGAAGGCTATAATCATCAGAGGAGTTACGTATTGAACAAGGAAAAGTGACAAGGTGTAAGCTCTCCGGTAATTGAAATTCTTAGGCCAGATTTCTTCGCAGCTCATTACATTTTCGTCAAGGCGCAACACTAAGATATAAGGAAGAATGATCAATGTTGATAACACCCATACTGCGGAAATGATAGCTTTTGCACGTGGTTTGGTAAGCTGGCTTCGCAGCGGGTAGACAATCGCCCAAAACCGGTTAAGACTCACAACCACTAAAGTAAGGATGGAAACAAGCGCAGCAATAGTTTGCAGAGGATACAAGAGCTTGCACATCAGAGAACCATAAATCCATCTGTAATTATTTTCTTGAACTGGTATGTCAAACGGAATGCAGACACAGGTTATTGCCAGGTCAGCCACTGCGAGGTTTAGTATGAAATAATTAGTGACAGTTCGCATTCGGCGTCTTTTTATGATAACAGAGCAGACGAGAGTATTCCCAGAGACGCTTAATAGGAAAATCAAGGCATAAAAGAAAAGTTTGATGACTTTAAACTCAAAGCTTTCGCTTGATGATGTGAACACTTGCGAGGGGTTACCAAAAGCATCCGATGAATTGTTATTGAGGCTGGAGTTCGCCATCATTTCTTGCACCAGTACTGCAACAATGTTTAGAGTAGGACGTAGACCTCCGATTTCACCGGTTAAGCATTTAATTCTAAGGGCTTCGAAACTTGTTCAATTCTAGATGAAACGGCTTTGGTTTTCTCAGTGCTGCGATTGACATAAGGAATAACCATGCACACTGTGTTGGCAAACAAAATAAAGGAAACAGGATTAACTTATATAATCCTTCATCGCAAGTTTAAGGACAGAAATGAATTCCTTGTTGAAGGCATTAAGCGTTCCACAATAGGTTTGTTGATTAGCTTTGGCGTATGTTATGAGGCGTAGGCGTCATCACCTTGACGAAGGAATACAGAAAACGGCTAAATCTTGCAAAAAAATCTATATCGCAGATTGTACTACAATCTTCTTTTCTTTTTTCCTCTTTCCTTTAAGAGTGACCTGTAGGGTAACCATGGTATTTATCAATTAGTTCGGAAACGCCTTTCTTACATGATATATTTTTTCGGAAACAGCAACTTTAGTTATCACCATTACAGAAAAAGACAAAAAACGCCTTTCAAACTTAAAATATATACATTAAGTTTATTTTTTAATTAAAGCTCATTTGTGTTCCACCTCTGGAGGCAAATAGGAAACACAAAACGAATTTTATAATCAATACTACACGCCAGCGGCACTTGCGAATGAAGCACGGCTACTCACCCCTGAAACATGTGCGTCTGTGCTGATTATTATGCAACAACCTCGTTCCATGACTCCTACAAAAGGCTTTTGGGACAGCCGAACCAAATTTTGTAAGATTGCTGCGATTTTTTGTCTGTTTTTTTTTTTCACCTGCTGGTTTAAGTCCATTTGTCTTTCCACATACTGTAGATACATTTTTTCACATTGTTATGTAACTGGGGGCACTCACGGGCGGAACTAATGCAATCATGGAAGTCGTACGTGTTGCATGTAAATAGCGTACGGCTGTTTATTGTTTTTTCCCTCTTTAGCTCGTTCATGGTCCATAGCTTTTGCGGAGCACATCCCTACCCTGAGAATTTTACGTAAATATAGACACTGATCATGAATTGCTAAGCTTCGGCTCTTGTACAGAAACATTATGATCGACTTGATAAACTTAAAACAGTTTTGCCGCTTTTGTAGAGACGCAGTAATAAAGTTCTCGTCTGGCAGGATGTTTCCTTGCTTTTCCACCAGGTGGAAGTCAATGAATTTAAAGATGAAACAGAATACATATTTTTCAGAAAGAAACGCAGCGCATAGGGTCAAAATGACCATAGAACTGTACGTCAGGGCATAAAAATCCATCCCTTCGTAGCTTTAGTGTTAAGTTTCTAATTTCCCTCTAAATCCCATTACTCTATATATTGACATTAAGTCCACGTGCACTTACCTCAAAGCACACTTTTGTCGAACATTGCACGCGATCGCTGAAGCTTTGCACAATCTGCTTTGACATAACGACGTTTATTGTCATCTGACACCTCAATGGTAATTTATTTCTTAAAAAAAAAAAGAGGAACAGCAGCGCACCAGTCTCTTAGTCTGGAGATTAATCCTGTATCTTTTCCTTTTGTTTTTAAGCCAAGCTTTTTTTCTCACTAATGGAATATGCAGTTTACGTCATACTAATCGAATTATTACTTTTTCGTCTTTTTGTAAGTCGTAACTGGTCGTCTGTCTCAGTTTCAAGTGAGTAGCATAAATTGTCTTAATGGATGGAGATAGTCAGGTTGTAATTCCTGTCGTTGCAAAGATATTTTCACGGGAAATGGAGGAGTAAAATTTAAATATAAACATATGTATTCGTAGCGCGTGATACGCTTATGATGAACTTTTCCAAACGAGCACATAATCAAAATTGTCAGTTTACGAAGAGGAAGAGTTTTATTCCTTTATTTTCAAATCTTTTGATCTCAGTTCAAAGAATACGATGCCAGGCAAAAGCTGTATTATACTAATACAAAGTACAAAAATTCCTTTTGAATTCACGTTATTTTTTCTATAACTTTACCCTGCATTAAGACTTTCAAATCCCTGCAAAGTTTTTTTCCCGTGCCATGAAAATGCGTGAACACCAAACGCATTTTAAGCACTTGAAATTCGATTGAGTATATGCTTGCAAACGAATCGTTGAAAGTCTTATTACTTATATCTAAAAATAAAAGTCTATTACCGATGAACAGTCTCGATACTTCTTGGTGATCCATATGAGGGAAAAAAGATTGTAATGGTCTTTATCGTTTGGGCTGTAAGATGTTCATTGTACTGTTGGCAATTGCCCCATCTATTTATAGGTCAACCCTTTTGTATTAGAGGAAAGACATGCATGGGATCTTTGTCGCTTTTTCTTTCAATTTATCCATTATTCACTTTCATTTATCTTAGCAAGATAAAACAAAGTGTGGCGCAAAGAGCCTTGTAACAAGATTATCGATATAATTGTATTGAAATCGGTTCACGCGGGATGGCGTGTCAAGGAAAGTTCCGTCTAGACAATGTTATCATGCCCGGAAAATGTTCCAAACTAAAGTCGTTCTTTTTTTATTCAAATAGTGCCGTAGGCTGTTGCCCTTCTCTCCGTGGGTCACCTCTCTTGTCACTAAGCCAGGTGCGGTTAAAAGGTAGTTTGGATCGTGATATTTTCCAGAGATTGCATTTTAGATACCCGGCTGTCAATCTACAATTCCTGAGAGCCATAATGGAACATTTTGATTAGATTTTTCCAACGATCCTCAATGATCGTCAATGATCATCAATGATCAGTGGTGGGAAATTTTTATGGTTTGGCATTTGCGTTGGGTTTTACGGATACCTGATGTGAACAGAAGATTTCTAACTATGCAAACGACTAATCTTCCCCCATATTTTATCTTTGGCAAGTCTAATTGCCTCAATTCCGATCCACAATTACCAATATTCAAGGCAAACGGCGTATTTTTTGTATTCCTTTTCGTACCAGATATATACATTATGAAGAATGCTTTCCACTCAAATTGATGCGGGATAACTAAATGCAATGATGACACAGATTTTGGCCACGACCATAACTGAGTCACTGGGAAAAATTTTCGGACGAAAATAATTTTAAGACAATTATATGGTGAGAAATAGCCATTCCTGGCTGCAATATGCTTCTAACTTATTTATGAATCACTCACCGACTTCCTCCAAGAGATAAATTCTTCAATTATATTAGAACAGAACAACTCAGGACTGGTCAGGAGACGTGAGATTGTTGACTGAACGTCCAACGTAGCCAAGGTAATGTTGCACTTTGAATTTGTTCTTCAAAGAGCCAAGTGATACTTGATCACGGATGGAACGTAGGACAATACATTCGGCTATACAGGATATACTCTAAGGAAAGGCAAAAGGGCAGCGTTCTTGATGTTATCTATTATCTTACCGGCACAGCTAGATACACGCAGAAAAACGACAAATGAAAACAGTGCTTAAGAATTTCACTTTTCAGCATTGCCAATTCTGTTTTGTCGGAATGATGTGGGAGATATCTAATTTTAGCCTTCAACCACAAGAGCAAATTAGCTCCACAGGCCGACATTATGACATGGATTGCGAGGTGATAAGGGACATGCATTTTGCGGCTCGATCGAGTTTCTGATAATGCAGGCGTCGGCAATGAAAATAGTCTGCATTGTGTGTGTGCAAATAATTGTGATCTTGCACCTTAGCAGAATACGTATTTCATTACGGGGATATACCCTGAAATTCTTCGAGTGTCGACTTCATTAGCCCAAAATTTGGAGCGATTTGGTCAATATGTTTTTATCAACTGGCTGAACGTGACAATGTCAGCGCAATTTCCACAAACAAATGTGCTCAGTTTGAAGTCGCTGATGGCGGGGTCATACATAGACGATCGCACACCGACGGCGAAAATCGTTCAGGGGAATTTCAGTTGCTTTAGAAACACTGAATTACAATACTTAACTTCCAAAAGCGTTCGTTAGGTAGAAATTCACTTGCAATACGCGTTGCTCATAAGAGAAGCTTTCCTTTTCTTCTTCTTCAAATATGTTTTGTATTGCTTTATCCATTTATATGTATATTTTTTAGGATCAACGCTAGCAACAATCTGAAAAATAAGATTTTCCTTATTTTCCTCGTCAGGGATAAATTAATATTATGCACGTTTATTGTGCAAGAAAATTAAGGTCAGCTCGAGGTAGTTTTGATAAAAAAAAATTAGTGGATCTGAACGATTGCGAGATTCCAAGGAAAAACGCAGTACTCTTTTCAAATAGCGCTCCACTCGTTCCCGCCCGAATAAGTTCCTTTTTCATCCTTATGGTTGCAAAGATTGATTCACAGGAGGAAAATAATAAATCGATATGTATACGATATATATTTATACACATTGTTTGTGATACACTGAGAGAAGAATTTGAAATCATTTTTTTTTTTACTGAAAAGGATTAACGTGTCTGTGCTAAACGTGCCGGCATGTCCATGTTGCAATTGAAAGTAAATTATCGAGCTCTTTAAAGGCACTGGAACGTCTCCTGATATTAAAGTGGAAAGAAACTAGGATAGAGATGTCATCAGCGATGATGTTTCCCAAAGAATATTGAATACATCACTCATCCTGTTTATTAAAATTCCAACCCATATGGCCTTTTCTTTCTCTTTTCCTTTTTCCTTTTTTTTGCATCCAACACCAGTAACACTTCTCTCTTAAACTTGGTTTTTAAAGATGTCATTCCGAAAGTTTTCTAAATTTTCGTGAAGGCAAAGTTAATCAGTAAATCAAAGAAATGTAATTCATTGTCGGCAAATAGCGCTTCAAAGTTAAAAAATTGATCACGCTTTTTAAGTTTCTTAATAACAAGAGCGACGAAAATTAACCCAATGTATATTTCAAACAATAGGAAAATGAATATGAAAATCCTGAGTACTTTGTTTTGTACTTTTTCACTCGATGAATGATCTTCCCATAGAGGATGGCATAGTTCAATGAACTTACGGTTACCTAATTCGTACTT